CTGTTGTCCATATCGATTGGCACCAGACCAGAATACATCTCGCCGATATCAAATGGAACATCCGGCAGGGAGTCCACCAGATAATCTATGGGTCTATTAGGATTTTTGCTGTCAACAATGATATAACCCGACACTCACGCTTGGTCTCCTTGCTTAAGAAACGATAATCCTTGTGCGATTTCACATGTTTGTGGTTATTACGAGCTTCAACTGCCCGTTTAGCCTTCTCCTGTGGTGCACGAGATTTCTCTGCAAAGCGTCCGTGTTTAGCGGCAGCCGCGAGATCCGACCCCAGCGAAAGGGCCAGGAGAGCAGATGTCAGGACTGATTTGAGTAACATCCTGGATCGGTATTAATGTGCCAAAATGGGGGAGGGATGTCATTGTTATCCCCGAGGGGGGCACAGCTATATACCTATTACATATCCCCGGAAGTGCCGGTCAATGGCCCCTGATCGTGTGATTGGTAAGTGCATTTAAATTGATAAAAACCCAGGCTAAGAGATTCCAAGCGGATGATTGGAAAATGCTTAGCTTCAGGTCGGATATTGCTTCTCCTACGCCACAACCCCCTGTTCGATAGCAAGTGTCCACTGCTATCAGCTTCGGCCATCCCAGGCGGGGTCAACCTCAGGAAGGAAACCTCACCTCCAGGACTGTAAATCTTGCTTCTACTTCTTTTTTTTTTTTTTTGGTGATCTGCTCTGTGTTTGCCGATGGTGCTTTTCCGCGGTGTTGGATGATTATAGGATAATAAGATAATGTCATACATGGTTGCAATAATTCGCCGCTTCGTGCACAGCTATCACTAGGACCGGACGAGCGGCGGATTCCGGTGAGATCGACGGTTATCTGACACTTTTGGCTAATAAGCTTCGTGTATAAGAAGTGGGGACAGCTCGCAATTGGTCTGGCATGCTTCTTATCCCGGCTAAGCATCATAACCTCCACATTATCATGCGGCCCCGCTCGCTTGGTGGTAGGACGAGGATAACCGGCCTGCGGCGGTTGCAGCGGTCTGATAGGCGAGTAATCATCTTAATAACTCATAGGTAATACTCTCTACTGCTCAGCTCTCCGGCCAGACCCTCAAGTGCGAACATCATGCCCCTGACTATCTCCTTCTGTACCTAGATTCGGCATGCAGGGGAATAATGCCATCGAGATGATCACAATAGTATAAAGTCAATCGTTGTGCGGAGTACCTGAGCCTAGGTTCCCGCGGCTCTGATAGATCCCAAGCATACCAAGCTTTCCAGGTTGCTTTGCGGTCACTAGCTTGGGAATATTTGGTTGATCGACGAGATTGGCGCCTTAACAGGCTCCCTTGAGCATGAGCAAGTGTGATTGATATACTCGATGTATCTCACTTGGTTGAAATAAGATATAAAAAAAAGTCTTCTGATGTATTTCTATTTGACGTGGTCTATAACGTAAACAAAACCAAAAACCAAAAAGAATGGACTTGCAGGGAATCGAACCCTGGACCACTCCCATGCTAAGGGAGTATTATACCACTAAACCACAAGCCCAATTGGATGGAAGAGGCATCTATTTAATAATTGATGAGCCTACACAAGGATTCTTTTACTAGATTGTACTTAATCCTAAATCCTGCACGAACTACAGAATAGGACTTCCAAGGTTACATTTTAAACATTTCCTAATTTCGTAATTTCCAACCTTGCAAACCCCACAGGTTATATGAAGTTTACGTAAATTTAATAACCGGTGGCACTTGGTCAAAAAACTAAAACATGGCCACGATTATATATATCTACCCGCATCTGATTTCGTGCGATCTCAGATATAGATTATATTTTGATATTGTCCATGCATTATCTCCTCCCTCTTTCCTTTTAGAAAGTGTAGTCTCGTATCAAACACAAGCTGATCCATGGCTACATACGAGTGCTTAATGCGATGCCCAGATGTAGGCAGTAAGTATATGCGCCCGAACATGCTTCGGGTAGTCAAATTGTTCACGGAGGTCGGAAGTTCGGAAGTTCGGAATTTATCCACATTACTGAACTGCTTTCAGAGGCATAGCCGACAAATTCGTTGAATTATGTATATCCTATAAACCGATAAATATAGATGAATAAAGCAAGTACAGATTGTCATATATGATTGCTAAAAAGAACGAACTGTAAGTGACGTGTAGTTATTCTGCTCCATTGAGAACATCCAAGATAGATTTGAAATCATCTATCTAGTATAGAATAGTATGTACGTACTACGTCGCAGTATGGACAAAAGAACACCGGTCTGGACCTGCACACGATAGATCCACTTCCCTGCCCAATGATCACGAGCTACGAAATTTTCACTGCCTAATTAACTATTACGAAGTCAGTTAAACACCAATGGGAATAATTCCACCCGAAAATTCTCAGAGCCACATTTGCATATGACTCCTCCGGAAGTTTCGATTAATATGTCACTTCCCGTCAAACTTCTCCTCATTCAGATCCTCAACCTCAGCAACCTAGGAATTCCTTAATGCAAGCGGAGAATATAATAGCTCTTTCCACATAGAATGTCTACCAATGTCGGGTCTGCCAGCAGCAAGACCGACCATGCATTTGATATGAACACCCAGAGCACCACAACCCAAAGCACCACAGCCTTTGACCAGAAGACTACTGTTCACATGGACAATGAGAAATCTGACACGGAGACTGCACCAAAGCAAGAACCCAGCTCAGAGGATGTATACCGAACAGCATCTACCGTGGCACCGTCTCAAAGATCAACCAGAGGAGACCCCATTAGTCGAGTGACTACAGACGCCGAAGGGAACACCTACCCGGAGGGGGGCCTCGAAGCCTGGCTGGTAGTGCTGGGCAGCTTCCTCGGTCTATTTGGATCGTTGGGTCTGGTCAACACCATTGGTACTTTCCAAGCATATATCCAAACACATCAACTGAAGGAATACAGCTCAGGAACCAATGGGTGGATCTTTGGAATGTTTGCCTTTCTCACCTTCTTTTGTGGAGTGCAAATCGGCCCCATCTTCGACGCTCGAGGCCCACGCCTTCTCGTCTTTGCCGGTTCCGTACTTGAAATGGCCATGATCATCCTCATCGGCTTCTGTACTCAATACTGGCACTTTATGCTGGTCATCGGTGTACTGGGCGGAGTGGGAGCATCTCTCATTTTCACACCGGCGATTTCGGCGATCGGCCACTATTTCTATGAGAAACGTGGACTCGCAACTGGTATTGCTGCTACTGGTGGCTCTGCTGGAGGCATTGTTTTCCCTCTCGTTCTAGAGGCCCTCTTCCCCAAGATTGGCTGGGGCTGGGCCACTCGGGTTGTCGCGTTGATCTGCCTGATTACGCTATCAATTGCAAATCTCTTGATTAGGTCCCGACTCCCGCAGAAGCCATTCTCCAAGGAGAATGTGCTTCCTGACTTCCGGATCTTCCGAGACCCGCGATTCGTGCTTACCACCGCCAGCGTCTTCTTTATTGAGTGGGGTCTTTTTGTGCCAATTAGCTACATCTCCTCCTACGCCCTCGACCATGGGTTCTCTTCCAAGTTCTCGTACCAGATCATTGCCATCTTGAATGTCGGCTCGTTCTTTGGGCGATGGTTACCTGGCTTCTTTGCCGATTTCCTTGGTCGTTTCAACACCCTGATCGCGACAGTAGCGCTATGCGTGCTCTGCAACGCCTGCTTGTGGCTTCCTGCAGGAGATAGTCTGTCCCTGCTGATCGTTTATGCTCTTCTTTTTGGATTCTCAAGCGGCAGCAATATCAGCTTGACACCAGTCTGTGTCGGTCAACTCTGCAAAACTGAAAATTATGGCCGGTATTACGCAACTGCCTATACCATAGTGAGCTTCGGGTGAGTGTTTTTTCCCCCTTGTGATGTCACATGCGTATCCATAGCTGACATACTTTGCCACCAGCACTCTCACTGGAATCCCTATCGCAGGTGAGATCCTGGAACGCTGCAATGGATCCTACTGGGGCCTTATCACCTTTACTGTCTGCTGCTATGCGGCTGGTCTTGCATGCTGTACCGCCGTAAAGGTCATTCAAGTTGGCTGGCGTCACCCTCTCGCGATTTATTAAAATTGTGGGTTCGTATCCGGAACTCCGACGCTGGTCGATCTGGTAATCTCGACACGATTTCACGATTTCAAAATAAGCGTAGAAAAGTTTTTCCCCCTCAGCTTGCATTCTTGCATCTTCTATTCAGCGTCCATGACCGAGTCATTTGTTTTACATAGCTGCTTAATGTCTATATTTATCAAATTGTGACTATAATCTACACCAAATCGGATAATTTTTCCGACATAGTCGGTTCGGCCCTTCAGCCGTACAAATTGATTTCGCTGCTGAACTGGCAGTTAGAAATTAAACGATTTGCCGCCATGGAGGCAATATAAAAAGCATGGGTGTTGGTAACTCAGGTTCAGGTTCCCCTACAGGGCTGAACAGGGCAGAACACGTCGCATAGGATATCCGACAGGCACCGGATCTATGTAAACATCTAGTCACAATGATGCCTTTGTACCTTATCCAGCCATGGATTTCACCACTGGGAATGATTTCCAATAGGAGCAAATTCAGAACTTACCACGGGAACTAGAAAGACAACGAAAGCTTAACCAAAAAACAAACATCGAAATCACTTCTGGCCAATCCTCTCGCTGTGATGACATGGAGTGTTCATCAATCCATCACCATTGAGTTGTCTAGGCTCTCACTACATATACGACGCTATGCCCGCATCCCTCTCCTAACGTCCTTTCATCCGGGACATTGCTTTGCTTGCTCGCGTCTCGAACTCGTTTGGTCGGCATTTGCTTCGTTGCTAAACTTGCTAAACTTGCTATCTAAGGAGTCCTAAATCTAAAACTGTCTTCTACACCAGCTCCTTCATCAATTCGATAGCACCCGGAACCACCGGCGAACTTGCATTGGCCGCTGTTCTCCCCAAATCGGCCACATTTGCTCAATCGCTCTGCACATATCAGCCTTGGTCCGAATGATGTTTCCCAGAGGATGTTTGATTCTGCTGGCCTGCTCCTGGGCTCTCCTGCAGAGTGTCCTGGCTGTCCCGGATGTGGCGCTAGAGCAGCCCGGCATCGAGGATCGTCGTCGAGAAGAGCGTGACTTTGGCTTGCAGGGGCGCCACAACCATCCTGACCTTGAGAGCTCGCTGCTTTCTGTCTTGACCGAGGAGTTGGCTACAACGCATGCTCCACCACCTCAGACCACCCCGGGAGGAGATGGCGGTACCACAGTCCCTGGCGGCGGAGGTGGTACTGTCCCCGGAGGAGGTGGTGGTACTACAGTCCCTGGAGGTGGTGGTACTACAGTCCCTGGCGGTGGAGGTGGTACAGTCCCTGGCGGCGGTGGTGGTACTGTCCCCGGAGGAGGTGGTGGTACTACAGTCCCTGGAGGTGGTGGTGGTACTACAGTCCCTGGCGGTGGAGGTGGTACTGTCCCTGGCGGTGGAGGTGGTACTGTCCCCGGAGGAGGTGGTGGTACTACAGTCCCTGGCGGCGGAGGTGAGCAAACTACCTTATTTTCTGAAAGCACTCTTCTTACTCTCCCTGGTACTTAAGGCGGCACTTCACCCACTGGTGGTGGTACAACTGCTACCCCAACTGGCGGCAATGTTAGTTCTTCCCCAAGCGGGCCATCACCCAGCGGCCCCGCTTCCTCCCCCAGCGGAACCCCCCAGCCTTCGCCCCCTGAAGTAGTCACTACAACTACTAACACTGCCCAGCCTCCTCCCTCTACTAGTGAGCATCCAGGCACTAGCCCCACATCCCCCCCTGGCGGTGGTAGTGTACCCCCTTCCCCGTCTCCCAGCGTTACCACTGGAGGACCGCCGGTCTGTCCTCCTCCTTCCACATCTAAGGAAACCACCGTCGTCCCGGTGACGGTTACTTGCCCTGCCGTAGTTGTGAGCACTGCCACTACTACCGTCACTGTCACATCTGGCTCGGGACTAGGCCTGGCAACAGAGTGCTGTCCTTGCCCCACTGGAGGTGGTGGAGGCCCAGGTGGAGGAGCTGCGGGAGGAGGTGCCGGTGGAGCTGGCGGTGGTGCTGGCGGAGGCCCAGGTGGAGGAGGTGCTGGAGGTGGTGGCGGAGGTGGCGGAGTCTCCCCAAGTGGTACTGCGACAGCCCCAGGGACCACCTCTGGCACTGGCGTAGTATCCCCAAGTGGCACCGCGACAATCCCAGGGACTACCCCTGTCACTGGCGCAGTATCTCCAAGTGGTAGCAGCGTGACAGCCTCATCCACCAGAACCCAAACCAATACCTTGACCCAAACCCTGACTCAGACGCGAACATCGACGCCCCTTATACCGAGCAGCACTAGACAGCGTACTATCACCACAGGATCGCCCACAACACCAGCTACCCTCGTGACTTTGCCTACATCAACACCTCCACATGTATCCCCCTCAACCCCGGGCTCGCGTATCACTCCACGAGCAATTATTAACCCCGATGTTGTTCGCCGACAGCTATTTAGCAACACGACAGCGACAGCCCATTTCACCAACTCGACTGTTATCTCGAATGCCACAACCAGTGCAGTGAACCTCACCCATATTGTGACTGAGACTGCCACCGAGCCTGCGCCTGCTTTCCTGCCGCGCTTTCATCGTGGACGCAATCGTGTTTAGATTGCTTGGTTGAACTGGGGAAGAGTAGACTGAGATATTGGTTGGTTGTTTCTTGATAGATGTTAGACCAGTTTGGTTATCGCCGGTTTTTGCTAGTTTTTTTTGCTAGTTTGAGAGGAGTTTAATGTATTTGGTGGTAATATGATGTTGCTGATGTTTGTCGAATTGACTAGCTTGTGCGCATGGCATTGGGATTTGTTTTTTTTCTACCATTAACACAAATGCCCCCAAGCAAGCATTAGCTTTAGAGCCTCTGCTAGAAAAGTCTATTAACGTTTTAAGATACCAAGCTTACGATCATGCTACTTGTAATAAATCACAATCTACTCCCTTGAATCTATCTAGTCGACGGAGCAGGATCTGATATAACGTGTAACATAATTCTATCATTGATTTAACGTCTCTAAAAAAGCAAATTGGAATATAGAAGCAGCAGTAAAAACACTGGAACCGAAAATTCTTCGAAACTCCTGTCATAACTATAGCCCGTACTCGATTCCAGTCTCCCTACGCAGAGAGCCAAACCTATCTGTGATGGTGAGGACACCTATTCTCCTTTTCCTGCTCTTGCTCAAACCCTTCCTCGTCAGAAATCTCTTCGACATCCGGGTTCCACTGTTTAGGCTGTTGCAAAACGCTGGGGATGCAGCTGATAAGATCATCAGCAATTGCTTTGTCGGTCCCCCGGTCGTTGTGTTTGTTGAGAATCCTGATCAAGACAGGCAGCATAAGCTCAAGGTTACGGCACAACCGCTCAAACTGGGGATCACGTTCCAAGACCGCGCTTGAAATAGCAACACCCATTTCATCAGAAATTTCCTCTAATGTGGCAATGACATCGTTACGACGATGCGGTCCGTGACGAAGATAATAGATTGCATCGTGCACACATGACAAAACGAATATGCGCCGATCGTTGTAGGGATCGTCGGCTAGTATACGTTCAATATCCTGACGAGGCATCGTAAAAGCTGCAAGTCTCGCTGAGATAGGTGATTGAAGTGTGCCTTGGGACTGAGATTTATTGATGATCCTGGACAGGCAGGGTACTAGAAAACAACTGAGTTGTCGGATGATGTAAAATCCGCGTTCTCGGGGATTGCTTGCGGGCTATGTCTGTTTGAGAACTTGAGAAGGTAGTGGGAGTTATTTATGCATTTGTACAGAGGACAGTTGGCCCTGATTCAATTACCTGGCTGATGTACTTGACAAAGACAGCAACTGCAACAAAGATTTTATTTTCATTCTCCCAACGGAAAAGGAATATCGAACCTTGGCCAGGATGACTGCGGGTTATTTTTATCAAGAAAGAGAGTCTTCTTCGCCTTCACCCTACTCACAAAGACACTATTTACATTCCATCGAAAGAGAATCACGTCTATGACGGAGTCCAATAATTATGTTCTTTGGTTTTAGAAAAGAACTCGATAGAACTTTTCTTAGTTGCGCAGGAGTTGAACTACGAAAGACTGGACACAGCTCACGTTGTAACAATGTCATACCTTTATGTAGACACCTTGCTGGAAATAGTACTTAACAATTTTATCGTGTTTAAATTTGCTGGTCAAATGAATGGACTCGATGAACAAAGAGAATAATACAAAGGGTAGAGCAGGTAGAGCAGGGTAGTTGAGCCAGATTGGAAAAAAAGCAGGTGGCAGGTGACCATGTACCACCAAACAAAGGATAACAGCCAGGCAGGCTGAATAATTCACATTTGTATGAGTATTTTACCCGATGTTTTCATTGCATCTTTCCGAAGAATCCATAAATGTTGCTTGCCCGGCAAGTCCGTTGGAAAATTGACATTTTTTTATGACATTTCCGATGTGTTCCCTCAGCATTCATGACTCTTTTTATAGCTACAATATATATGATATCAGAGTAGACATTACCATGACATATCAGCTTGAACACAATCCTCGACATGTATTTTTCGTCTGATAGAAGCACATTCGCTCTGATTTTCCATGGTTTTCCCGAGTTCATGATTTTCACAGTTCGGCTGGAACAATTTTCCGCTGCTTACATGTACCTGCCGAGGAATCCCTGACAAGTACTCAAATAAACTACACACTATGAGACTTTAAACATGATCAACCATATAGTTGACTCTAATTATGACAATCTCTTATCAGTTCTACTGATAAACCTGATAACCCTGGCACGCCCCATATCAAACTGAGCCAATGACGCAACTACCTGCCTGATTGGGATTAGTTTTAGATTGGATTCTCCACATGATCCAATACGAGCCGTTCCCCGCGTTTAGCGAAAGCAAGAGATCGACAATCTTACTGATTCGAGTTGTTCGAGCACACCTAGGATGTGCTATGTACATCCTCAAATACGCAGGTAGTCGATCTGTACTAGACCGACTAGCCGCGGTTACTGCCGGGGTCACGAGGGAGCGATGGTAGGAGTGGAGGGACGCTGTGCGACATCCCCATAGCGCATATGTACTTGTTCCGGCTGGAGCTGCCTAGAAGGGCTAGCGACATGCAACCCTGGAATGTAGGCCGCGGATAAGATAAGCGTGGCTATCAACACCGAGGATCATCACCGAGCTCAGCTATATGAACCCCGTTCCTCAGAGCAAGTGACTTTCTACTCATTATTTCCTCGATTGTTGACACTCCTACAATAAACAAAGACCTCGCTTCCCCCACCTTCTCCTCCATCAACTCGTGGACCATCACCACTTCAACTCTACTTAGATGGCGGTTGTCTTTATCTCTCACTGTCCCCAACGTCTTCATTGGCATTCTTATACTATATCTCTGTGTCAAGCTATACGCAGAGCCAGTAGAAAAAGTATCCGGACGTCTAAACCAGTTCGCTAGGAAAATTGTCGCCGTCCAAGAAAAACGTAGTGACAAGCCAAGACGAACAATGTCAATCGAAATCGTCCCGCTGACTGAGACCGACATACCCGGGGCTGTAGACTGTGTGCAGAAAGCGTTTGCCGACGATCCATATTTTCGTTGGGTGTTTGATGACCCATCCAAGGTATGACATTTATTTTTTCCGCAAGTTTTGGGCCCGATGACTTGATCGTGGCTTCGAGAAAAATGCGCAAAAAAACAAAGAGTGAAGCAACGAAGTGGATATCGAACCAAGTAATAACGGGATCTAACAGTTTAACATCCAACGAAACGCAGCCTCCCTCGCTGCTCATTTCCGATATGGTATAAACTGCGACTGCCCCATCTCTGTCGCCAAGATAACTCGCGCCGCAAATGAAACCAAGAGCGATGTCGAAATACGCCTACCAGCCGGTTCTGTGGTCGGCGTTGCCTGGTGGTACTCGCCACAAAGGCCCTCCATGTCACAGACCTGGTCTGCTTGGGCACAAGACTGGCTTCTTTCCTTCCGTCAGCTAATGAACAATATCCGCTTCCTTGGTCGTGGTGGTCTGAATGTGCACCGCTATTGGATTTGGAAGCAAGTGCAGCAAACTACGCATGACGCTATCTGGCAGAACCCCCGTGGGTACTATTTTTGCAATGTTCTTTGCGTTGATTCAGAGGCGCGTGGTATGGGAGTAGGCAAGAAGCTCATGGAGAATATCATGGAGAAGGCCGATCGGGAGAACATGCCGTGCTACCTTGAGAGCTCCAAGGGATATCCAAACGTGTGTATTTATGAGAAAATGGGCTTTGAACTGGTCAAAGAGATTGAGTGCGTGGATGGAGGGGACGTTTGCAAGGTATGCTCTGTTGGCTTGAAATATTCCTTACTCAATCACTGACGCACTCCATCCCAGTTATATTGCATGATTCGCAACCCCAAGTCCAAAGAATAAGGCTGAAATTGCAACAGCCGATACCGGTCATTAACACAGATACACAGGGAGGGAAATTGAGTGACAGACCATGACTAATTGGTAGCATTTGAATCGCACGCATTTCGGTATCTGTCATCTTTGATTGCTTTAGCAGCGTGCGTAAGATGATCGAATATCGCTTTTCTCTCCCAAGTCTTCACCAAGTGAGCTTAGGTTGTTCAGAGTTGATTTCCTTTAATCGATCTCTCTCTATTTTCTTGGTTTTGGGCCGGGGAATTTTGCAGCGAGTTATAGTCTCTCTTTTATCTTTCGCTAAGCCTTCTGCGTCCCAGAAGACCTTGTTTGAGACACCCAGAGCCGAACAGGCACTGATGTGTGTTTCTTTCCTGCCTTCTGACCTCAACTCTGATTTAACACAATTCAACGCGTCCGCTATACCTTTGTTTATTTATTTCCATAAATTTAACCATTCTGAGTACATAGCACCATGAACGAGAGTACGGCTTCCGTCCGTATGCCTCTTCTGGGGATGGGCCCTGGTACACCGGAATTCAGATTTAATACGGAATACGGGGAGCAAAATCTCGCCTAGGTGAGCTGCTTATAATATCCGAAGCATCGGTTTTCGGAAACAGTCTAACTATGTACATATTCTAACTATATGCATATGAACGATAGAGTTGGAAGGAAGCAGGCCTCAGGCAGACATGCCACGCCTATAATCAAGCCCATTTCCCTAGCAGCCCCATCAACACCAGCCCACTGACCAAAGAAATACCACCAGTCAAAACTTTTGACAACTTCGCATGTAACATTTCACCTCCATCAATGACCCAGTCACGCGCCCACATATCAACGATACCAACCCACACCAGAATACCAGCAGACAGCGCGTCCAATGTTCCTAGTGCAATCAAAGTGCTCTTCGAGTTACCATTGAAGGTGTGCAGAGCACCAAGTCCAATAGCCATGCCAATAGGAGTGATCAAGGCAAATGCCATCGCCATAAGCGCCTTAGAAGGGAATATAGGTCCCTGGAGGGTGGCAATACGAGCACCGAGTGCCAACCCTTCAAAGAATTGATGAAACACAATCACCACCAGAAGCGTCTTGTAAAATGAGTCTCCAGCAACGACGAGGGTGAGACCGATCAAGATGCTATGGAAAAGTATACCCGCTTCCATGACAATGACCGAAAATTTGCTGTTGGGTCCGGTAAGATCGAATGAGCCGTGATTGTGCCCAAGACAAGCCAACGTGGGCTGCTGCTGTTGGCCCTGAGGGTGGTCATGCTCTCCCTTCTGATGTGTTTGCTGAGGTTCGGACGGTGTGCTTTCTGCGGAGTTCTTCTTGCTGTTGCGAGCAACGATAATCCTGTGGCCAATGTATTCCAACAAGAAAGCAATGAATATACCCGCCATGACCACCGCAGAGGTAGTCGCTTCGTACTCGAGTTCTCCCAAACACTCATTCGTAAACATGAGGTTTGCATGTGTGTATAGCTAAGGAAACTAGTTAGCAAGTAGTACGTACCTCCGTTACGGCCGAGGTTACTCACATGGATGAAAGCCGTGGCAAGGATGATGCCAGTTCCGAATTGTTTGATGACAGTCGACACCACCCCATTGATTGAAGCAAATGGAAGTTTCATCAGGAGAATAGGGGCAAAGACACCAATTGAACTAGTGACAAGGACAACAAACAACGTGCCAATTCTTAGAGGTATGTTGTAGTCTCTTGCTTTGATCTCACACGATGAACCACTATGTTCCTCTGATTCACCTTCACCCACGCAGTGTCTAGAATAGCCAAAGTCAATAATGCTCAGGTTTGGAAAAATTGTTAGAAGCTTACTCAACGCCAACATGGAAGTGGCAACTTTGTTTGGCTTCGCTTGAGGATTCCTCGTGGTCATGGGCATCATCTTCACTGTGACTATCTTCGGTCCCCTCGGCTTCCGTTTCTTCTTCTTGAATCAGGACATCGTTTCCATCTCCATCCATGCAATATCTTCGCATTTCGTGGGTCAGTATATTGTCATAGATATGCATGCGTGTGTACTTACGACTCGCTTCCATGGGAGTGACACCCAGTGTATTGTGCTGGTATCCCGGTTGTAGGGGTAGAGGTGGCCGAAACTAAAACTTCGTGGCCATCTCCATCAATACAGTAAATACTTGAGCCATGGCTATGACAACCAGTTATAGATGATGTTTGTGCGGATGTTGTTGCTGTGGCTGCATATACCCTGGAAATGCCTAGTGATATAAGGAAAGGTTTGGAAATGAGCATGATGAAGGTGCTCTACTCTTTTCCAAATAAGAATGACGAGATTGGGACTGGGATTGATGCGATAGATAAGCCACAAGTGAGTATTTTTTTAATGGAATACTGGGTGCAATCCTCTCTAGAAGGCCTGGTATATTAAGTAAGAGTCATACATAATGGCCTCACCCCCAAGGTTCTCAATGCCAAGTGAAAGATCTTTTCATATTTTCGCCAAGAGCAGGTCTGAACTTCAAATCCGGGTTTCCTCCGGAGAATATCGCCCACTTAGTTCTTGTTCTCTCAAGGTACTTCCCCTAAAGTGTCTTGGCGACCCTCCGCCGAGCCTTTGTCTTGGCATCAATCTGGAATTTTCTGTTCTGATTGCTGGAGGAAAAAAGACCTTTTGGCGAGAGAAGCAAAGAAGCTCTCAAGGTCCCCTCTTGGCGGATTACATCATCCGTGTAGCGGGAAATATGGAGAAGATATCCCGCTTTCTATCCTATACTGGGTGTTGCGTGGATTACAGACACAGCGAAAATGAGAACAAAAGCCACACTTGGCAAACAGTTGAGAGAAAAACTAAACCATCTTATATGGAAACGTCAAAAACTTAGTAAAAATGATATAAAAGCTGCCTCTACCATGCTTAGGAATTTGCCTTCATAGTTCCCAAGCAATTTGCCTCGATTATACAAACATGCTTTTGTTCAAGCTCATTCTCTCCTCTGCAGCAGTTGCGGCTGCTCTTCCCACCCCCGAAAGCTCTGAAGGCAATCAATCCCAGCCCTTTTCTCGGACAGGGCTTGCACCTTGGAACGCTGGCGCTGTGAATCAATTTCCCATCCATTCAAGCTGCAATGCAACCCAGCGTCGCCAGATTGAGCTCGGTCTTAACGAGACTATTGCTCTTGCTGAGCATGCTCAAAACCATATCTTGAGATGGAGAAATGAGAGCGAGATCTACAGGAAGTATTTCGGTGACCGCCCATCCATGGAAGCCATCGGTGCATTTGATATCGTAGTCAACGGCGACAAGAAAGACATTTTGTTTCGATGTGATAACCCAGACGGAAATTGTGGCATTGAAGGTAATACACCATGCTCTATATGAGGGATGATATCCTAAACATCTCAACCAAATAGGTTATGCTGGACATTGGCGAGGCGAAAATGGCACGGATGAGACAGTTATCTGCGACCTGAGCTACCAAACTCGTCGGTCTCTCTCAAGCATGTGTGGCCTTGGATATACAGTCTCAGAATCTGAGACCAACACCTTCTGGGCCGCTGATCTACTGCACCGCCTATATCATGTTCCTGCCATCGGACAGAACTGGATAGACCATTTTGCAGACGGATATGAAGAGGTCATTGACCAAGCGAAGGATAATGCGACTCTCTCAACGCATGATTCGGAAACCCTTCAGTACTTTGCACTGGAGGTATATGCTTACGACATTGCTGTGCCGGGGATTGGTTGTCCAGGCGTCCAACATAAGCATGATGAACCCCACGTTGATCAAACAACATCCGAGGCTGTGACTAGTCAACCAACTCCTACTGCAACAAATACCAATGCACCTTCAACAACTTCTGAGGTACCTCCGGTAAGTAGCTTTTTGTGTTGCACTGTGATGGCTCGAAACTGATTGGAATAGAATTGCCATACCCATGAAGGAGGCGAGCTCCACTGCACTTGACATTTTTATTTTGTTGGAACGGTGAAAAGCCCGATCAGGCAATTGAGACGCAAGTAAAGCTTTGGCAAGATGATAGGCCTGATGTGGAGGAAATTGATGGGTATTTCATAGCAGGAGAGCGACGGAAGAAGGGTCTCATTGGCCCAAGACACCAGCCTCGACATATTTAGAGATTGTACTCCGTACGGAGCAACATAATGTGATCTATATTAATGCTGGGCTTATTTTCTGCCATATGTTGTATAAAGTGACCCATTACAGTTTGTATTTAGCGCCCTAGTGGTCTTGTTTGTTCGGCATGGATCCAGGGGTAAGGCTTTTTTAGGCCTGAGTTGTCTTCCAGGAAACCTCGTTATTGCCCCTTTTATCATATCGGTTATCATTTTATTGATATAGCTTATATTTTACATGATAGGTGTTCTCATTCTGTATTCCCCCATTCTCGCTGGATGATCACCTCGATAAATGTTAAGTAAATAGGAAGTCAAGAGCTTTTGACGGTAGTGTTAGTGTTTACAGTCCTTATCCTTTCTATGCATGTCAAACGTGAAATACGTTGCTAGGTGTTTTCGAGGAAACCGTATTGTTTAACTAATTAATTAAATTGACCACTTAGTAGAAAAGGAAGGTGTTCATTAGAGGCTTATTTGTCTCCACTTGCTCTGATGTTCGTGCATTCTCTAATTGCCACCCCAGGGATGGAATCGGGCCTGGAAAATATGGCATTAAATAAGCTACGGGTGGAAATAAATTATAGCTGGAGACTTGGGGGGTGTCTAGGTATTACGAAAAATGCGTGTGATTTGGAGTGGTGACTGCTGACTACCCAAATTCAATAAAATTAATAACAACCAATCGCTTAATCAACAGCAAGTTTTCTTTTGACCCCTCATCCTTCACTTTGGGCCTTGTATTATTCGTCGACGATTTCTTACTATGTGTCTATTCTCGTTTATTCTACTGATTGTGGAAAATATCGTTGATATTGATTATGCTTTCGGTCAACTCCCAAATAACCGCTGGTTGCATGTTATTGTTCATCGTCATGTCTCCTCAAACAGTGTCTTTGCGCTTTGCCCGCGTTTTAATTTGCATTCCAAATATCAATTACCCATTTTATCTCGCGAGTGAGACCCTCACATTTCTGAGATCATATTTGATCCCAGAATCTATGGCATGGTTCCCAGTAGACCCCTCAATAGCCCACAAAGCCCATTCGGGCCCATAATGGGCCCTAAACAATATAAACATGCGTTTATCGTAGCTGTATAATTAATGCATTTTTGTCTGGTTTTTTTGGGTATTTAAACTACCATCTGAGCGATACATGAAGCTATACAGAAACCTTCTTTATAAGCTTATAAATTAACTCATAAGATGCAAAGTTGATTTTTATAAAGCTTTACTTTTTACATGGGGTACTTAGTTAACACCTAATGCTCAGTAATCCTCCTAAGTGCGAATTCGTGGTTAAGTTAGATCTTTTTAGGGTGATTTTGTATGAAATTTTGCATGAAATCTAGTATCATAATGCTCAAATCAGTATAATATCTACTGAATTCCTAGTAGTCAGGCCTCGCCCTCTGACTCGCCAACGACAAAGCCGCTATAGTCCAGGCTAGGGCAGTCCTCTTCTAGCCAGGATGTTATGAAGCGTTTGTAGTCGCCGGGTAGTAGATGGCGCAGATCTCCGGGAGTCGTGGCCATTGTGAGTCGAGGAACAAATGAATTCAAGTTAGTGTTAATCTGCGAGTTCAAAGTTCCCCGCGCGGGGGTGAAGAGGCGGGTGGGCCCGGTACTTCTTACTATAATAATATGATGAAATTGAATATACAGGTTGGTACATGCGTAAAATACAGCAATTAATCAGCTACTTTATACGTACCAAGACTATATTTGTGCACTAAATGGGCTTCTGGTGGGCTTTGATGGGCGCTCATTTGCGGGCTATTGAGAGGTCTAGTTCCCAGGCACGCTCTTGGCCGCTCACAGGAGGAACGTTCTTCGGGGAAAGCGCCGTGCATGTGGAGCGATAAGACCTCGCCCTCACCTGCATCGAGTCCCCTAAACCGGAATTGGGAACCGTGAAAGGATCCGTAGCCTTTGAGGACCTGCAAAGGTGTACATACTAATTTATAGGCAGTAAATTACCTATTTAGGATGACCTATGTACATAAAAAGTTAGACTAAGACTACTAAAAGGATACACCTTGGCGCCAAGGTGGGGTCTAAAATACGGACAAGGATAAATGCAGTCTGACGCTGAACATTCAATTAAAACAACTTCCTGTTTAGGTATAGTGAATATCCAGGTTACATACCTGCCGGGAAGTTTCTTCAGTTAAATTTTTCCAAGATCAACTTGTATTATTATGTTATCAGCCCCCAGGGTCAAGTCTCATATCTGAAAGAGGGTATATCTAGCCTGGTCTCTTGTCATTATTTCAGCCTGTTGGCCCTTGTCTGCGTACCCAGTTGAGTGCGAGTGTTCTAAAACCAGCATGGCTGAGACTGTCAGAATATGTATGTTCCGCTACCCTCTTGCATACTTATCGAATATCTAGGCACCTAGTAGGTACCTAGGTAGGTAAGGTATTGTTTGTGATACTTATTTGTGCCTGATATAGCCGCGCGAAGTAACCATGGCTGTTGGACATGTCGCCTCCGCAAAAAGAAATGCGATGAGAATCGCCCTGTGTGTTCAGCTTGCATTTCTCTCGAATTGGAGTGTCATGGATACGGCCCGAGGCCTGGATGGATGGATAATGGCGTACTGCAAAGAGATCAGGCCTCCAAATTCAAACGTCTAGTTAGTCAGGCTAAGTCGAAAAAGGGAAGGCGACAGCAACTTCTCGCCAATCAGTCACCACTGGTTTCAACAATTGGCATGAGGTCTGCAACCGCCAGGAATATATCCTCGCCAGCGGCTGTTTCGCAACATTTTTTCGATGAACAACTCGGGGCTTTTCCTCAAGACGAGTTCAATTATCCAGATAGTGGGATAGGGTCCAGTAACTCTATTGACACACTATGGACATATTGGCCTCCAAACGACCTTTCTATCATGGATGATGCTTCGTTGGATTTAGAGGGCTACAGCTCTACCTATACTACCTGTCAGAATCAACACTCGGCACCGCCTTTAGTATCGCCCATGGCTTTCGAAAACATCGTATCTGGAATGGACATTCAATCTCCAATCGATCAGAGTACCAGCTCCTCGTTGAATGAATTACAAGGTAGCGCGTCTCAGGACCATGGATATCATTTCAAGGAAACAGCTTCAGCGAATAATTACGACCACGTGGCATCATATTCTCAGATGGCAAACCCGAGTGGAGACACAGAGGATGCACTGTTTATGTACTACCTGGACGAAGTCTTTTACATCCAGTATCCGTTTTTTCATTGCCAAAAGAAACAAGGAAGAGGTTGGCTCTTTGCGATCCTTCGAAGAGTCAAGTCGACATACCATGCAGCTTTAGCTCTGAGCGAACGCCAACTTCTTTCAAGCTCCTCACCGCAAAATAGTGACATTGCTAGTAGCCTGATTCAACTACGCGCCCAAAACAGTCACTACGACAAAGCCATTCAAGAGATGCAGGTGATGATAAATGATCAAAACGCATCGAAAGGGCGTGACCTCTTGCTTGGTAGCATAGAAGTCCTCATGTCTATACTGCAGCTCTTGTTCTTTGAGGTAGGCAAGCAATGATCCAACTAGTCATAAATATGATACTAAGATCTTACACATGGCAGATTTTCAATGGTGGAAGAGAAAAATGGCAGACACATATGCGGACGGCATCTGGTTCCATTTCTACACTCCTACAGGCCCGGCTTCCGCCTTTAACGACGCCAGACGACTCTATCGTTCCACCCAGTGGAAGTGAGATGACCGCTCTATGCCCCGAAATTGAATGCGCATTTAAATTCGTACTCGGATCTTTCATCGCAATTGACATCATCTCTTCCGCTTCCACTCGATCAAATCTAACCCTTGACATAAATCACCTACAAGTACTTGAGACTTTTGAAGTTTCCCTGGAAAGCCACACCGGGTGTCGGGATTCAGTAATGGCTCTTATACTGGAAATCTCCCGTTTGGACAAATGGAAGAAAGAGGCTCAAAGCGCCAACAAGCTGAGTTTTGTTGATCTGGTAAAACGTGGTGCCGGAATAAAGGACCGTCTTCGGCAAGAGCTAGCAGCCATTGAGGAAAAAACTCATTCATGGGCAGGAGGAGGGTCGTTGTTAGCCACTTCATCAGCAATTGCTACTCCTAATACCCCAACACCTACGCATCCAGAAATCAGCAAAGTGTTCGTACTGGGCGCTATAACGTATCTCCATGTTGTCATTTCAGGTCCTTATCCAGAAGTGCCCGAGATAGCAGAAAGCATCTCAGAAACGGTCCTTGCTTTCAAGGGTTTGAAAGATCCACGATTATTGCGAAGTTTGGTGTGGCCATTTTGTATTTCGGGATGCTTGGCGCTGGAGAAACATTATGATTTCTTCCGAGGTCTTGTTTCTAGAGCAGGTATCACCCAACATGCTACTGGGGTATGCTCGGAGGCCTTAGAAATTATGGAAGAATGCTGGAAGGCTAGGGTTATTTCCACCGAGAGTTGTGATTGGGCTACAGCGATGCAGCGACGCGGTTGCTATGTTTTTCTAGGATGAAAAAAAAGGAATAGAAGAATGAAGAAAAACGAAAAACGAAATTGGGAAACAGTTTACTCAAAAGCGCACGTACCAATCGTTTTGCAAAGAATGCTGTTGATATTATTTGAACAGGACAATGTTTAACTTTAACCATTTAGGGTTTCGGGTGGAAGCCCCATAGATCGTCGTCAGTCGTAGCCATCACTTGCATTTGGCAACTGAGCAATTTGTGGGGCCATAGTGGGTTTACGAGTCGAGCCTTGAAAACGATTAATGTGTAGTATACTCTATGTACTCCGAAGTGACACTGTACATTGATCGACTCTACGTGTGCTAGGCACAAGACAAAGGCTTATATCGGACGAGTTCATTGCACTCTTGTTAGGCCCAGGTGCCTTGATGTAGCAAGAATTCGGCCAAGGTCCATGCGGAGCACAGCAACCCGTCTACCCTACCGGTGGGGTAGACGGACCCGGAATTGGGTCCAACCTTCGGACCCCGACCCGGACCCAGTCCCGACCCGAAAACCCCGTGTAGACCCATGTGGATCCGCAATTAGCATAAATTACTACATAAAGATGGTTACTCAGCAAAGTAAAGTACGGGGGTTTTTTTTCACTGTTTTGGTCATGCACTAAAAATATACACCACTTTGCATGTAAGGCGAAATTTTAAGAAAGCTCACTGTTACCTTAAATTAAACCTCCAGTTTACTAATAATTACCACTTAGACTATGTAATTTAGGCCGGTGCGGTGCTCTGGCTATATGCCTTAGGAGTTTACATGTTTAAGCGGTGATAATATATATTTCTCAGCGGAGTAAGAGATATATATTTTTCTAAACTAGCCAGTCGCTTTATATGCCTACACAAAGAGGAGTTAAAGTAGGTAAAAAGGAATAAGTTATTACCAGCCAGCTCTTTTTCTCAGCGGAGGCCTTAAAAACTCCACCCAGCTTTAGCTATAAAGTAATTACTCAAAATAGCTGCTAATATTTGCACAAGATATGCAGGCTCGTATTTTAGAATATTTACACCTGTTTGAAGAAAAAAAAAACCCTCGGATTAGGTCCTGGACCCAGTACTGGGTCCAACTGGGTCCGGGTCCTACTAGGTCGTGCGACAGTCTAGAAGAGATGGTTATGCGAATCCAATGCCATAAGAGTTTACGCGACGTTAGTCTTATAGTATAGTACTGCTCCCTGCTCGAGAAGTATATCCACTAACGCGACATTCTCCTTCATAGGATTCGCTGCGAGACTTACGATGCCGATCGAAGAATCATACCCTTTAATATTAAATGTATCCTTTAAAGAAATTAGTATCCCATGCAGCGGCCCTTGTGTCTTGCCTATTCGTTTATATTCAGAATCCAGAGCGTGTGCTCACTCGATAGCCGGTAAGAAGAGGATTTCCGAGAGACAGTGAGTTATTGAGCGAGGGCGGCACGCTCGCAGAAAGCGATGGTTACGGCTTTAGATGTGAGCGCCCGGGAATGGATAAGTTAAGAGGGTGAGGTTACGTCGTGCGAAGAAGTTATGGAGAGTTCGTCTCGAGTCAGGATAGTGCTTTCTGAAACAAGGGAGCGGACGTCGAGTGGGAGTAGTGCGTCGAGGAGCCAGCTTTTGGGGATGAGAAATTGAAGGGTCTTGAGTTTGCGGTGAGCAATGGCACGGTAGGTTTGGGAGGACATTGGTTCCGAAAGTGCCCTTGCCGGTTGCTGGTTTATAACCACCTGGCGTTGAGAGAGGGCTCCGTCGAAGAAGTGTTGTTACATCCAAGGATGGAGTACTTGATCCTTGTGATCGAAGTGGGCAATAAGGGATTGGCCGACTGCTGTTAGCTCGACTCGTGACGTACTAGTAACTAGTACCAACGTAGCTAGTACCAACTTGAACTATCGATTATATTTTTACTAATGGAGTTCTTTTATACGTCTTTGATCTTTATTCTATTTCTTCTATGCCTCAAAAATGTTTAATTAGACATTTGATATTCGCTCGTGCTTAGTTCAAAGCTGCTAATTCTGGATTTCCATCCTCGTGGCTATCGGCTTCATTCTTGGTTATGTTCTGCACAATAGCCTGGCCCAGACCGGCGATGGGAGCATCCTTCTGAACCCTCAAACCCCTTGTCATCCGAGCAATCATGGAATAGAACCCTAAAACAATATACAGCTCTACCACCTCATCATCACTCATCAAGGATCGAGCCCATTGGATGGTTTCCTCGGTGTTGGTCCATGTTGCGATGGACTCGTCCACCAAGGTGATGATACATTGCTGTCGCTCCGACCAAATTCCCATTGCGAAGAGCTCCTCCGACTTCAGGCATTTACGAAGTGCTTCAATCTTTTCATCGCCCATGCCGTTGACCCTCGAAACAGGCTCATTGATTCCAAACAAGTATTCAGCGCCAACGGTTGACGTCATACGGAGAACGACGAGCTGGTAGTCCAAAATCTGAATAGTGCGCGTCTGGCCATCTAGCAAGGCGTTCAAAGTGTCCATGATGGGCGGGAATAGCCCTTTTGATCTGGCAAATAAATTGAAGACATTGCGTTTGATGGAGAAATTTCTCAAGATCTCTGCGTTTCTTTCATGGGAGGCGTCTGGGTTGAGCATATCGAGTCCATCAATAAGAGCCTTCTGACGGGCAGCTGTTGCTTCTGCTGCGTCGGACATGATGAGACAGATTGGTGAAGATTTCCAGTGATACCAGATATCGATTGACCTTGCACAGTGAATAGGGAATGGCAGTTGTTCAAAGTTATATGAATATTGCTGAGCGGACTGCCTGATGCGTACCCTAAGGTAACTTCCCTTATCTAATTAGCTAGTTAACCCGTTGATGGGCTAGTTATTGGAGATCAATTGATGGCCTAAGGCAAACATATCCTATAGATGTGCGCGCTAAGGCTAGCCGTTTTGAGACCCTTCCAGACCGCTAGACCCGCTAGACCCACTTGCCGCGCTGCACGCACTGCGCGGTAACGCTAGCTGACTGTGGATTAGATCGGTTGGACGGTATATGGGGCTATCCCACGCAGATCTCCGATCGGACTCTCCCGGTGCGCGGCGACGCTAAGCCTAATATTTCCGCCTTTGCTAGAGCAGCTACCAGCTAGCAGCTAGTGTTGGCAAATGGCCTCGTCTTCACTGCGTAATGACATGGCCACTAGGCAGCTGCAACCCTGCCCTCTCTATCTTAGGATCTGCAACCTGCACTGCAACATGCAGTAGACATTCTAAGGGGTTGGTTGTGCTTGGTAATCTCCCTGTCTCCTTCCCTTTTCACATTTGTCATCCTTTTGTTATGTATATTGTCGGGAAACAACAATTTTCTCCTTTTCATAGTGTTGTGGAATATATTTAACCGATAACAACCAACAAGCTTGGATACAGACTCTTCTGCCAAACAAGACAGGGAACTGGACTCACAATGCAACCTATGGCAGATTCTGAGAAACTCCCAAATGATCCCAAACTCGGCACCGACCCAAGCCAGAGCGACGAGAGCACCACCGTTACACCAGTCATTGACGATGCCGAAAACCAACTCCGGGCTGACGTAAAGCCAAAAGAGTCACATCAGCAGGAAGCGCGCGAGATTGGAGGTTGGAAATGGGTTGTCGTCGTACTGGCCATCTACAGCTCGCAATTCCTATTCGCCCTCGACCAGACGATCGTAGCCAACGTCCAACCCGCAATTGTCGAGCAATTCAATTCCGTGGACAGGCTTTCATGGGTCAGTGTTGCCTTTCTCATCGGTGCCGCGGGAACAAACTTGGTATGGGGCAAAATCTTTTCTCAGTTCAATATCAAATGGGCCTACATCTCGGCCATCGTTGTTTTTGAAGTTGGTTCAGCTATCTGCGGCGCTGCTCCAAACATGAACTCCTTGATCGTGGGTCGAGCCATTTGTGGCGTCTCTGGAGCCGGTATGTATGTTGGCCTCATGACACAACTAGCCGTCACAACCACCATTCAAGAACGTCCTATGTACATCAGCGGAGCGGGCCTGGTCTGGGGTATTGGTACAGTCCTGGGTCCTATAATCGGTGGCGCATTCACAGACTCGTCTGCGACCTGGCGCTGGTCATTTTATATCAACCTCTGTGTTGGTGCCGTCTGCGCCCCCGTCTACCTATTCATGTTGCCCAACAAGGACCCGCGCCGTGGAACCAGCTTTGCCAACCGTGCTCGTGAACTTGACTACCTTGGAACCATCCTTCTGATTGGTGCGTTCTTTTCCGGAGTCATGGCTGTATCATTTGGTGGTGTTGTGTACCCGTGGAACTCGAGCAAGATCATTGGCGTCTTTTGCTGCTCTGGTGTGTTATTCATCCTGTTTGGCGTGCAGCAGACCTATGCCCTCTTTACTACCCCTGCTCGTCGCATCCTCCCCGTCGAATTCTTCAAGAGCCGCACCATCTTAATCTTGTTCGCCGTGACTGCAGCTGGTGGAACGGCCCTATTTCTCCCTATCTACATGACGCCTCTCTATTTCCAGTTCAGTCGTGGAGATGGAGCGCTTCAGTCTGGCGTTCGACTTTTACCCTTTATCATGTTAATGATCTTTGCCACCATTTTTAACGGCGCATTCCTGTCCAAGGTGGGGTATTACATGCCTTGGTACCTTATCGGAGGTATCCTAATTGTTATTGGTGGTGCACTCATGTATACGGTGGACACAGCGACATCCGTCTCCAGTATATATGGGTATACCGTCCTCGTCGGCATTGGGGCTGGTCTATTCTGTCAGGCATCATTCTCAGTTGGCCAGGCAGTTGTCAAACCTGAAATGGTTCCTGCATCCATTGGTTTCATCTCAACTGGGCAAATTACTGGCATCACTTTAGCCCTCGCCATTGCCAATGCGGTATTCCTCAACAAAAGTGAAGAGGGAATCAAGGCCATATTACCAAATACACCAACCGCGGAGATCCAGCAGACTATCACTGGAGTGGGGTCTGCACTTTTCGACAACATGTCAGCAGATGATCGGCAGCGGGTGTTGGCCGTGATCGTCTCTGCAATAAGCAGCACATACGCCTTGGTCATTACAGCTGGATCGCTGGTCACCGTATTGAGTCTTCTGCTGAAGAGAAACAAGCTGTTTGTGGCTCCTGTAGCAGCAGCCTGAGTGATTTCTTTCGGAGAGAGTGTTTGGGGAGGACATAGCCAAACTACCGGTCAACTGAGCGCCCTGTACGGGGAAGCGGGCTGAAAAGAAACAGTCTGTTTGTGACTCCTGCGGCAGCAGCCTGAGTGATTCCTTTCGGAGAGAGTGTTTGAGGAGGTCATGGCCAAATTACCGGTCGACTGAACGGCCTGCACGGGGAAGCGGGCTAAGAGAGAAAGTGTAGCTTGATTTCGCTCAACTTAGTTCCTGAGAGGTTTGGGGTCACTGAGAGGTTTGGGGTATTAATGGACAGAGTGATTCATCCATGCGGGAGAAATGGATGCGACCGAGATTGTATCAAAACCATCCCTTTACAATTAGATGATTTTAAAAGGCATTTTGGTCAATGCTATATCGATATCTCTATTTTGAAAATATTATAAGCCAATACATATTGGATATATCCGATATCGAAATGATCTTACATAGTAAAAGCTCTTAGATATTTGGGAGGTTTCTAAGGGTTTAAGCGGTTTGGGGCTTCTAGAGGTTTCTGTAAGGTGTACTGTATTAAGATAACTAGTTAGTACTAACTATTTGATATATTTTATTTTTTCCGAGTAAATATATGCCTAGTAACATTACTACTATGGTCTAGAGAACTTTCTTATTTATTACTAAGGATCGAATTCAGGTCCAGCCTACAGTAGTAAAGATTATCTACGGTAGCCAAAAATATTGAAGGTCCGCAATAAATGCCTGGCTAATCAGAGACCGTTCCGAAAGCCCAAGGCCTCTCGGAACATTCAGATTGTCTGTCTTATTTTTGGAAACGTTGGAAAACGCGGGAAACGTGTCTGAAGCGTGTTGACCTTCAGCATAGTATCGAAAGAAAAAAAAAATATCGCTTATCATTACGGCAATACCTCCGAACCACTAAATAGCACATTTTCATTTTTCAAAAATAGGCTCTACACTATATACATACAGTAGTGGCCGTATCTTTCTCCCGCTTGGATAACATATTAGAAAATTGCTATACTGTCCAACTACAACACAATATGCATTATCCTCTCTTAGGAATACAATTAGGGCTAGGGTTGCAAAGAAGGTAATTTACCCGATTTATTTGCCCAGACACTAAGACAACCACTCGATATCGCAATTGGATAGTAAAACGGCCTAGTAAAACGGCTTAGCTCGTTTTATTTAGCTCTACCGCCAGCACTGATTCGCCCCCGGTGCAATTTAGGGACTGTTGTCTAGCTTTGCCGCCAGGCATAAACTTTCAAGCGGTTCGCGCTCGCTGGTGGATTCCTTGGTGCGCCGCAGTTTCTCAATCATTGCCGTACATTGGCTGGGTATCTCAAGGCATAATGGGCTTCCAAATACATCAAGTGCAGTTGAACGGGATGGTAACGATACATAAACAGAGCTTTGGTGCGTCTATATACGCCGACAACACGTTTCAGAACCATTCATCAAACTGTCTTCGGGTAACAGCCAATTGATCATGATCTTGCACGACGATAGTAGTGGAGAGCCTCACCAGGCCAAGATTGCCAATGTATACGTCGAGGCGTTGAATGACGTCGATATCGCAAATGAGTACTGGGAAGAGCTCTTTCACCAAGCTGGACCCCAACGGCGTTTACAATGCTTTCCTATTGAATACCAACAGCCTCGCTGCAATTCGTCGCTCACTATTGCCGATGGGTCATTTGAGGCCACTCTATGGTTCTGCAAAAAGTACAATGTTCGTCTACACGATGTATTTTATGCCATATGGGCTATTGTGTCTGCGCGACATATGGCAGATGGCCACCGCACAACCGTATTTGCCGTGGCTGGCCCGGATCACTCAAGTCCCGGACAAGATGATGAGGTCGGCGTATCAGACCACAACATTCCCCTAATTCTTACGCTTCCAGAGGACACGGATGTCCTCTCATGGATTCGCCATGTGGGAACGGTCAGCGCCGAAGCGTCTTCCCATGCACACGTTGGTTACAAAAACATAATTGCGAAAGCCCCGGCCCATAATCCCCAAGCCAAAGTCTCCATCAGCTGGCCAGGCAATAGCCAGGAAGTCGTTGTCACTGGAGATGAATTCTTTCCGCTTGTCCTTGATATCCGTATCTCAACAAACCTCAACCTCAAATTCAGTGTATGGCACAACTCGACCGTTCCAGAGAGAGACATTCGCGTGCTACTGGACCATGTCGCGACTACACTGCAACAGGCAATGGAGAGCCATCACTCAAGCATCTCGGAGCTCCAGATAATGTCACCAACGGAGAAGCAACTATCACACGAATATGCAAACAACAGCGGCTTAATGCATCGCCTGATCGAACAGCAAGCCAAATTGACACCGGACGCCGAGGCAGTGCAGTTTGAGCAGGATAAACCACTCACTTTTTCAACACTGAATGCGCGGTCAAATAAATTAGCCCGGCAGATACGATCATTTGGAGCTCCAATTGTGCCAGTACATATGCACATATCAATTAACTTCATTGTCGCACTTTTCGCCATCCTGAAAGCTGGTGCTGCGTACGTCATTTTGGATCCGGATGCTGGAGCAGCGCGCAGGTCCTACATTATAAAGGACGTTCAGGCAGATTTCATCTTGGTGGACGACAATACCGCAGGCGAGTTTTATAAGGAGTTCAAAGTCGGTGATTTACTCAGACAGTCAACAAATCATGATGAAAGTGACCTCATGACGGATCAGCGTGTTAGTGACCTGGCATACATCATCTATACATCAGGTTCTAGTGGGAACCCCAAAGCAGTGCAGCTTGAGCATCAAGCTGCGTTCAGTGGCCTGAGGGCTTTCCCTCCGATTGCAAATCTCCGTCAATTGCTCTTCTACAACCCTGTCTTTTCAGCGGCACAGAGATCTATTTGGGCGACTCTGAGTGTAGGCGGCTGCCTGTGCCTTGCATCCAAGAAGAACACTACAGTGCATTTAGCTACGACAATTAACACCATGCAGATCAACTCAATTGATATGACCTCAACAACCGCGACACTGGTCTCACCCGATGAAGTGCCCCCTCTTCGACGACTAGTATTGGGCGGTGAGATGGTCAGTTCGACTGTGATTCAGAGGTGGGCACATCGAGTAGAGCTCTTTTCATCCTACGGCCTTAGCGAATGCACACAACTCAATTGGCGTTGCAGATTATCAAGTGATTCCAATCCTCGAAGTATTGGACAACCATCTGACACAACGACATCGTACATTCTCATCCCTGGAACCGTTAAACTTTCACCTCTACTCGTCCCTGGCGAGTTATGTCTTGGAGGTGCGCAGCTCGCGAGGGGGTATTTGAACCTCACAGAAGAAACAAACAAGCGTTTCATCCAAAACCCATTTGGCCAAGATAGACTCTATCGGACAGGCGATATGGCGGTTCGTCACGCCGACGGGTCCATAGAAATACTGGGACGCATTGATTTTCAAGCCAAAATCAATGGCCAGAGAGTTGATCCCGGCGAGCCCAACTCAGTGATCCAAGCACATGAGGATGTTGAACAATCCGCTGTGGTTCCAGTTCCTGTGAACGGGAAGATTCTTCTTGTCGCTGTCGTTGTCAGTCGTGCTGGGTGCGATTGGGATCATCTTGTCGAAAGTCTTCGCTCATTTCTCCCATCGAGAATACCTTTGTACATGGTACCGAGTTTCTGGGTTTCCATACCAGCAATGCCGCTCAACGCCAACGGCAAAATTGATATGCAAGCGGTCCGAGTTATTGTTGAGCGCCAACGCGATTCAGGACAGTTGTTTCCGCGTCGTTCCAAGACCGACATAAATGGCAGCGCACTCACTCAGAGCGAAAATGTATTAAAAAACCTCTGGGCAGAGCTTTTGTCCATGCCGGAGTCATATATCTCCCCGAGCGACTCATTCGTTTCGTTAGGCGGCACATCCCTTGAAGCCATCCAGGTTGTGTCAAGGCTTCGATCTGAATATTTTCTAAACTTGAAGGTCGATGATATCATTCTTGGCACCTCGCTTTCTGCTATAGCTCGTCTCGCCGAGAAGCTAGTCGAGGGAATCAGCAATGAAGACCAAATAACTCCATTTGCCCTTCTTCGTGAGCCTCTTTCTTCGGAATATCTGAACATCGAACATTCAGAGATCGAAGATGCCTACCCAGTCACACCTTTCCAAGAGGCAGCTATCGCAAACACAGTAATGGGTGGCAAGAGCTACATCTATAGCCGTTCTTACAGCTTTGCAGGACATGATGAGGCTATTGTGAAAGCATCACTTGTATCCCTGGCAAAGTCCCATGTTCTTCTTCGGACAACTTTCGTCGCAAGAGGAGCGTCATTTCTACAGGTAGTCAAGAAGACCGTGAAATTGCCGTGGGAAACCTCTACATTGGATGTGAAAGATTATATGAAACACAGAGCATCAGATCTGATGTATCCTGGCGACCTTTGGTGGAGAGCGGCTGTTCTGCCGGGGAACATTCTAGTCCTCACCACTCATCATGCTCTTTTCGATTACTGGTCCAACGAATTTCTTTCGCATGATCTCACATCTATCTTACTTGGAAAAGAGCCAATTCAGCGACCAGTATACAGACGTTATGTCGAGCACTTGCAGCAATATGACGACAATGCCATGGAGGTATTCTGGAGCAATTATCTCGATGGAGTTAAGCCTAGTCCACTTGGGCCATATGGAAGTCGTGAAAGTGCGGTCACAGCCAAACTCAATTTTGATTTCCAAAGTGCCGCATCAAACCTCAGCGTTACACCAAGTGTGCTGTTGTATGCTGCTTGGTCGGTTGTTCTGTCTATTGCAAGCTCTACTGATGATGTTGTCTTTGGTGTCACACTTTCCGGGCGAGAAGCCCCAGTTCCAGGTATCCTTCAGATGAATGGGCCTACTCTCATGATTGCTCCACTCAGAGTCAAAGTCGACAAAACGGAATCATTCAAAGCTCATCTGACGAGTATGCAAGACAGTCTATGGAGTGTCGCGAGAAATGCTCAGTACGGGTTACGCCGCATCCTCAAAACAACTGGACAGTCAAAAGATCTCGTGGGATCTATGGTGAACTTCTTGATCAAACTACCTATACACAGGCCGGCTGGAGGATTAGTATTGTTGTCAGAGAATAATCTTGGCTCGGTTGAAAATGTCAAGATTGAGATCAACAAAGATAGCATGGATTGCGTAACTGTGGTCTCATCGCTTGATAGAGAATTCGCTCAGGCTCTCGTCGACACGGTTGCGATTGTTCTGGAATCAGCATCATCTGCGCCACTTACGAAAATCGGACATTGGAAATTGGTGCAACCAACAACCGGATCCGCAGGCGATCTTGAACCCGAGGATCCTCACTCACGGTTGATGAAGGGCCAACAAAGCCAAGCGGAGAACGGCTTGGTTGGGTCTAATGAAGTGGACCAAATCAAAATACCGAGCAGAGAGCATGCCGAATTAGCACATTCTGCATTTCAGAGGATGGCTTTCTCTCATCCAGGCAAGATAGCCGTGCAAGATGCGTCAGGAAATCAGATAACATACGCTGGATTGGCCATCAAGGCTAACCAGCTTGCGGGCTTATTGAGAGCGAAAGGAATTCAACTAGAGCAAATTGTCCCCATCATGTTCGAAAAGTCCATTAACACTGTCGTGGCTATATTTGGAATCCTAGTCGCTGGCGGTGCCTTCTTGCCTCTTGGACCAGAGAACCCCCGGGAAAGAAACTTGGGAATTCTCGATGACTTGGAAGGCAAGATTGCTATCACAGATCGATCCAACGCCGCTTTCTTTGTTGACGCTGCGTATGAAGTCATTGTACTCGATGATCTGAACTGGGATACAATGCCAATCGAGAGACATGATGTACCTGGCATGACACCCAACAGCCTGGCATATGTCATATACACCTCCGGGAGTACTGGAAAGCCGAAGGGAACCCTTTTGATGCACGAGGGTCTATCAGCGGCGACCCAGGCAATCAATGAAGCAACGAAGACGGAGGTTTCGCATAGGTTTTTATGGGTTCCAAACTATACGTTTGACGGCTCTCTGGACACTCTGTTTACAGCTCTCTCCAGTGGATGTACACTGTGTGTTGCTCCACAGAGCGTTATTGCATCCAACCTCACCGGATTGATCAATACAATGCAGGTCAACCGAGCCAATATGACACCTTCGATGACCGCACTCATCAATCCGGAGGAAGTTCCGACTCTCCAAATTTTAATTACCGGAGGAGAAGCCATCACTCCGCAAGTGTTGGCAGCATGGATGCCACGCGTAAAGATATATAACGCATACGGACCGACTGAGGCCACCATTTCTATCACTACCACGCGTGTTCATCCGCAGATGAATTTGCGTAATGTTGGTAGGCCTTTCAAGGGTGTCACTGCCTTGATCCTTGATCCCGAGACAATGAATGCAGTGCCTAATGGCAGCGTCGGTGAGCTTTGCCTCTCGGGTCCGCAGGTGGCGAGGGGGTACTTAAAGCGCCCTGACGCCACGGAGCGCGCATTTCTTGGCAGGCCTGAGGGAAGGATCTATCGCACTGGAGATCTTGCAAGCATATTACCCAATGGCGATATCGAATTGTTCGGTCGTAAAGATGATCAAGTTAAGATCAACGGCTACCGAATTGAATTGGGTGAGATTGAAAGTGTTGTCATGAGAACCAGCATGTTTGATACGTGCATTGTTATCTGCGCAACGGTTTTGAAGAAAAAACAGCTTATTGCATTTTATTCAAAATACGTTAGAGAAACAGGGGAAGTGAGGATCGAAACAGGCCTGCTTCTGCCCCCTGGCCAACTGTTAGATTTTGATCGGCTCAAGGGTCAGCTTACCACTGTACCGAGCTATATGATTCCCACTATATGGCTCCCTGTGAATAAGTTCCCATTCTCAGCTGCCGGGAAAGTCGATAGGAAGTGTTTGCAAGCTCTAGTTGAAGGTATGGCTGACAACTTACTCAAACATTACCTACCCAGGGAAGTGAAATCAGCCATTACCACCGGGACAGAGCTAAATCTACAGTCAATGTGGTCGGAACTTTTTGAAACACCGGTAGAACAGATCCACGCCAATTCCTCATTCCATGCTTTGGGCGGAGACTCCATCTCTGCTCTGAACCTTGTCAGTATGCTTCGTCGGCAAGGGTACGAGACCAAAGTCAGCGATATCTTGTCAAGGAATACATTGAGGCAACAAGCAGCATTGCTGGAGGAAAGCAACAAATCAGATACTACATTGACTACGCAGAAGATTCAATACAAGGCATCTGATGCGGTGTGGGAGCGACTATCCCAGATTGGCGTTCGGAAAGATGAAGTTGAAGACATTTACCCTTGCAGCCCTGGCCAGATTGAATTCCTGACCCAAGGAAACAAACAAGAGCAGTTCTGGCAACTCATGGCCGTTCGAGAGCTGCCCAAAGACTTTGACCTCGATCGCTGGATACAACTCACGACCAAACTCACTCAAAACAGCCAGATTCTGCGTGCTTTGTATGTGTACATCGAAGAAGCCAACGTGCAGACGGCTGTCCAAGTTGTGCTAAAGACTCCAACACCCAATCTACGATACAAGTCATTCGATAAAGAAGAGGAGAAGCAACATATATTGGCAGCGGAATGGGAAGAGCTCTTTGACCCGGGGAAGCCTTTTGTCAGATACACATGTCTTGTCAACACGGTAGATGGCACCAAGCACCTTGTCATAAAGCTAGATCATGCTTCGTATGACGGAACACTTTTACACATATTTGATGACCAGTTCAAAGCCCTGGACAAAGACTTGCCGATTCCCAGGCATACACCTTTCAAAGATTTCATTGGCCATGTTATTTCGACGCCAAAACAACCTCAGCTTGATTACTGGGTGCATCTACTCGAAAACAGAAACTTTGATTTTCCTTCCAATGTGGTCCACCCGAAGATCTCAAAAACCGAGATTGCTAAAGTCAGCACTTCTGTTGGCATCGACAATCTTGCCAGTTCTAATGGTGTCACTGTTCCAATTGTCTTCCAGGCTGCCTTTTCCCTTTTATTGGCACACATCAGCGGAACACATGAAGTCACCTACGACAATCTAGTCACTGGGCGCAACGTACCCCTGGACAATCCCCAACTCATTGATGGGAACTGTGCGAACTTCCTACCTTTCCAAGGCCATCTAGCCGAAGACCAGCCTATCGAGTCCTTACTCAAAGAGACGCAAGCGGCTTTCTGGACCTCAACGGAAAATGGGCTCGTGTCACTTGGCGAAATATACAATGCCCTAGGACATGATCGCTCTACGTCGGCTGCCAAGTGTCTGTTCTGCTTTCAGCCGTTCGAGGCAGCGCCAACCAAGCAGGATCCTATGCGCTGGGTCGTTATGAAGATGAGTAAGAATACTATGTTCTTCAATTACGCCATTCAGCTGGAGGTGATTAAAACTGCTACAAAGGGTGAATACATGATACGATTTGGATATGACGAGAGGGCGTTTACGGATAAGGAGGCAAGATTGGCCTTAGATTGGTATATTGGGTGCTTGGGTGGAATGGCGACGGCAACTTTGGTTGAGGAGTTGGGAATGTGACGTTCGAAGGAGATAGATAATTCACGGGGAGATAATGTATGTTCATGTACTTGATAGGCCTGATGGGTTTCACCTCGCTAGAATTTACAACAGCAGGACCTCACGAAATTGTTACTCAGCTACTGGTTTGGGATTATAAATGTCACGATTATATTGCAGGTGAGTATGAAATCTGAAAATAATGGACGACGCTGATAAAAATTGCCAGGGCTTGGTGCGTTGCTTCGCAATCTGCAAAATATATTCATTTTCAATGCTAACAGAGAACCATTGATTGATTGCTTGTATGTTGCAGACATGATTGTCCAGAAATTCATACCCGAGAGAAACTCAAAGCTCTGCATATGGCTCCCACATCTTCTTTCGTGACACTGTCTATTGCTTCTGACCCACGAAAGCAAACCTTCGAACCTTCCACGCCACGCCCTTTCTTGACTCAATGATGGCCTTGGTGTGCAAAGCACTAAGCTCTTCCTTCAACCCACCGGGCAACTTGGTTATCAATTCCTGGAATAGGTTGAGATAGTTCATCTGATCTAGGACCAGGACATAGTCGCCAGTCGCAAATTCCTCTTTCTGGACGTTTTGTAGTCCTTGTTCGGCAAAGGTTTCTGCGAGATTGGCAGACCAACTACACATTGTCATATTAACATCACCCAACACGAAACCTCCGACGAATAGCGACTTACGCAGACTTGGTTTGGAATTTCGCATTGAGCCCTGCGAGCAGCTTTTCCGTATCCTCGGTCGAGTTTGAAGGATCGCTTTTCAATAGCTTTCGATTGCCGGCGTCGTCATTGGGTTCCTCCCATTGGAGGTAACCGCCCGGTTCTTTACATCGGCACTGTCAGTCTGCAAGTGGTAATTGTACTGGGGGTTCCAATTTGCAACATACTAAGTAATTTCAAAAAGTTCTGAATGATAGGTCGAGCATCTCCACCCGCTTGGTTGACCACCTGCACGAGAAGTCGCGCATGTACAACGTCGTATTTCCCCACGTATTCCGATGGAATCTCTTTCAATATATCGAGATAGCGAAGAGACACGTTTGATGGCAGAAACCCTGGAGCTGGGTATTGCTCACCCGAGATGTCGAATCCGTGGAACTGTGCGTTGGGGAATTGACGGGACAAGTCGTGGAGCCAGATACTGCCGATGCGGTTAGCTCGCTTGCAGGTATGCACACAAATCATACAGGGGAGCCCTTACCCAGTACCTGTGCCTATATCGGCGATGAATACGTCGGAATTTGGAAGACTGATAGAAGGATGGAGGATATATCCCATGCTCTCTTTCCAGATATAATGCTGGAGATTGAGGCGCGTAGAGGCCTGTACATCTCTGTTCAGCCTATACGGGTCTGTCGCTGCGTTTGCGTTGTTGGAACCGGACATTGCTTGTATTTCGATATAGCAGGAGAAATGAAAAGAAGCAAGAGGCTATTGTAAACACCTCAGATGCGATCGATGGTTACACGTAGGGATCGAAAGGTGTATTAACTTTCCATTCCAGTTCGTGTTTTTTATTGAAGCCCGGGGGCCATATTACTACATAATAGACTAAAGAAAGAATACCCAATCAGTGCCCATACCGCCGAAGGATTGATGCTATCACAAGAATGATTAGCTCTACCGCCGAAGGTGAAGCACATAGATCTGAATTTCTCAACGTGGCACTTCTTTGCCGCCCTACAGAAAGTCAAATGGTCCTTTGGATCTGTTGACGCAGAGTCTACTAACACTAGGTGTAGGGGTAGTGCGCTCCACCTACGCCCTCCTACGAACTCTACAGATTAGCTTTGCCGCTATGTATACCTCGCGCGGCGTCCCGCAGAGTAGGCCACACAACTTGGCGGCTCTTTAGCGGCTTATTGGTGATGTGGTCTAGAAGCAGGATATTTAAAAATGTCGTGCATGATCATGTAGTGTCAACTTAGGTAACATATACACTCTCAGTCATTAGCCATGTCGATTCCAGAAACATGCACCGTATTGGTGATCGGGGGTGGACCAGCTGGCTCGTATACAGCTTCTGTGCTGGCCCGCGAGGGTATCGACACTGTGTTGCTAGAGGCAGATTCTTTCCCTAGGTGAGAGAGAGAGGGAGAGAAAGAAAACGACCTTATGCCCCTCGTTTGATGCATTCTAAACAAACAATATAGATACCATATTGGCGAGAGCTTGTTACCATCGGTTAAATACTTCCTTGAGTTCATCGATGCTTACGAAAAGTTCGACAACCACGGATTTCTACACAAGGTAATGACTGCCACTTCCCAAAGTTTCCTGCATATATCAGTTGAAATGACTCGTCAAACAGAATGGAGCTACCTTCAAATTCAACTCGAGGAAACCTGGGTGTAAGACTGCCAGCTATATGACTCTCCTTTCAAATAAACACAAGGCTTACTGTGAAGCTGCTCAGTCACCGATTTTCTTGCTGCTGGTGGAGCTGGAAATCACGCATGGAATGTGATTCGCTCCGAAGCAGATCAGATCCTCTTTACGCATGCAGGAGAAAGCGGTGCAAAAGTCTTTGACAAGACGAAGGTAACCGCCGTTGACTTTGAGCCCCAGCATAAGGGGCTCGAGAATGTTACGGAGGGCAGCACAAATGGTTTGCGCCGACCAGTTTCTGCCTCCTGGTCCCAAAAGGAGAGCGGTGCTTCAGGGACTATTCGATTCAAGTACCTCGTCGATGCATCCGGACGGGCAGGTGTAGTAAGTACCAAATACATGAAAAACCGTCAGTACAACCAAGGGCTCAAGAGTATTGCGACTTGGGGATACTGGGAGTCGGCGGCGGTTCATGGCCCTGGCGAGGGTGACCCATTTTTCGAGGCAGTTGATGGTAAGTACCGCGTGTTTGGATTTCTCTAGCAACACAGCAGACTAATCAAAGATATCAGATGGAAGTGGCTGGGCCTGGTATATCCCGTTGCACGACGGCACTGTTTCGGTTGGGATTACCATGAAGCAAGACCGCGTTGCTGCCAAAAAGAAGGCGTCCGGAGCAACAGGCACGCGGGACTTCTACCACCACATTCTCTCCAAGGAAACCCCGGGCATTGCTAAGCTCCTTGAGAACGCATGCGAGATATCAGACAACCTCAAAACCGCATCCGACTGGTCGTATAGTGCAACTGAATATGCGAGCTCCCATCTCCGTGTTGCCGGCGATGCGGGCTGCTTTATTGACCCGCTCTTCTCGTCTGGTGTCCATCTTGCCATGAACAGTGGGCTCTCGGCAGCTATTACGATCTGTGCATCGATAAGAGGGGACTGCAGCGAGGAAACCGCTGTGTCCTGGCATTCAAACAAGGTTGCTGAGGGTTACACTCGCTTCCTGCTAGTCGTGACCAGCTCCCTTGAGCAGATCTACGGTCGTGAGCAGAACATCTTGAACGATATCGACGAACCTGGATTCGACAACGCATTTGATCATTTCAAGCCAGGTATGTTTGTTCAATCACATCGCTTAGTTACGTTTCTGCCGCCCTCTAACATGTACATACGTGTAGTCATCCAAGGCACCGTTGAAGTAGGCGGGAGACTCACCAAGGAGGAAGTCGCCCGGTCAGTCGACTTCTGCACTAAGGTTATCGCAAAGGTAGAAGAAGGTGGCTGTCTTTCCACCTTGGCCTTGGAAGAGGACAACCGTGGCAGCGAATTGGGAGCTGCTGCTCCCGCCGGTGCTTCGCGTACTGATGACAGGGTCAATGCCGCGATTATGAAGATTGTCCGAATTCACCGTGTTCTAGATCTGAAGAATTTCTCGGCCGACGTGATTAATGGGATGGCACCAAGCATGGATCGTGGCCACCTTGGTCTCGTTACGGCGACCAGCTGATGGAGATAGGTTTTTATCTCGATGTGATGTCCACGCCTCTCCTATATGTTTCCTGTGTTTCTTCTTCTTCCTGTCCCTCTTTCTTAGATATATCAACAGAGTTATTTTCCTGCTCTGCGCCTCTATGTTCTACGTCTCCCGTCACCAGCGCTGCTTAGCAATCTCGACGGAAGTAGAGTGTCGGCGTTTCTCCAGCTTGACTCGCTATATATGGACACATACTTAAAGTAGATAGATGCCCAAGCAATTTATCGGTGACACTAGTGCGCGGTCTGCTAACTAAAGGGGTGAAATCGTAATAGGAGAAATTAACACCCTGTCTTTAGCCATTGACTTCTACTCGTATGGTTTGGGGGAAAAAAAACAAAAGAAAAATGGCTTCGGTTAATGCAAACAACCCGCTCATTCCAAGACAGACAGTTCTCTTTTTTAAAAGACCAATTAATTCATTTATCTTTTCAATAAACGTGGTGAAAGAAATAATGTGCGAAGGGGCAGAGCGGCCAAATGTCAAATGCCTGATTTTTCAGGCTCGATGTCTTAATATGCCTGAATTTGCCTGAATATTGCTTAATTGCCTCATTTTAGACTGGCAGAAATAAAAATACCTGAATTACTATGACAGAGACCTTAATAAGCAAAGTTCCTAAGTTTATACCTCAGAAGCTTCTAAGAATGGCTTTGAAATAAAGCTATTCCTAGACCTCCGCACCGGCCCACAAAGCCCATAGCCGGGCCCACCGATGGGCTATGGGCCTAAGGTGGGAGCCCAAATGGGCCCCAAACAGTACAAACATGTCGAGAATTCAGATGCCAAGCAAAGTTGAACCTACTTTTTGAGATTTGTCAAATACCCTCCGTTTTACCACCGTTTTTAACCCTTATTCCTAGGGTAATATTTTATTGGTTTGAATGGTTTATAATCAATTACTAGTTATCTCTCTATATCACGTTTAAAAACGCGAGAAAACGCGTTGATTCAAAAGTTTTAAAAATTACCGAGGATCGCCAGAAAGTGGTGGTACTCTGCATGAATCCCAAATATATATCCAATATCAAAACATTAATACGAACACTTTCCGTAATATCTCGATCTCCATTAGTCGGATCTTGTTCAAAATAGAAATTTATACTAGTATACCTACTTTAAATCCAGGTTTCAAAGTTGAACTTTATGCGACCAGTGGAAGGTCATACATAATATAGCGATTATAGAGGCCGATTTGTTAGCGTCGAGATGGGCTTTAATGGGCCCCCACTAATGGGCCGTGGGCCGGGAATTCGGGCCCAACCCGGCCCATTGCGTAGGTCTAGCTATTCCTACCATCCAAATTTTTGTATACATCCATTTATAGGCGTTGAAGCTGTTGCGACTGACAAAATATCTCTGTTGAAAAAGTGAAGCTATTCCCGCCACACCAATCCTGGAATTCCCTTTTTTCTCGGCGTTGAAGCCTTTTCACTACGCGACTATCCCCTCTCTTCTTCTTCCCCTCCCCTATACCACTCCCGTACGCTTACTCTGGCCGCCGCTCGAAGCTTCTCTCGAGGTAATCTATACGTCCTTATATTTCTGTTGCCGATGCTGACCCCGTTGCCGTTGTGCGGTCGGGGACGGTGTTCAACGCCGGGGATTCGAAGAAACTTACCTTTTACGGGGACTGTGAGAAGTGTGGAGAAGTAACTGCTGAGAAAAGACTGCTTTCCCGAAGAGCTTCGTATTCGGATTCGCTGCTTAAGTCGAAGACGCTAGGTGCAGTGGAAGAATCAGAGTCGGAAGCGTTATTCGAGAAGATCTCGGGTAAGCGTGAGCTAGTGTCGCTCTCATCGTTAAACAGAGTAGGCCACGGAGAAGGCATGGCAGCGGAACGTAGGGTGGGATTCAAGAGGGGGTAAGAGTAGCGAAGATAAGCAGAGCACGAGATAATGGTCGAGAGTGATATTATCTCACTTAAAGTAAGTCACCCGTTCGAAACCCAGGCTAGAGGAGTTACTGGAGAGCGAGGAAGGACTATCGGTCGGGGACCATGGTGGTCGAGATTTATAGAAACTCAGGGAAGCAGAACGGTTAATAGAGGAGCCGAAAATGGCTCCCCTCCGCCAGAAGAGTGACTGAGGGTGAACGAGGATGGGGCCTCGCGGCGGCTGCGGCACGAATGGACATCGGTCGATCAATGGGCCCAGGCACCAGGCACGGCTAACCCTAAGCAAAGTTAGCAGTAAACGGGGTTGTGGGCTTTGGTCCACGTGATGCTAAGACTGACCACGGTGAGCGAGCGGCCGTTTCTGGCCTTCTATTCACCGTGTCATCCTTGAATGTAGTATTACTCCTGATTCGTGAACCCCCGTAGTTGAATGCTATAGCCAATTAAAGGCCTCTGGAAAGCTTAATTAGCTGAATTACAAGCTGAATTACAGAGATAATTTCTCTATCTAGCTAAATTTCTGTTATTTGTTAACGTCATGCAGGTCAGTGACAGCATAACGTATTTCACATGCGAGTGGTCCACACAAGCGAGTGGTCCACGCAAAAACACATAGTAAAAGCGATATAGTTGTCACTTATATTTCAACAACTAACGTTTTTATCTAGCTTCATAACTTGCCGATAACGATTGATAAGCATTTTTAATATAATATATCAATCTTAAACGAATTGAATACTTCCATTGTTGTGGTATTAAAAATTACGCCGCTGGATTCTACAAATATATATATCTCAATTACCAGCCTATTAAATTCCCTCAAAATATATCAAGTAACTAGATATCATATAAGCAGCATTAGGCTGGAAGAGCCAGTTTATATACAAAACCGTTGTTGCACTAACATGTTGTAATTTATCGCTTTTACTATGTGTTTTGGCGTGGACCACTGGCTTGTGTGGACCACTCGCATGTGAAATACGTTATCACATTGTAATATTTTTGGAAAAAAACCCTTCGAGGGTCGGCAAGTGAATCAACGCTGGGAGTGAACCGATGAATATATATGTTTACATAATACATCTCTTTTAAGTCACCTCGTATGATCTTGAGACGCATTCGATTTAGACCCGCATGTGTTTTGTTCCTATATTTGTTCAACATTTGTCATACGAACTAATATATATACTCCGTATTGAACATACCCATGTTGTAAAGGTATTTCTGCTACAGCTCAACTTGTTTATCATTCAAAAGTGCATAGACAAGAGTTTTCAATATTACTTCTATATACCATAACTAGAACAAATACCTATCTCGTTCGATAGGAGAGTTAGTTTTAGCCAAAAATGGGAAATTTTTCAGCTTCCTGGTAGTGGCTTTAGTCACTCAAAGTGGTCTGTCTAGCTTGTATGACGGATAGGTAGACATCAACAATACTACAATGCTAAGTTATGCTTAAGATTTTCAAACCTAGATTAAAGCCGCTTTGTGGCTGTGATTGATGCTACGTAACTCTACCGGGGCAAGCTTTGCCGGTGTGAATTGTACAATGTCGTGCAGCTTTGTATGCATATGCAAGATGTGACTTACATATGAGATATGATTTGTAAACTATGTCGAAATAGAATGATCGAGGAACCCGATTTCAAATATGCCCTGCCGCCCTATAATCTGTCACACCGAGAGACACCACACAATAAGATGCCCTCATATGCTAGGGTGGAATCCACATACTGAAGTGACCAACGGGGTTACAAACAGAGCCTATGGAGAGGGGACTTGAAGCAGGGGATTACATGATCGACCGATAAGAATGCCATCTAAGCAGTGATTTGCCAATAGTAGGGGCTTAGGGTTACTTTTGCTGCAGGAGAAGATCATTTACACTATAAAGGGTGTGGGAATGCTCGAAGGCGCACGAGATGCCAATCCAGGGATGAAAAATTGCCTCTAAGCCAATAGAAGCCTTGCATCCCCAGAGAAATAGTTCATTGCACTACAAGGCGTTCCCGAATGTACCTAGGACTCTTTTTCAGAAAACTCAGATTGTTGTTGCCGCAAAGTTGCCCCTAAACCATCCATTCAGTTGCGCCGCAAGAGGAAACCACCACTCATTCCATTTTATATCAAATTGTCATTTCGACGGGCATATATTCGCCCCTCTACTATTTTCAATAATTATATTCCTTATTGTGATCAGTTCGAGTGATGAAACTGCCGCGGTCCGCTTGGACTTGGAGTGCATTCCAGGTTGATACGGCATTGTTTATGTACGGCGGTGTCTCGACCGTCGCCATTCCCGTTGAAGCAATCATAACACCAGCACCCAAGCTTAAAGAACAACGCCCCATACAACGATCCAAGTCTAAGCGAAAAAGCCTGAAGAGGTCACTCTCCAAGATCTTTTGATCTGGAAATCGGCTGTCCCTTATAGCCACACTGGCACATCGCGATGAGTTTACACGGACTTGGGGTGATTGGGGCCCAGGTGGCCGCGGCGATCAAAACCGACGAGAAAATCCCAACGACACCTAATATCGCTCCCCCACGATGCTCCATTACGTCTTCGCCTGGGGCTCACAGCCAGGAGTTTGATCCATCGATCGGTGCAAAGCCATGCTCGCCTTTCTATCCCCATTCAAGTCCAACAATCTCGCACGAACAACTCACCTTTGAAACGAAGAATGCCAATCGGAGAAGTCATTTGAGAGACCTGGAAAGCATGGGCCCATACGCAAGCTGCCGAACCGATAGCCCCCGACGGTCGAAATTGTGGGAAGAAGAGAACAAACCATTGACGTGGTTGCAGTCTTTGAATAACAAACAACGAATGGCACTGAAGGCAGTCGTGGCTGTGGTGACAGTGGGGACTATGATTGCAATCGCATTGGGCATCACTGCAGCGGTAGGAGGAGCAGGTTGGAAAGCCAGTGCCGAAAAAACGGCAACTGGGGGATAAGTGAGTTCTTAAGTCTTTTTCACCGACTGGGTCACATTCATCGCTGACAGGACATGCAGGGTTCCGGTTACCGTGTTACCACTTTTGATTTGGGGGGATAAGCAACCCGATCATCATTCATTATGATTCACATCATCGACTTCTCCGATCTAACATAGGTCACCCTTTTTAATTTCTTCTTTCGCTTTCGAAGATGCCATGGAGAGAACTGGAGTTTGAGGGTGAGGATTTTGTTATTCTTAATTGGAGATTATTGCACTTGTCCACCGAAATCACATGTCATACTCCGGCGTGATCAGGATCCCGCGGATGTTGAATTGGACATGTCATGGAATTGGCAACCACTGTATCATATCCTAAGTTATTTCTTTTTTCTGTTCAAGTGCCTGAGGTGTGATTTGTAGCCTTAAAATGCAGGCCATGGGACTGACCGGATCGGACCGACCTCAGTGCCGAGAGGGAAATTGTAGATCCGATCCGATGACCCACTGGCGTTATAAAAGACCGCAAACTTTTTCGCCCTTCTCTCTTTTTCTTTTCTTCTCTATCGAAAAAAAGCAACTGAGCCTGCCACGACCATCGTTCTGTCTTTATGACAAGCCCACGACGATGTGTTGCCTTCGGTCCTACGGACTTCGGTCTTACGGGACTGATCGGCTCAGGAGATAGATTGTCCTCGATAGGAAGTTCGTTTCCTGTGTCCTCTTAAGTGAGGGCGGTGGGATTTGGATGTCGAAGACGGGACACATTCCTTCGCCTCAACTCTATTTTAGCAGTTGAGGTAAGAGTAGCGACCAACACATTGATGTATGTGAAGGTCTAAGTAGATTTGGTAAATAACGAGGAAGGCCGAACAGACTCGCGCAACCCTGTATAAATCCTAGACTGAAGAGTCACTACACTATTTCTATTGTAATGTGGTTGATTCAGCTAGACTCTGTGCGCAGAAGGGACCACAGGATCGCAGTCATTGGAAGCACCGGGAATCCCATGTTGTCTGGTCGCACTGTGGTTTTCCAAAGCGAAGCTCAACCCGAATGAAGGACAAGATGTACAAAGATCATCCATACTTCAGTCTGTTTGGGAGGAATCGAACATGATTTATGGCATCACTCGCGAACGACACTCAACATGGTCAAAATATCGCAGCTCACACAAGGGGCTTGCTTGATCACCGCTCCTGTTCAGGTAGTGATCCATCCCTCTCAGCTCCTGGAATGCGACACCACCACCTTTCTAGGGATTACATGGGATCTGTTTACGATCTGACCACGATCGACGGGAATTTTCTCACCTATTAGTGTTACTTTTTCATTCTCGGCGACATTCTGAACATTACGCACGGCTTGGCCTCGTGTCAAGGTGCAGTCCCTGTTGATGCGATGGCATTCCCGCCTGCTTGTTGAGCTGTTGATCATCAATGGAAAGGAACTACTAAAGGTCTGAACATCTCCTCCAGCTTGTTCACTATTCATTGTTTCTTAAGGAGAATATTCAATCAATCGAGCCATTCATTTATTCTGCTCTCGCTTCCAGTCACTCTTTTAACTCCTACGGCCAATATCATACGCCTTTTTACAGCAATATCTCCCAAGGAGCGTAATCATGAAGGGTTTCATCGGCGGAATTCCTGTCGCACTGCTGGCAGTTGCTGCCCAGGCCAAGTTTGCTGAAAATGTATGTCATTGTCCGGTCTGTATACAGATCCTTCAGCTAACCACACGAACAGCAAGCTGCTGATACCGCTGCCGGTGGGCCTTCTACCATTGATAGCGAGACAGGCTTCATCCGCCCCAACTCCGCTAGTATCAAGCCCGATACCCAGGTCAACGGGTGGAACAATGATGGCCACCCCGTCAATCTGCAGCACGCGGATGCGTACTCTCGCCCTTCGGGGGTGCCTGTGCCTTTTGGCCACCCCGGCTTCCCAGGCGCCCCTCAGGTCCCTGGAATGGGACCCTTTGGAAAACGAGATGGTCCATCTCGGTCTGTCTTTGATAACGACGATGATGAGCACAAGGGCGACTTTGGTCACCACCACTCTGACGATGATGGGTACAATAGCGTCTTTGGTCACTACCACTCCTACGATGATGAGGCCAGTTCCGTCTTTGATGACGACCACTCTGACCATCATGAGGACAAGGGCGACTTTGGCCATCACCACTCTGACCATGATGAGGACAAGGGCTTCGAGATTTCTGGGGATGGTGCCTCTACCTCCTTCCGTCGCCGTGGGTTCCCTGGCGCCGCTGGACCTCACTTCGAGGGCCACCCCGAGCCTCACTACGCGCCTCACACTGAGACCAAGTATGAGCCTCACCCCGAGCCTCACTATGTGAATCACCCCGAGCCTCACGTTGAGAACCACCCTGAGCCTCATCACGAGCCTCACTATAGCCCCACCTATGCGCCTCACTACGAGCCCCACACCACACTCGACCATGACCTCACTCAGGTCAAGGATAACGAGAACGGTGTTAAGGCCGGGAAGATCTCGTTCAGTCGCCGTGGGCACCCTGGCGCCGGCGGGCCTCACTTCGAGGGCCACCCCCAGCCTCCAGCTGGACCTCACTTCGAGCCTCACCCCGAGCCTCACTTCGAGGCTCATACTGAGTCCGAGTATGAGCCTCACCCCGAGCCTCACTATGTGAACCACCCCGAGCCTCACGTTGAGAACCACCCTGAGCCTCACCACGAGCCTCACTATAGCCCCACCTATGCGCCTCACTACGAGCCCCACACCACACTCGACCATGACCTCACTCAGGTCAAGGATAACGAGAACGGTGTTAAGGCCGGGAAGATCTCGTTCAGTCGTCGTGGGTTCCCTGGTGCCGGTGGGCCTCACTTCGAGGGCCACCCCGAGCCTCACTACGCGCCTCACACTGAGTCCGAGTATGAGCCTCACCCCGAGCCTCACTACGAGAATCACCCCGAGCCTCACGTTGAGAACCACCCTGAGCCTCATCACGAGCCTCACTATAGTCCCACCTATGCGCCTCACTACGAGCCCCACACCACACTCGACCATGACCTCACTGAGGTTAAGGATAACGAGAACGGCGTTAAGGCCGGGAAGATCTCGTTCAGTCGCCGTGGGCACCCTGGCGCCGGCGGGCCTCACTTCGAGGGCCACCCCCAGCCTCCAGCTGGACCTCACTTCGAGGGCCACCCCGAGCCTCACTACGCGCCTCACTCTGAGTCCGAGTATGAGCCTCACCCCGAGCCTCACTATGTGAACCACCCCGAGCCTCACGTTGAGAACCACCCTGAGCCTCACCACGAGCCTCACTATAGCCCTAGCTATAACCCTCACTACGAGCCCCACACCACAGTCGAGCATGACCTCACTGAGGTCAAGGATAACAACAATGGCCTGAAGGCCGGGAAGGTCTCGTTCAGTCGCCGTGGGTTCCCTGGCGCCGGCGGGCCTCACTTCGAGGGCCACCCCGAGCCTCACTACGCGCCTCACACTGAGTCCGAGTATGAGCCTCACCCTGAGCCTCACTACGAGAATCACCCCGAGCCCCATGTTCACAACCACCCCGAGCCTCACTACGCGCCTCACTACAGCCCTAGCTATAACCCTCACTACGAGCCCCACACCACAGTCGAGCATGACCTCACTGAGGTCAAGGATAACAACAATGGCCTGAAGGCCGGGAAGGTCTCGTTCAGTCGCCGTGGGTTCCCTGGCGCCGGCGGGCCTCACTTCGAGGGCCACCCCGAGCCTCACTACGCGCCTCACACTGAGTCCGAGTATGAGCCTCACCCTGAGCCTCACTACGAGAATCACCCCGAGCCCCATGTTCACAACCACCCCGAGCCTCACTACGCGCCTCACTACAGCCCTAGCTATAACCCTCACTACGAGCCCCACACCACACTCGAGCATGACCTCACTGAGGTCAAGGATAACAAGAACGGCGTCAACGCTGAGAAGATTTCGTTCAGTCGCCGAGCGTACGCTCCTGCTCCGGAGGTTGATGCCACCGGTTCTTCTGGCGAGGATCGTTCTGAGGCTCCCCAGTGCGCGGCCCAGGTCCATGAGGTTGTCCGTACCGTGACCAAGACCCAGTACAAGACTGCTGAAGCAACACATGTCGCCTACCAGTCGGCTCCCGTCGTGGAGGCCAGTGCCATCCCTGTCCATGCTCCCCAGCACTCCGTTGGGGCTGAACCTATCGTGAACCCCTACCGTGGCTCCGCCTTTGCAGTCCCCACTAGTGCCGCCTTCTCGCCCTCCCCCCAGCACTCCGCTGGAGCTGACCCTCTGGCCTACTCTGGCGCCTCCGCCTCCGCCCCCGCCTCACAGCACTCCGCTGGAGCTGACCCTCTGGCCAACTACGGTGCTTCCGCCCCAAGCAACCATGCTTCTCACCGTCCTATGAGCCAGGCTGGCGAGTACTCTATGATCCCCGTGCAAGTGCCCGTGGCCACCCCTGTCTCGCATGGCGCCATGTCCCAGGCTACCTCATCTAACGGCGTGGCCAAGAACGTGCCCAGTGGTTCCTCTGTCGAGTACAACACCTCTCCTTCTTCCTCTGCGTCGGCTTCTGTCTCTCATGGAATCATGTTCCAGGGTGACGCTGCTCGTCTCTCTGGCGGAATTATTTCCGCCGCGGCTGCTGTCATGGGTGTCCTTGCCTTCATCCTGTAGGCACACCCGGCGATGAGCTCCGAGGTTTTTGTGTATTGCTAGTGCCTTGTCACTCGTTTTGCCTTTATGTTTACTTCACAACCATTCTTTTCAGCACCGCATTTCTGTAGCTTACCAATTTGACCCATCTTTAATGGCCAGTTTGTCATTCTTCAACGATGTTTTGCACTTTATAGGACTAAACAATCGAATTTTCTTCCCACTCTCAACTAACCTAAAATGTAACAATTCAGAGTAGATCACATTCACCCATCCCTAGTCATGAGTCCACACACCGCATATTATACCGTAGTATGCGTCAAAGTGCACTCAATCTTCACAAAGATCTAACTTGCGGTTCCTGGTCCCGAACATCTAGACTCCAGTGGCCTCGGCCAGGTTGCCTTGATAACAAGTGGGCATTTGATTTCGCGACTGCGAATCCTTAAGCCCAATGACAGCAAAACGCACTGGGATCTCAGATACCTACTCTCAACTTCTAAGCCCTCAACAGCGACGGCCGCCGACAACACCACTGACTTGCCACGCTCGACCCGGGATGTGGGTCAGAGCGGCGAGGTCATCGGCGGCACGGGCAACTTTATGCCGGCCGGCATCGAATCCAAGCATGCCTATATGGGCGCCAATCACCACGCTGTCCATGGTGACACTCGTGATCTCAAGCATTCCAAGTATGACCGGAGTGAGTTTGAGCGCTATCAGCAGGAGTAAGGGGTCTCCTCAACCATTGGTGTGACGTTTCAGCTTTTCGAAATGATGGCTGGTTTCTTTGAGCTAGCGCTAAGTGGTGCATGATGTTATGAATGGCGTTTGTCAGATGTAGAACAATTCAATACTAATCACAAAATATTGTTCACATTGTCTGCGTAGAGTATGGCTATTAAATCGTTTCAAATTTGTAGCCCAGGATGGTCAGGCCCAAGAAATCCTTGATAGATCTCGTCAAGAACATCTCGCTTCCTCTTGCGATCGGCCTGAGCTGCTTGCTCTGCTTCAGTAGGTTCGCCGTCTGGTTCGCGAGACACCCATGTCCGGATCGTTCCATCGCCGTGCGCCGAGAACAGCTCTATCCCCTCTCCTGAGGCACCGTTCCCTCGCCAGACAAGGTCATTGATACGCCCGGCGCTCAAAGCACTCGACCGACCACGAAAATTCTGCGACCCAGCCGCGAGACCCGGGACGCGGAGACGCTTCACGAATGTCCCCTCGCGAAGCTCGAACATGAAAATCTCACCACGATCATCTTGTTCATTGAAATTCGGCCACAGTAGTGTTTCGTGCCCTGGACTCATGGAGCCTCTCGGCACGATTAAGGGTGCCCGTTCAGCCAGGTGCGAGGAAGAGGAATTACGGACCCGAGGACCGAAATGAACAAGTGTATTGGCGCCTGTTGCAGAGTCCCAGACTCGAATTCGGGAATCCTGTCCCGTCGTCACTATATGACTGCCATTAGAGGTCCACCGTACCCCGGTGGCAGGACCATTATGGGCACGGGCATGCCGGGAGAAGGCTGGACGACTTTCGTATGAGACCGGTGCAGATCCAGTTCCTGGGGCCACCAGTCCTACTGGATCGTCCATATCCAGGGTAGCGATGGCAGAGTTGTGACCTCCGCGACGCACGTCGAATATGATTACTCGGTTGTCAACCGACGCGGAGGCTAGAAGATGTGGCCGGTGAGGTGCCCATGCCACTGATAAGACTGCGCCATTGTGTCCCGGTAGACCTTGTGTCGATAGTCCAGATCGTAGGTCTACTAGTCGGACCGACCGTTCAGACGTGCCCACTGCGACGAGCAGTGTTGACCCAGGTTGGGAGGAGAACGAGTGTGAATATGGTGTACAGTCTAGGTTGAATGTATGTATGGGGGTGATAGAGGGCGATTGCAGCGCCGACAGTTTTAATGTACCATCGTGTGCTGTCGAGAAGATCGTTGATGGGACGGGATCAAACGGGTAGATCGAGAGGGAGGTAATCGCACGTGTATGCGCATCGGCGTGAGAGGATTTGCTGACGGACGCGCAAGATTGATGGACGTGTTCGAGTTCTGAGCCTCTTGATTCAAGGTCCCAGAGATGAATCGATGGATCGGCACCTCCCGATATCATACTACCTTCATGTTAGATTGACAACTGTCGGATGCGAAGTGGTTGCACACGCACTATCGGCCCTCAAACTGATCGACAGCCAGACAATTCACGCCAGACTTGTGAGCGAACACCTCCGCCGTAATACCTAGCTCTTGATCTAAAGGCGCCACATCGTCTTCGGACCGGTCCGTTGGTGCAGCTGCTCTGCGGCTGGAGAAGCGTATACCCGGAGCAGGCTCAAGGTTGTGAACTAGCCGGGTTGTTTGAGCAACATGAAATTCATTTGGAGTTACAGACCCAAGGGCTCTGTTGAGGAGATAGGAATTCATTCATTCATCAGCGCTGGTGCTTTTACATAGAGAAGTCGAAAGCACTCGATGATGCTATGCTCTACCGGATTAAAGTTATGCCGGCGCATTAGTTGAATTTGGCAGCTGGAGATACTCAATCTTTACATACTATCCGCTGCACATCTGTTCGATTTGCCAAACCTTGATTGGTCTTCCTGGCAAAATTGTAGTATGTCTGTTGCCAGGTCACTTGATTCGGACGAAGACAGTTTTGTCGAGCCATTCGAAGATGACCAAGAACCACTGGACGATAAGCCTTCGAAGCACATAAAACGCCGCGCGAATGTCTATGATGCGGTAGCTGGTATGTTTTGGAAGCTTGTTTAGATTGTCATACTAGGAAGAACGAAACCTAATTGCAACTAGGTCGTGTCAACCTCCGCGGTGTCAACGCACCCCGTGAAGTTGCTTCGCAATACCGCGACACAAACTCGGCAGGCGCTCGAAGTTTGCGTCCAGAGGAGCTTCTATATCGCAAACAGAACATTCCGGCGGACTCAGTCGACGAGAGAACCTACTTCGCGCATGAGAATCTTCCCTCTGATCAACCTCTTCCGAGCTCCGAGCTCCTTGAGACAATACATGCCTATGCGGCCGACTACTACGAATACGCTACGGCGGACAACGGCAAAGATGACCATCAGACCATGGATGAGACAGCGCTGCTTGCAATGGGGATCCTGGTCGAAGAGATGGCCAAGGAGGAACTGGGTGAAACCGGGGACCTGGCCCTGGTTGAAGGCCAAGAGCTCTCAGAGGAAGAGGACGATGAAACAGGTCTCGAGAGCGACACCACAACTAGGTCAGCAGTACGAGCAGCACGAAGGAAGCGAGCAAACAGCATTGTCCGGCAAAGATCAAAACGGCGCAAATTGTCTCGTTCAGTTTCTGTTACAACAGATTTTGACACCGAGCTTGATGAAAGACGATGACCGGATGAGATGGCGTTAGAAATTTCTTGTCAGGTTGCATCCATTTGTCCGCAGCCGGATTTCTCGGAGGCCTTTGATACCTGCAGCTGTATCAAGCTACGCGATATCTTGCAAAGCTTCAGCCAAACCCCTTGAAAGCGTATCGGGTCACCCCGTGTACTGCCGTGCACAGCCACGCTGCACATGGTATCTGCACATGGTATCGGCACATATCCCAGTCCCTGCCACCACTATATGGCATACGGAGAAGCAACAGTCGTACTTTAATCTGTAAGACAATAGTTTGCTGCGCCTTCTTGTGCGCCTCCCACTACACAAGGCCTTCAATGGAGCTATACACAGGGTACTACCTCCAGGGAGAGAAAATTCGGTGATCAAACCGGTCAATATCTAGCCGGCTGACAGGACTGTTGAGAGCGATCTCTTTTGCAGCAGAATCTTGTCTTATGACAGGTCTAACCTAAGTAGAGTCCAGGAAGTGACTGGATTGGATCTCAAAAGAATAGGTCGGATTTCATTTAGTCTTTGTGCTAACTCCAAAGGCTAGCGTGAACAGCGTTACAGTCATAATTTTACAATGTGTTCAAAAAGTAGTTCTACAGAGAAAGCTTTGGAATAGGAGAGGAAAAGGGTAGATGCCAAATAGAAGAGCTTGTATTGACTGAGTTTCCAACCTTTGTGTGACCGGTAGACATGTAATCCTCTTCCCTCTGGACCACTACGCCTCCACCAATGCTTAGCCGTCTCACACTTACCCGATGCGTGAACGGCCGGATTGTTAAGCTTTTACCTATGACAGTACAAGATGGTACGTGGCTTTGGCATATCCCAGGGTCTAGGATTATTTGGAGACTACTGACGCACCACTAGCCCAAATTAACCAAAAGCGCTAAACAAGATTTGATTTTGACTCATCTCCGCGCCACTGGAACCTGTCACACGCTCAAGGATCTAGAGAAGACCCTACCCTCAGTTGCCTCCATCAATGGCATCCAGGTCAAGGAATACATCCAAGCTTTGACGGATGAGGGTCAACTACAAGTCGAAAAGATCGGCAGTGGGAACTGGTACTGGAGTTTCAACAGCGATGAAAAGCACGAACGAGAACGTCAGTTGGCCCGAGTGACTATGGAGGTGGAGAAAGTCCGGAAGTCTTGCGCCAATACGGAAGCGGCATTGGCCGAGACCATGCGTCGACAGGAGATCGACGAAGATGAAAGAGAATTCCTGATGACCAAAAAAGCCGAGCTCCAGGTGGCAATCGATCGGGTACGGACTACAGAGGCCCAACTCGGACCCCTCTCGCTCAGCAAGGGTGTGAAGCAGGTCCAAGAGGAGTCAGCGGGGTTCCAACAGCAGGCATTGCAGTGGACAGATAATATTTACATCCTAGAGGGTTATTTACGCAAATTAGCCGGTGGAGATCGACAAATCACTGAAGGCGTTTTGCGAGAATGTTATGGAGATGAATACGTGGACGGCGGTCTTGATGAACTAGGATAGGACAGATATTTGAGGGAAAAAAAGCTTAGGTTTGCTTAGCACATGGCCTTGGGAAATGATGTAAAACATGAAACATGTCATGTATCCAAAAATCCGAAAATCCCCAAATATCCTCCCAAAATATGATAATCATTGCCTAGAAAAAAAAGGGGAAAACTAGCTGAGCCACCTGGGACACCAAGAGAAGCTTGACCGTGCAACACGCGAAGCCTTTCTCCGCCTCTCGGAGGCTTATCGCGAACCCGCGACTCTCCCTCTCTCTCTCTCTCTCTCCTCTCTATTATTGTCACATCTTCTCTCCTTCCCCCCCCCCCTCTTTGACTATAAGCCCTCTATCGTTGGCTCGTGCATTCTCGAGTTCCACATTCCTCCGGATCTCGCGTCATCTCTAGTTGCGCCTTTCACCCTCTCTCCCCCGATCCCCCGATCCCCCGATCCCGTTCTAGACTCTCTCGACTACAGCATAGTATCCGGTGATACTGACCCATTGGTCCATTTCAAACCCGTCATTCCCCCCGACATTATCCACTTCCTTATCTTGCGACCTCACCTTGCATCCTGATCTGCGAGTTCCTGGCGGGGGTACCGTTGAAATCCTGCCTCGCGCTTCGATGTCACATGGAACAATGTGGTGCAGTGGCCCTCGCTCATAATCCCCATTCCGCTCTTTGGACCAGGGGAATCTCTCGCGCGTGGATCAGAATACAACATACATTCCGTGGACGTTTGGAATCAGACCGTGCTTAGTGCATTGGCCCTGGACGCCAGACCCTTGGACAAGACGATTGATTTACTTATTGTGTCGCTTGATTGGATTCCTTGACGTAGGCTGACTGCCTGCTGGTCTGTCCGACCATCCCCCGCCATTCCGTGCTGCCCCAGAGAAACACCGTACCGGCGTGTTTGTCCGATCGGTACTAAAGCGGTTGCAGTCTTATCATCCCCACCATCCCCTCTCACCCCTGCCTCGTCGTCTTGTATAGATGCAGTAAACAGCGGCTGTGTGTCATGTCCGCCAACCCTCCCACCCAACCTACGTTGCCGGCCAGTCGGAATCGCAACTCTTTCCTGTCCAAGTTTCGCTCCCCGCTCGGTCAACGAAATCGAGGCATCACCGATTTCTATATCGATCCGGATGACCCATGGCGCTCCTACTTCCCCGGTGATATCATTAAAGGCACCGTCGTTGTGACCGTTGTACGACCCGTTCGCATCACGCATATAGTCGTATGTCTCCACGGCTATGTCAAGGTGTTCAAAAATGCGATCCCGGCAGGAGAAGCAACCCCCGACTTGGGATTCTTAGGACCGGGACGGGGTCGACGAGGCGCAGAATACTTGGGCAATGGGTTAGCAACCTTGTTTGAGGATGAAGTTGTTCTCTGTGGCGATGGACGCTTGAAGGAGGGCATATACAAGTTCCGCTTTGAAATGGGCCTTCCTCCTTATGCGCTTCCCAGCAGCATCAATGTGCGTTTGCTGATACAACCTCTTTTATTTAAATACGCTAACCAAATGGATAACTGCAGTTTGAACGTGGAACCATCGGCTACTCACTTACCTCCACCCTTACCCGACCGACCACCATAAACCCTACACTTACCTGTCGAAGACGGGTCAATATTCTAGAAAACATCGACATCGCACCTTTCCCTGCCCCCAGGGCTCGTATAGTTACATTGGAACCTATCTCAAAGCGCTCAAAATCAAGGGGGAAAGCCAAGTCGACAAGTTCCGACGCAACCGCAGGGCCGGACACATCCTCGGTCGATACCCCTATCAGTGGTGCGGCACCCTCCGTAGATACCAGACCACCGCTGAGTCCATCGCCAAGCAATGTCAGCTCATCCAGCCGGCCTAGCGAGAGCAGCCAAAGCTTTCGAATCACCAGCAATCCCGGTTCATCCGCAAGCACGGGTGAACAAAATAGCGAGAGTCGCAGTGCGACCCCGTCTATCTCAGATAAAACCATCACCGCAAAGGCTGAGCTTCTGCGCGCCGGCGTGCTCCCCGGCGATACCCTACCAATCACAGTCACGATCAACCATAGTAAACAAGTGCGCAGTGCGCATGGAATTATGGTCACCTTATACCGTCAAGGTCGCATTGATCTTCATCCTGCGATTCCAATTGGCACTACGGCAGCCGGCAAAAAGCCGGTATATGAAGACTGCTATCCACGATCACGGACGGGACTTGGAGGACTTACCTTGGGAACAAGTCGGACAAGCAGCACTTTTCGCAAAGATTTGTCGCAGACATTTGCCCCGCTGATCATTGATCCAAATACCATGACTGCAATTGTAAAGACCTCGATCCGAATACCTGAAGACGCATTTCCAACCATCACGCGAGTACCGGGGGCCATGATCAACTTTCGGTACTTTGTGGAGGTCGTAACGGACCTACGAGGCAAAATCACTTCACCAGATCGCTTCATCCCGCGTTTCAACATGGTCTCCGGTGGTACTACATTTTCGCCTAGCGGGCAGGTTCTCAACCCGGCTGATTCGAGTGGCGTTACTGCCAACTGGGCTGGCAACATCTTGGACACGGACTCAATCCGCCGTGAAAAAGGTGTGATCTCAGTGGCCTTCGAAGTAGTGGTTGGAACGCGTGATTCACAGCGAAGGAAATCGACGAAACGTACATCATCTACGGCTGGCGACTCGACCATGTCACAAACGGTGCCTCCTGCATCTGCAGTTCTACTTAACCCTGTTGATGGGGAGGAGTGGCCAGAAGCGAGCCCAATGCCCAATTCCCAAGGGGAACATGGAACACAGGAGGGGTATTTCCCCGATGAGACAGATTGGGTAGAGTACCCTGACGATTACACCGAACCTTTCCAGCCAATGGACTTTATGGTTGCGCCCCCAGAAGTCGAAGAGCCCGTTGACGAGAAAACACGAGTACGACGTCACGAGGAAGCTCTGCTGCCTAGCCAACCGCCCAATGAAGATGAGGCAGGGCCATCTACGGTTCCAATGGAGGTCCCGACCGCGCCGGTTTTGCCAGACGATCATCATCTTCAAGACTACGAGCATGTGCCTTCACCAGATATAAGTGGGGGACCGCACGCTGTCCGCTCTGCGGAATCCTTGCAGACCGTCGTAGTGAACGGCGCTGGGCCCAGCGAGCCACGTGTACCAGGCGACGACAAACAAGAGCTTGAGCGTCACCGACTCCAGGAGCAGGCGAGCGCACCCCAAGACGAGCCCAATATCCAGGAACCCAACGATGCGCCCAGTGCGCCGGTCTTTGATGAGGATGACCAACTGGTCGGTGGGACGGCGCATGCAGACGAGTCGTTGCCTCGATACCAGCGATGATGTTATGTACATTTTGCATTTACGGGATGTTCTGGAAGATACCACTATTCGCATTTATGAAAAGGCGCTAAAGGCGCTGAAATCTGTATCATACACTTATTTATTAAAATCAATTCTCAAATTTCATATTACATGCTTCAATTTTCCAATGTTATCAAATATGCTTGGACCTCGCTAACCTCAAAAGTCTTAGATTTGTAAAAACGTCCTTATCTCACGCCCCGGAGGGCTTGGCACCCGCTTACCGATACCTGGGGGACTTAGCCTTGCCCCTGGTCATCTTCTTTCTCTTCAAAATAATCTCTTCTGCTTTTCCAATTCTCACAATGGCCTTCAAAAGCGGGTCGTTCGCGACCTTCCTCATTGTCTGCCGTAAGTCGATCGCCGTCGCGAACTTCCCCGGACCCAAACGGCAAAGAGGCCACGAGACTGTAACAAACTAACTCAATCTCCCCAACCAGCAACCTGTTTCTTCCTGGGCATTATCTTCTCCCTCTTCCCTTACGACTACCCCATCCTGTGGTCCACGGTGGTGACCCCCACCTCGCACTATGACTATCTCGAGGCGCATCTCCGCTTCCTGCATGCATCGCCCCCGCTCATCCCACGCATCCTGCACATCGTAATCTTCCTTGGTTTAGCCGGCCTCCTCACCAAGCTCTACAAGCCCTCCGAATCAAACATGCTCTTCGATGGCGCCTCGCTGGTCCTCTACATGTGCGGAGTGACAGTCTACATTGCCAACATCGTCAAGGGTCTGCGCCTCGCCTCTGCCGGCCAGTACGGTGTCGACCTGGCTTCCACCGATGATGAGCACGAGCAGATCCTTGGTCGCGAGGACTCGCTCAAGGTTCTTTCCGCTAGCAATACCATTCTCGCGCTTGTCCTTGTTGGCATCTTGGTTCTGCAGGCTGGACAGTGGTATGCGGAGCGCAAGGATCAGCAGGAGGATGAATCGTTTGCTACTAGCAAGAAGAATGAGAAGGAGGCTGCCGAGGTTTCTGCCACTGCTTCCGGTTCGTCGACTGCGACTTCCGGAAAGTCGGGTCGGCAGGGAAGTCAGCGGAAGAAGAGCAATTGATTCTACTTGTTGATTGTTTCTCTTGCTTTCGTTCGTGTTTGCCTTAGAGATGTGGATAGGCGGTGGAGTGGTGCGTCTGATTACTCGCTTTGCTTGGTAGCTATTCTTTTCTTTCTAGTGGCCTATGCAGACAGGGTTTTGCTGTCGCAAAGAAAAACATTGAAGAGGCATTTTTTGCTTAATTGTCGAGGGGGTCATGGAATTTGACTTTAGTCTATGTACATATGTGATCCATAGATATGGTATGGCGCGTCCATACCAAAATAAGATAGCAGATGAAAATGCAGGAATATGGCATGATATGCACCCGAGTATAGATAGAACAGAAAAGATAGATAAATGATCATAGATGCATTGAATGTGGACATATGGTATGGCATCGCAGAAGGGGAATCATTGCGCAAGTCGTGAAAGATGGTAAGGTATCATATCAGGCATGAGAAATTCAAGTTTAACGGAATGAGAATGGACTCCGAGGGAGATCGGGTGAGCGCGGGCTCAGTGCCTTGGCGAACAATTCCTCGCCGGAATCATTGCTCGGAGTGCGCGTGATTGCGCCCATGGATGCAAACCCGCCCTGGTCGCTGTTCCGTTGGGCTTCCTGCAGAGCTGAGGGTGGGAAAAGTGCAACCGGCTTAAGTGATTCGGGGCCGGAGGGGTTGATGTGAGAGCTTGGAGTTGGAGTGGGATTGGTATCTGGCGTTGGCATGGAGTGGATGTGCTTATGCGCAACGTTACGGAATGAGCTGAACGAGGATACAGCAACATCAGGAGATTGAGGCGAAAGAAGATGGGCGGTATTAGGAGTAGAATCTGGGTTGGGTTAGTTTCAATGATACCAAACATAGTAACAATTGGGACCAAGGATACATACTGTCGTTCACTGCCAGGTCCTTTGAGCTTGTCTGCAGTTTCAGTCCCTTGAGCTTGTCGCTTAGCTTCCTGCCGCTGATAGGCGACACCGGTGTGGCTGGGTAAATGGAGGATGAATTTGAGGAGTCATGGCTACTGGCAACCGAGTCGACAGCGCGCGAACCGACTCCAAAGTTTTCCTCAATCCACTCCTTTTCTTGAATAGCCATGTGTAGAGCAATTCCTTCAATGTTGTTTTGTGATTCAGCAGCAATCTCCTGCTCAAGAACACGGAGTCGTTTCTTTGCCCAGATAGTATGTAACACGCCTTTCTTGCCGGCCGCCCGGCCGGTGGCGCCCAGACCAGGAGGGAATATTGCGGGGAGAGGGTTCAGCTGGAAGGTATCACGGCTTCGTAGGGGCCGCTTCTCGGCTAGAGCAGCTATTTCGTCCGGTGTGCCCTGGAGCTCGTATGATAGTGTCACAACAGGCGGGATGGTGACATTGGGTGGCAATAAGAGGTAGAAGCGGCGCAGGCTATCAGACGGCCGTTCGTCGGCGGGTAAAACGGTAGTCTTGCCAGTCCATGAAACGTTCCAGAAGCCCTCAGATGAGGATCGGGTAAGATCGTCGTCCTCCCACTCGATCATCAGGATTTTAGTGCCATCGTTGGCCTTACCGGCCTCGAACTCAAACCGAGCCAGTGCAGTTATCGATAGGCCCTCATTGCCGGTGCCGCGTGGCGTCTCAAGCTCAGCGAATTCGCTGTCTGGTGTAAATGCGGGTGGTGTTTGAGCCATGGCTGTGCAGTCAGGCCGGAGACGAGTAAATATGCTACTCGGTCTGGGAGGGGCACGGGATGATTGAATTGTGCTTAGGTACGCCGCTCGACAGATTAAGAAAGGGAGCGTGTATGGGGCTGAGTGCTAAGTGGGATGGGAGTAAAGCTGCACTGATGGAGGGGAAGGGAGGCCATGAGGCGGGTCGATCACGGGATTCCAGAAATGTCCTCTCTCTGGCTTCATTGTGATACACTTTTTCCCGCCTTGATGGGGTAATTTTTTGACCGCAAAAACGCCACTCTAGCTACTTCTAGTTGGACTATTATTGGATCTTCATTATTACTCGTCGACATGCGCAGGGGGAGACCGGCCCATCACATCAACAACGTGCAATCCTGGCCTGCCCCGCCTCTAAATATAGAAGCGCCTATGTGAGTCTTTCTCTTCCTTGGTTAATAACCTAGATTTGATTACCCACTGACTTATTTTCTTTGAAGCTTATGATCTTGAAACATCCAGGGTTCGAATTTATGGGAACTTCCTTTGTTATATAGATTGGAGATTTGGCGACCCAGCAAAGGCGTGTTCTCGAGAATCTATTTTTGGACGATGCAGTGTGACAAGATGTGATGCCGTGCATAAGTAAATGTCGCTTGCTGTTCTTGGCTCCGAGATCCTGGTTGCATCATGGGCTACCAAAACCAATTTCAGGTATAGGATTGGAGAGCCAGAGGTCGAGTATCAACATGCCTATTTGAATGTGCAGGCTAAATGGCAGTCGTTGTTGCGAGTGACCGGTACAGGATTGCATCTGTTAGGTAGATCAGATATCTCAATCAGCTAGTGCTCAGTGTTGGGTGTGACGACCGGTTCCAACCTAGGAATGGTTGACTAATCACCATGGTTGAAATGGTTCGGCGAACTGAAAAGCATGCCAACATCCCCAGGAAGATTGCACCTTGCTTGTCGATCATAATAAAACAGGTTGAAAATCTAGACAAGGAATATGAATAGTTCAGCTAGCCTTCACCATCGATCGTCTTTCAGGAACAACAACAGTCACTCATCGATTGTCGAAAGGGAAACGAAAACCATCACATCATGGATTCTTCCCATTAAAGGGTGTTTGGTAGAGTCACCGGGCTTTATGGAGCAGCGTGCTTGGTTGTCCACGCGAGCTTCATCGAATGGCGATGATCTATAGCCGATGAAGGGGTGATGTCCGAACAGGCGTATAGAGGTGGGTCAAAGCAAGCATTGCGCACAGATGGTGTATCTTTATTTAGAATTAGTCAAGGTGATAGCTATCTTGGCTTCAGAAAATAAAGTAAAGAATAGGGCTCGTATGATACTGTACGATACTGAGGATATTGTTTCGAAATAAAAGACCCGAAACATATCAGAAACGGACCTATTTTGGTGTTAATCATGGTCTCAATGGTCGAAATGGACCAGGCGCCATTGAGATGCATCAGTGTGTATTCTGGGACCGTTGGTGCAGCGGGGTTTGTGACGAGAACGTGAATTGCAGCGTAGAACCAACACGGGATGGGCTGCCCCTGCATGATGCGACGATCTATGATCTAAAATTGACAAGCAGGTATTCTAAGAATAGAGGTATTGCAGGATAAGAGAAGGAGGTGTGCATAACTTAGATGCGACAAGTAGGCGACAAGTGGGACAACAAGCCGAAGGGATATTATCAAGTGGTTGTTAGTCTTGGATCCAAATAAAGCGACTCGCTCGAACCAATCAGCTTGATATTTGGCAAATGCATATGCAGAGTGGAATACGAAGTAGTCTTACCTACTTCATTGGATCCACTATATTGTATGTTGGTTGATTCGATTAGTGGTTTCGCGCATGCACTATTGTTAAATTTAGGAACCTCCTCTTTCCTTCTGTGCGCCACAGGGCCTGAGATGAATTACCGTCCAATTAAAAACGAGCATCCATAAATAGAGACTGTATCAGCTTTGCTTCTATTTGTCTCCGTCTATTGATATATTTCAATCTGTATACTATTTCCAGACTGACGAATCGGTGAAATTATCTCGGTCTGTGATGTTCACATGGTTAGAATTTCCGCTGATCGCACGTACAACATAGTTTATTATCTTATTTTTTCTGATTTCTATTTTTTTTTTTGCTAGTCCCGTTACGTCATCTTCTTACTTTACCCAGGTGAATTTGTCCTTTGGCATAGATCGCATGAATATCTCAAGGGCTCAGGGATGATTTGTAGTATCTATTAGAAGGGTTGGTTCCTGAAGATGAACCATGGATGATTGAGGGTTGTTGGACATGTTAGCAAACTGTCATTGTGAGATGGCCGCCAGAAAAAGAGGCCCGTCGACCTATTTCTTGGACACATGAGGTTGAGACTGAGTATATTCCAAAAATAACATTCACCTAGTTAGGTCATGAGTTTACTGCAGAAAGGCCCTGGACAGTGCATGTGAATCCACTTCAGTGACGAAATCCTTTACATCCGATTGAAGATCATACCGGTGATTATACCCTAAGAACTATGTACAATCATAAAACTTGACCAGCGTTTAGAATATGAAAACGGCCCGTGATCAACGTCTGTAAGTGAGACCAGGAATGGCCCACAGCAGTATTAACGGTATTAACTCCATCGAAGCCAAACAAGGATGACAGAAAGCGTGGGTTCCTTGCATGCAGATGTGCCGGTGTTACTAAATTTGGACTCTTCACGATGGGGAAGCTGATTCTCGCTGCAGCCATGTAGAGAACTAGCGCTGATAGTGATCACGACTGGATCGGGTCATTTTTGTACTCGAATTGTATACCAAGAATCAAGGAGTACTATTACGATACGTCCTCACCTTGCTGACGAGACCGTAGGTTTGAAAATTTCCACTCGAGTCTAACCATTAAAGCGTCAAAGTGATAAGATCCGGAATCGTTAAATGCCAATCCAAAAGACTATGTTGTACGACAGTGATTGGCATGAAAATATTTCAAGTCCAAAAATAGCATGCAGCTCCTAGGGGGTGAAGGATGGCGAAAATATACGGAGTAGACATCGATGGTTGCTCTGAGTGGCCGAAACTGCTCTCTGTCCCAGCCCTGACAAACTTCCCCCGCGTGATGAGCCCACTGAAGTTACCCAATCAGGACACAATGATTGCTAGTTCTCACTTTCGGAACAGGCTAGTCTATTATGGGAATAGCGCCAGCGCTTAAATTAAAGAAAATGAGCGGCCCGTGGTCAGACTCTCATAAATCCCGAGGTTTGTTCATGGTGATTGGTCACTATTTTAACGGTGGGTCTAATATTGTTTCTAGGTCTCCTTTCTAGCAGGTGTTTGGCCTTCACATTCACACTGTGATAACAATGATAATCGTGTAAAAAATACTTGCCTAATATTTAGAAGGTCCACACCAGTACTCTGTACCTTAAATTGTGACGCCTGGAATTGACTAGGATATTTCATGACCAGTAACATGCTTGAGCGCTATAATAAGAAAATTGCCATTATTGTGTTTTGAAATTTACGCAAGCATTCAATAGACAGCCAGCCTTGTAAATTTTGCCCATTAGCTTATGCTAAAGATATTCCTGCTACTCCGTAATCAACCCTGCATCTTCGGCAGACACCTTTGAACGTATTGTACCCACAGAGAATAAAGTACCAAGGTGATCAAAAGCAGGCAGTACATGTAGATCCATATTCACTCCTCATTGATCCATATGTCGGCGTGCGATCACAAAAAAAAAAGGCTAAAATGGTTTACTGGAAATTATAATCACACTACTGTACGTTTGACTTTGCAATCATCTGTTCTGAATTTCGAGGAAATCTACTCTGTACCTGGTAGGTATATTCATACTAGGTGTTGGCCTCCACGAAAAAAACAATACATCAATGGCTTTCATTGACTTGATTTGCGCATCATATGCATACTAATATCCTTAATTCCGAATAATACGCGTAGTCCATCTCATTCTTAGTCTTGTATTCTCCGATATTTTTATCAAGATATGGATACAGTGTAATACTAATACCACCCATGTATTTAAATACATCACGAAAACACACCGGAAGTGCATGGTATACTCCGTACTAGTAGTAAAGTTAGGTAAGATGCAATACGTAGTAAGGGGCGGTGGCTGAGAACAAGGAGAGGGCCAATTCAAACGTTCTAATTTCCAACATCAGGCATCATCTTTCAAGGATCTTGATGGTACCACGGTTTCGACCAAATCCTTCGAGTAAGTACTCTGTACAGACTCTCAAAGCGCGACACGCGGCTCAACTTGGGGGCCGTGGTCTTAGGTAAAGCAGGGACCAAGAAGCTGTGGCGTACCTCAGAAACGCTGCAATTCGTCGCCACAACTAGCTGTTCCATGCCACTAGTTCTGCTTCATAACAGCAGATCAAAGAGCCTAGCGCGTTGACCCAGCCTTCTACGCACTCTATGCGAGTATGCTTACATTGGGCGTCTCTATCGCTCATATAGCGCTTAGTAAAGAGCTTACGATACTAAACATGGGTTTTTGGAAGCTGATAGGACAGAGCTATATGCATACAGTATCATGTTTCCTGGTTCGGGATCTATTGATAGCCTATCCAGACTGTAGCTACGAAGGATCCAACAGTACTCCGTATGTATACTGGATATCTGAATACAGCGCGTAGAAGTCTCCGAGAAATACTCCGTAGATGCCTTTCAAATCTTGTATTGTTCTGTAAGTTAGTGACGTCGATTAGGGGGTTCTGGATGTGTAGTCCGACCCCTGTTTTCAGCCTCTCGGAAGTCATCATTGCATGTGCATTAGTTTGAATCCTTACTGTTGGGTTTTGTTCTTTTACAGGGGGATTTCCAACACCATCAAATGCGGCTGACACGTGGACCTACCCAGTCTCCGGTCGGGGCTAGACCCATGGCATTCGATATGTCTTAAAGCGACAAAAATACTATATTTGGCCCCAGATGCCAAGGCATAGTTCCAAAGGATTCAACTAACGCGACTCTGTCAGAGGGTCCACTGGCTCTCGGTTCTCTAAACCGTTGTCTAGCTGTTACGGTCTGCCATTGGGGTCCATTTATTTTAGTCATGGCGCCTCGGCTTAGGGGCGCGAGACTTGAGTCGCGTGCAGGCCATGAAAAGGCAAATAAATAGAAAAAACAAGGGAGTTGTTATCTTTGCAAATCAAGATTTATAATAAGTTGAATAATGTTTTTGCGAATGAATACATAGTAAGGTGAGTAGACCAGAGCTCTGGAAACAAAGCAAGTAAATGCAGCGCCCACCGAAGGCCAGCCACATAGGTATGTATCCCCGATTCCACCACCAACGTATTCAAAAATAAGGACTGGATATGAAAAATCCACGTCAGAAACTCCATTCTCATTCCACCCAAGCCTCTTTGCCAAGCAGGACATCCCTGTTAAGCGACAAACACAATAAGCAATACCCGTGAACTCCAAGATCAAACCGGATCGCATAACAATGAAATGGGACGCAACTTGCTCTAGCAAGTGATGAGGATTAGACTCTTAGACTTGCAACAATTGAGCAGAAGCAAAGAATAAAAAAAAATAATGGAAAACAAAGCTGAACTGAACGGCTCAACGCACGACAAACAAAATCAAAGCAAAACGGCCTAGTACTTGGGCGAAGCCAAAATCCCTTCTCGGATACATGTGATCATGTGTTCCTTCAACACAGGCTCGAGTATTAAATATCTTGGCTTTCACTTGTCTTGCGGCGCTTTCCTCTTGGGGGAGGATCCAAATGTGTCCGCTTGTATGTAACAGTCCTAGTCACAACTTGTCGCACGCTAACGGATTTCCCGCCCGCGCTCCTTGGTGTCTCGATGTACCGGATCTTCCAATCTGAGGGGGAATATGGAGACCGGATTGTCCGTGCGCTCCCCGGTGATTCCGTCACGGGTGAATACATGCAAGTGTGTGGAATTCGTAGACGTCGTAGAGTTGTGGGGAGCCTGGCGGACTGTGGACTTAGGGCGGGGGAGGGCGGGGGGAGGGTGGCGCTGGTGACTTTGGGACTATCGCGGGCGGAGAGACTGTCACGAGTAGAGAAAACCGTGCTTGTTGCGCTTGACGGTACAGATATCGGGGAGGGGCGTCGCTTCTCGAATTTGAAATTTGGAAACTCAACGCCGGCGCTCACAGGACTGGTGAAGACCGGCGTGAGAGCTTTTAGAAACTCGGTATAAGCCTGAGGTGGAGTGATTGGCGTCGAGCTACCCTCTTCACGCTTGATGAAATCAGACCCAGCAGTGAAAGGTGCAGAAGTAAGAGGGCTCTCATGAAGCTCAGAAGGGAACGTCATTGTTTTGGGTGTCTTGAGAGGAGGCAAGACAGGCTTGGCTGGCATGATGTCGAGTCGCAAGGAATGGAACCCGCTGCAGATATAAAAAAAAATATAAAATGCAGGAGTAGTCGATGACAGAAGTCTTCAAAGAAGGTAAGGAGAATAATCAAGAGGCAATGGAGGTAGGTAAGACAATAAAAATAGAACTGCGAATCAATGCGCAGACAGTGTCGAGGACAGTGTGGGAAGCGTGAGAACAAAGTTGTTTTTTTAGGGCGGGGGGAGGCTATAAAAAGTTTGAGCCAACAAGGCAAGGTTCAAGCCGCAAAGAGGAACAGTGTGGATAAAGAGAGAAATCGCAAGCACTTGGACCCCAAGATGTGTATGATGGCGGAGCAAGGCAACACAAAGGCTCAGTGGTAATGTATTGAGCAATAAATTACAGTACAAAACATACAGGACGGTAATGATACCGAGTAAGTTTCGTATGTATGGTCAGGTGTATCTTCAACTCTGCACTGTTCTGTAGGCGGTTAGTTCCCGCTTCCTCCCCTCCTTAGAAATGTGATGCTCACCGTACTTTGGAAAATAATGAAAGGCTTGATCGACAAGACTTGACGGGAAATTAGGTGGGCTTTGTGTCTCGTGATTTTGTTTTTTTGGGGTTGGCAATGAGCGTCTGTCTGGGAGTTGTTCCTTTCAAAGTACTGGGGCCCAGAAAGCGAGAAAGGTAATTTCAGTCCAGCTGATGATTGAAAGCCTTGTATGATAGAAATGAAAGAGTTAAACACAGTGGGGATCTCGATGTTCTATATATCATTCACAACACACCCCCATAACCGCGTAGCTACAGCCAGGAGTCGATCAGCGATTAAATGATCTTGTCGGGCGCCACCTCAAGCAAATCTTGGTGTCCTATTGCCTGCAGAGTACCCTGAAACAGTAGCCACCCTCTTGGATGTTTCATCTTTACACCCTGTCGAGGCCGTCGCGGCTTACTAAACCACTGTGGTTCGCTCCCGAGGTCTGATTAAAGCGCGCGGTTCCTCACTAAAAGACCAGCGCCAGGCTATACGCCACGTTTATCTTGAAGAGTATGAACAATTGGCTGCAATAGCTCATTTGAATGACTGTCCTCCTATTCCTAGCTCTTGGTATTGTGAAACTGCCCATGATTACTGCAATATAATCGACCCAAAAATAACCCGCGAGATGCAACCTCTTGATGCTCGAGTCCTCGATCAAAGGGGATTTTAACGCGTATTGTGGCTCGAGATCTATGATTACTTCCACTCTCTACCGACGAATCCCTAGTTTCACGAATGAGACCAAAGATCAACTCCACGCAGGTAGGCTCTTGAGGTATACTACAATACAAGTGCAATGAATTGACAGTAAATTTGACGCTAATTTTGGGAAATGCTAGGTGGTTCAATGTCATTGTTTCTGAGGAAACGCACTGCAGCCCCTGCATAAGCCCGGCTCGAAATAGTATCTGCGATTTGCCGTAACTGCGGAGAACCAGGGAGAAGAAGACACGAGACCCAATGCTTTGGCTTTTGACACTATTTGTAGACTCGAAAAAAGAGCTACGGGATTTTATCCACCTATCTCATCTGTTTTCAAACCCGTCTGACGGCAGTCAGGGTCTTCTCTGCAGGACCGGTTTCTTCAGGCGCTCTACCCTGGTTATTTCTGCAGGTCAGGACCCATTGCTATTTCGAGGTCTGGATTTGACTTGGCTATCTCCTACAGCTCATTCCTCCACGTCAAACAAGCACTCCAAGTCTTGTCCTTACGCTACCAGCATATCTAATTTGAGTTTGAACGAGCTTGGTGAAACAACCTTTGACGCCTTTGTCCCACCAAAATGACAAGAAGCGCTAAATACCGTCAGTATAGCAAAGACGCCAATGTATTCTGCGCTTCTTCGGATTTGAACATCCAACTACTTCTCGAGCCCCCCCCCCCCCAACTGGTTCATCAATAAACGGTTTGTCCTGGATTATATACGGAGCAAATTAAGTCACCGGGCCTTATCGATAAACAGCATGTTTGGTTATGATTGCATCCCCCAAAGCCCATTGTTCTAGGATTCAAACTTCGCAATATACTAGTACTCTTCTGAAGATCAATAATTTCTGGCCACTAACTGGAAGTAGCTGGGTGCTTTGCAAAGTTCAGTTACAGAGCTCAAATGCTTGCGATCAATATTTTCATATTTCCAGCCTCTTTCCTATTTGCTTTATTTGATCGATCAATGTTTGTAGTATCATAACAAACGAGGCAATAGAGTGCCGTGTCTCATATTGCGAGATACTACATAAATCTTTATGTTCGCTCGAGGCTCTCATATGGAAGAATATAGTTATATCTAACAATGGAATTACACGGTGAGTCGCTGGGTCACTGTCGATATAAATACTCTATGAGGGACAAAGAGGACATGCAGCTGCTAGTGTATTGAGTAGTGTGGTTGTTGAGAAGAAGAATATGCTACAGGAGGGTAGAAATAAAGGGCCGAGCATAGTACAAGGTGAGCATGTCAGTATCCCAAAACCCACAATATCATCAATAGTAATGTTAAGCCGAGTAGTTACTTTGTATGTACGTAGTTTAAACTCACTATAACAACTCAACATGCTCCCCTGAGATTGCAAAATATAGAACGACCTCTGTGGCTATAGCAGTTCGTTCTTAACTAACTCTCAATGGAATTAACTAGTTAACTAGTTAACGTATTTCACCACCGAGTGGATCAGCAAACCCAACCCTATGGATTTAATTCCATTTATCTCAACCAAAACGCCATTAAATTAATTCAACTAATTAACTGGTCTATCTGGACATGTTTCTCTTCTATGCCCTGGCAATCTGCATATTCCACACCCCCGGGGGGGGCCGCGTACGTGGCTGAATAGCCGATTCTCTAGGTACACTGGGATCCGGGGGAGGTGCTTCACCTGCTTCCTGTTGCTGCATAATTAATGCAGAGGCTTCTTCGACTGAGAGTCCTTCTTCGGAGGGTATATGCCTTCGAGATCTAGCCCGCTTTTGCTTCTGCTTCTCGTTAGCAGCGCGTAAATCGCTGGCTTCTTTCTCGAGAAAAGCAGCAGACTGCATAGTGATTTGATAGGCTTTTAAAACCTGATTTATCGCGTAATTTAGCGGGCTCGGAGGGCTCCTCGATCTAGTACGAAGTAAAGCTTTAATTAACGAAGCTTACTTTTATAATTACACGTAGTTCGAGGGCGTTTTAGGGTCCTAATCGCTCCCCCTACTCGGAGGGGGGGTAGGAGTTCGAAGTTAAATATCTAGCTTCGAGATCACTTGATCAGGTGTAAAAGGTACTAAACCAGCTACTTTAAAGCTATTCTTAATCGTCTCCGATTTAAAAGCTTCGATTCGTGCGAGGGGGTATATTTCGAGGAAGTTAAGTTTATCGATATGGTTAATCCGAGTCCGCATTTTCATTTCAGCCAGCCGACCATACGATCGTTTTAACACCGCAAAACAGCCGATATCGAGAGGCTGTAAAAGGTGAGAGGAGTGAGGTGGCATACAGATCGGTACCACCTTATTTTGCTCACAGATCTTATCGAATTTCGGGGTTAAATGGCTTCTATGCCCGTCGAGTATTAAAAGTCGATACCCCCCTTCGTACGTGAAGAAGTAGTCGGAATAAAGAGCTTTTCGAGCCAGCGAACTCTAATTTCATCAGAGGTCTAACCGTTTAGACTAACCTTAAATCGCCAGTTATCCGGAAGGCTATCGAACCAAGATTCGAGGAAGACTTTGCCTTTAAAAATCACACACGGAGGGAGGGCCCACCCCGAAGCATTCGTACATTTAATAGTAGTCACCTATTCACGATTTCCAGGTTATAAAACCGGGCGCCGACCGTAGAAATCGCTCCTCGTAACTACCTTAGCTGTAGCGATTAATCCCATCGCGAAACCAGTCTCATCGAAGTTATAAACGTCATCGGGGTCGATTCCGAATTAAAGGATTATTTTTCGAACCACTCTCGAATAGTTTTCGGGTCTTCGCATTTCGCACGTTCGTAATTATACCGTTTTAAGAATCGGGAGGAGAGTAGAGGACGTCGTTTAATATATTTTATAACCTAATTTTCGCCGACCGAAAGAACCGGGGTAGTTCCGCGCTTTTCGAGGAGAAGATTCGCCATTTCTCGTATCATAGAAGGCCGGGGGGCTGATCCACGAGAATCCTCTTCAATATCTGTTAATTTCTGGCAATTTACGCGGGTTTCGGAGCGATTTATGAGACCATTAAGGCGGTTCCGTAAAGAGGAGAATGGCACTTCAAAACGACGCGATGCTTCGCGTATAGAGGTAATTTGCTGGTTTTTAATAGCCTGGATAGCTAATAAAAGCCTACCCTCTTGCTCTGCTGAATTACTAGAGGATCGGGAGCGAATTGGTGGCATAGTGGGTGGTTGAAGTGGTTAAGTGGTAATTCATGGACGTGTTTTCGTGTCGCTGATCCACTCGGTGGTGTGATCCACTCGCATGTGAAATACGTTAATTCAGTTATATCTGATTAAGTAATCGAGTGGAACACGGGGGAAAAAGTAGCAGCATAGGGAATGAGGCGTTATATATGTGTTCAAGTGTTATATTCAAAGTAAATTTTATCTGAGATAGAGACGAAGGGAAGAACGAGTCCACTAACGCTTCGGCCAACTGCCTGTTAGCTGGTAGAATTTATGCTCAATGAGTGCTTGATTAAACCTTTGATAGAATGACAAAAATATATATAATCAACTTTGGAAGTGTTGCCATAAAAGTATTTGTTATCAAAACAGTCCACTTTTAATATGTATAAAAACTCCATGGATGTACCATGACGTTAAGACAGATGTTTCTGTAGGTAATATTCATACTATATACATGTACTGTAGCTTCGAGTATGTTAAATCGATAAAATAAAATAGAATATATATAGAGTGACGTGGGTACTTCAAGATGAAGCAAGCTACATGAAAGCTAGGGAGGGTGGGGAGGCTCGAGAAGTAGTTGGATGTTCAAATCTAAAGAAGAACAGAAGACATTGGTGTCTTTGCTATACTGACGGTATCTAGCGCTTCTTGTCATTTTGGTGGGACAAAGGCGTCGAAGGATGTTTCACCAAGCTCGCTCAAACTTAAATTAGATATGCTGGTAGCGTAAGGACAAAGCTTGGAGTGCTTGTTTGACGTGGAGGAATGAGCTGTAGGAGGGGCTACCTACTATTAGTCTACATAACTAACTAACGTATTTCACCACCGAGTGGATCACACCACCGAGTGGATCAGCGACACGAAAACACGTCCATGAATTACCACTTAACCACTTCAACCACCCACTATGCCACCAATTCGCTCCCGATCCTCTAGTAATTCAGCAGAGCAAGAGGGTAGGCTTTTATTAGCTATCCAGGCTATTAAAAACCAGCAAATTACCTCTATACGCGAAGCATCGCGTCGTTTTGAAGTGCCATTCTCCTCTTTACGGAACCGCCTTAATGGTCTCATAAATCGCTCCGAAACCCGCGTAAATTGCCAGAAATTAACAGATATTGAAGAGGATTCTCGTGGATCAGCCCCCCGGCCTTCTATGATACGAGAAATGGCGAATCTTCTCCTCGAAAAGCGCGGAACTACCCCGGTTCTTTCGGTCGGCGAAAATTAGGTTATAAAATATATTAAACGACGTCCTCTACTCTCCTCCCGATTCTTAAAACGGTATAATTACGAACGTGCGAAATGCGAAGACCCGAAAACTATTCGAGAGTGGTTCGAAAAATAATCCTTTAATTCGGAATCGACCCCGATGACGTTTATAACTTCGATGAGACTGGTTTCGCGATGGGATTAATCGCTACAGCTAAGGTAGTTACGAGGAGCGATTTCTACGGTCGGCGCCCGGTTTTATAACCTAGAAATCGTGAATGGGTGACTACTATTAAATGTACGAATGCTTCGGGGTGGGCCCTGCCTCCGTGTGTGATTTTTAAAGGCAAAGTCTTCCTCGAATCTTGGTTCGATAGCCTTCCGGATAACTGGCGATTTGAAGTTAGTCTAAACGGTTGGACCTCTGATGAAATTGGAGTTCGCTGGCTCGAAAAGCTCTTTATTCCGACGACTTCTTCACGTACGAAGGGGGGGTATCGACTTTTAATACTCGACGGACATGGAAGCCATTTAACCCCGAAATTCGATGAGATCTGTGAGTAAAATAAGGTGGTACCGATCTGTATGCCACCTCACTCCTCTCACCTTTTACAGCCTCTCGATATCGGCTGTTTTACGGTGTTAAAACGATCGTATGGTCGGCTGGCTGAAATGAAAATGCGGACTCGGATTAACCATATCGATAAACTTGACTTCCTCGAAATATACCCCCTCGCACGAATCGAAGCTTTTAAATCGGAGACGATTAAGAATAGCTTTAAAGCAGCTGGTTTAGTACCTTTTGCACCTGATCAAGTGATCTCGAAGCTAGATATTCAACTTCGAACTCCTACCCCCCCTCCGAGTAGGGGGAGCGATTGGGACCCTAAAACGCCCTCGAACTACGTGCAATTATAAAAGCAAGCTTCGTCAATTAAAGCTTTACTTCGTACTAGATCGAGGAGCCCTCCGAGCCCGCTAAATTGCGCGATAAATCAGGTTTTAAAAGCCTGTTAAATCACTATGCAGTCTGCTGCTTTTCTCGAGAAAGAAGTCAGCGATTTACGCGCTGCTAACGAGAAGCAGAAGCAAAAGCGGGCTAGATCTCGAAGGCATATACCCTCCGAAGAAGGACTCTCGGTCGAAGAAGCCTCTGCATTAATTATGCAGCAACAGGAAGCAGGTGAAGCACCTCCCCCGGATCCCAGTGTACCTAGAGAATCGGCTATTCAGCCACGTACGCGGCCCCCCGGGGGTGTGGAATATGCAGATTGCCAGGGCATAGAAGAGAAACATGTCCAGATAGACCAGTTAATTAGTTGAATTAATTTAATGGCGTTTTGGTTGAGATAAATGGAATTAAATTCATAGGGTTGGGTTTGCTGATCCACTCGGTGGTGTGATCCACTCGGTGGTGAAATACGTTAGTTAGCTTCCAACTAGTTAGTTAACGTATTTCACTACCGAGTGGCCACTACCCCCGAGTGGCCATCTTCAAAACACATAGTAAATGCGATAGATTATTTCAACAACTATAAGTTAATTTTCACTATTAGTGGATAGGTATCGATAAGCATTTCTAGTAGCATGTATTAATTTTCAAAAAGATTAGAAGACTATATTACTATCATTTCAAAAATTACCGAAAATTACGTTACCAAAATCTAGAAATAGATATATCTCAGTCACCGACCCATCAAATTTCTCGAAACTCTCTAAAGAGACTAGATATCACCTAAAAAAATTAGGTTATAAGGAAAGCTCTATATAGACTACCGTTGTTGAGATATTAAGCTGTAATTTATCGCATTTACTACGTGTTTTAGAGATGGCCGCTCGGTAGTGGAATACGTTAAGTTGTAGGTGGCTTAGTTAGATTAAATTTATACATTATGCACGAAATGCACCCAGAGGAACAAACATATTCTCATATGAAGGTGGAGGAAATTGAAAATCAATCATTGGCATTGAAAACGACAGTGGTATAATACGTGAACCAGGAGCTTTATGCCCAGAAGAGAACCGTCTCATCTTCATATCACCGAACGCCTTGAAATATTTGAAATCAAAACTCCCTTCAAGCATCCACCCAAATATATCGCGAAAGAAAAATATCGGACAAAAATTATAAGAAAATCCTAAACGTTTAGGCCAAAGCTTTCAAGAAAAGAAAATAGCAAGTCAGATCACATCAACAAATATCGCCAGCCATTGCGATCCATAATGTCTCGCCAGTGCACGCTTTGCCTTTTTATGTATCTCACACTAGTGGGAGCACTGGAAGGGCCAGTTCCAGGTGATGATGGAAGCTCCTGTTTCATAACAGAGTACTGAGAATCATATTTATCGGAGTCATCCAAAGGCGGCTCTGGATCGTCAGAGAGTCTCCAGACCTCCCGAACGAGTCGATACATACGACCAAATGCGCCAAAATCACCGATCTCGCCGAGGGCAGCAGCTCGCTCGGCCAGAACATGGCGGAATGAGCTTGCTGGCGTTGAGAAGGAAGCAGCCATAAGAAGTGGCCACACAAGAGATCGATCGAAACCAAAGGGTCCTGCGGGAATGAATTGGAGAGCGTTTGTAATTGCAGATACAAGATTAACAATGCTTTGTTCGTTCCGATCGAAGCCTGGAACAAGGCTGCATAGATATATGCGAGCCGCAAGGCGGAAGATTGTGCTGATGTTACTAGTGAGCTGCTCAGGTTGAATGGTACCAGTGACAGAGTAAGGATGTGCGAGCACATTGTCAGCAGACTCGGTGTGTTCGAGCTGTGTGCCAAGAGCAGAAACATGGTGACAGACGGTGAGTTCGTCCATCCGACCTTCGGACTTCAAGGAATCCAAGCAAGCAATCTCCGAGATGAGATACATGATGCGATCATCACATCCCATTAGCTCACGTAGTCCGGATGATGTTCCAGTCAGGTGCTTAGAGCGATAAGTGTGAGCAAACTGAGGGGTCTTGCCTAGCATCGTTGCTCCCAATATATCGATCCAGGATGTAAGGGACATGCTAAAAGGTGACACTATATGAGGTTTTGGTTGTGGTAATGTCGCTGCTGATAGCTCAAGCCTATTCACCAGACTTGAGACAGCTTGAAAATGATCGCTCCATGGAATATCGGGCAGAGAGTCATCCGGTGCACCAACAGAGCAATGGAAGAAGATCATTGCCAGTGTCGCGTCAAGGATATTTTCATGATCAGTATCGCGATTAAGCGACTGGCATAATTGGGAAATTGCTTCGTAACGATGTCTCATAATGTCATGGTCGATCTGTTCGCCCTCGAGCTCAACAGTAGTTTTGAGGTGAATAGCAGATACACTGAGACAACAATGCAAGTATGACTTGTTTGTCTCAAGTGCGCTCAGAATAACCTTTGTTCGTGCCGCACTTTGTTGATGCGCTTCAAGGATAGGGAAGATCATGCGCAAAACGTGTTCCACGAAGTGTTCCAGCAGGGGGCGGTCGTGATCCTCCACAGGGATTGATGTTGTCTGAAAATATGGCAAAGTAGGCCCGTAGCCCTGTGGAATTATTGTTGAATTGAAAGAACTGGGCTCCGTTTGCCTGAAGCAGTCTTCCTGTAGCCATTCATCTCCATGATAATTAGGAAGGGTGTTGTGGAGCTGGGGCGGCCCCATTGCACTGAATGTTGACACGGATGAGTCGTGTCGTAATGGAATATCATTGACAAAGGTCTGTCGCTCAGTTCTGACATCGACTTCATACGGAGCATATTGCGGCGGGTATGCACCTAGAGGGAAGGCTTCCGTGTGAATATGAGATGTGAATGGGTCACCAGGCTCACCCAAACTGGAGCGGTTGAAATCATATTCTGCAATGAGGGGCGAATCTGCACTAATAATTCCTGCGCGAATTCGATCCATATGACCTGGTAGCATAAAAAGTTAGAGGAGCATTCAAATTTCCCCGGTCTCTTTTCATACCTTGAAGCGATCCACGTCTCTCCATCATTTTTGTCTGCTTGATCTTGATCTTGATTCTTTCCTTTTGATTCCTCCGTTGATCTGCGCTTCCCCACCATGAGGGTCGTTTGTACTCGCATTTCAGGCATAGATTGGTGCATGCTGAGCAGGAGGGATGGCCTTCGTCGCATTTCTTTCGTCGCAGGCGGCATGTGAAGCAACCTGTAGAACCAGATGGTATTAGCAACAGCGACAAAAAACCGCATCAATGTTTGAAACTATGACAAGCCATGAATTCCCAATTGATCATAGTGAGATAGTAACTGACCAGAACGCGAACGTTTGTGTAGTCTCCCTCTATCTGAAGTGTCACTATAGGTTGTGGCCGGGGGCTTAGGCGCTTCATTTGTCATAGCAGTCGGCATTGTAGTTGTCCTTGGGTTCACCATGGTGGGTTTGGATTCTCGGGTGTTTAAAATAATAAAGTGCGGGGCTGGGGGAGTAATCGATCTGTTCAACAGATGCCGAATCGCAAGGAAAATATCACAGGGCCGCCAGCGGAGCTAGTTGTTTTCGAGTAGTAAAAAAACAAATGAAGCGAGAGAATAATTTCTCTCAAACCTGTCTATCAAAGACAAAAGAGACTCCACAATGCAACAGTGACGATGTTGATAGAATGGTATGAGATAGAAGTTATTCCATTAGCTCTGGAGGAGGACGACTTTAAAGACTAATTTTTGATCTGACCTGCATGTTTAGTGCTTCTATTTTTTGACCTGGTTAGCGACCATTGGACGATCCAACCCGGGAGATTATGCGAACATCGGCTTGGAATTTGCGGCTAGGACAAATGGCACCAAACCTGGCCTAAATTTGGGAACATTTGTTGCAGGGGTAAGTTACTTGTTGGTCAGAATATGCATGTGCATTGATCGGCTTCTGTGGACTCCCCAGAAAGGACTGGGCAAGGTGTGTGATAGCATGGGTCCATAGTTTGAGCAAGATGATGCATCTCAGGTGCTAATAGGTTGATTCAATTGCAATCACATCGTCCGTGCGTATGATAACGTTTTGTTTTGCATTTCTGCTCGTGCCACTCTTTCCGCAATATGTGGAGTGGCAGTCACTCAAATTTTCAGCGCATACCAGTAATCTTTCAGATTCGATTTCCTTCGTTCTCTCATATGAGTCCCAATGTTGAATCGCACAACTGTAGACCGCTTCTTTGGCTGCGGAATCTTTGGTTTCGGACGAGTTAGTTGGTCACAATTTGGTGATGGCGAGTACATAAAAGTGGAGTTCAAGGGTGACTCGGCGGCAGCTGGTGCATGCCAAGCTTCCACATTTTGATTATTATTGGCTCGTGAGCTTCAGGGCCTTAGCGTTTCGGGCGGTGGACCAAAGCTCGTCCTTTCAGAGAATGGTGAACCCACAACCAATTGTGCCTTGTCCGTGCAGAGGCGGGGAAACCTTAGTGTGCAGATAGCATATCCCTTAATTAGCAACAATTAACCGCCAATCTAGTAAGCTAGTTACATATGTAGCTACCTATACATTCCTAATTATCCCTAATTTGAATAAATTAAGATGCGTTTGCTAATAATAGCTTTGACAAATATGTCTTCAGATCAAAAAAATACTAAATATCTATTTTCAGATATCTTATGGGCATTAAGCGCTCCATTCGGAACAATTGAGGCATAATTGGGGTATAGTCAGGTGGAGGTTTTTTTTGTTGCTCTTTAACCCAATGGCAACACATTTAGCAGCTGACGAGGATTTTGTTCCTCTTACTCCGTATTTCATAGTCAGACAACCAATCGCCTCATCACTAGCGAATAGCACATCGGACGTTCATCCACAAAAGCCCAACTAGGTAACGCTCAACGAGCTACCATTTGATTCTATTAACTATGTGGTAAGACTTGTTTGTGGGCTAGAGGTCATTACTTAGAAATAAGACTTATTTCGGGATAATTCTTGACTGGCTCAAATTCCAATATGCCAGGTACCGAACTACCCCGATTGCTTGGTACCCCGTGCTTTAAATCATTCAGGAATAAGACTAGAATGAAATGAGCATCGTCATAGTGGTTTTAAAGATATACTTATGTGTATCTAATACTCTGTATGCTGTATGTGAGATCTTAGCTGAAGTAGAAATTGCTATTGCTCATCACATAAGATTGCTCAAATTGGACGTATACTGTGTGCCTGAACTACATATGTAATCAGTGCTGCACTACTCCGTAACTAGTACTTACCTGCGCTAGATCAATATGATGCATCTAACTATCGGAATGTTTTCGCCTTTTAGTAGCAACTAAGCTATTTGAAATGGGTGAGTTCGACTTGAATCAGGACTCTACCTAGATATAAGATAAGAATCTACAATCATGTCGCCCTTTATAACAATTTGGAATTTGTCACACGAGTACTCTGGTTGTAACATCCTTCTTTAGAAAGGCAAAAGACGCCAAGGGAGATAATAACCGAAAACCGAAGTGCATCATCTAAAAAGCAGCACGTGTTTCCGTGCACGTTTTTTTAATTTTTAATTTGAGTGAGAACCACTGTGGAGTCATTACAATAAAATGGCGGAGGAATTGAGGAGGAAAAGTCCGTCGGGGAGTGTTACATCGACAATGTGAAAGAGCTCGTAGGCTGCATATGTGATGATCAGTCACTTTTCAAACATGCTCGAGTCAGTGGTCATTGATTGTGGGGTCCATAAGAGGGGACATTTCGAGGAACGGTGTAAGTACAACATAGACGAGCTTGGATTTAACCAGGAATGACCTCGTGCCCATGGATTCTAAAAAAAGCTCTACAATAATTCTTTCCAATTCAGGTCATGCATTCATTTCGATTAGAGTATTTACTAACTGATTAGCATTGACCTTTCTTTTTTGGGATAGCATATTAATGAAAAACTATCAACGTTCTAGTCTACTTAACCGACAATCATCATTTGTTGCTATAATTATCGGCCTTAATGTCCCGTATGAGAAGGATTATGGGCACATTTCCCGTGTGTGATCAAACCGTCGGATGGCTACCTTAGCGCCAATGTGATAAGCAATTAGAAACCATTGGTCCGTAATTTCTTTCAAATCTCCACACCAAACATGGGAACATGCCTTTACGACCAGTCGAAGGGTGCCGAGCGGCCATCACTGCAGTAGCGTCGTTCTTCCTAACCTCTCGCTGGTTTTTCCAACCCCGCTCTGAGATGCTTACCCCTCAATAGTTAATTTTGGATGGTGCAATTAGTTTGCATTTTCAACCAATAACCGTATCTCGTCAAGGGTAAAGGCGAGATAACTGCAGCGACTAACCAATCATTGGTAGTAAAGGCGACTGGGGAAGCTACTAGGGTCCTCTGTTCCTTGGCCTCTGCGGCTGGTCGTCTCATGCAACTGCATACCCAACCATCACATCCTTTCGACTGGCTGAAAATTCTGTCTAAAGCTATTTTTGACTGTGGCTTTTTTTGGCAACTCTTTTCGTCGGAATTGCCATGGCTATAACCACCTACATAAAACCTCCAACCGCCCGGTTTCCCAGCACATCTTCAATCTACATTAATGAACCATATATTTACAATCATCGCTGTGCGACGATAATAATATTAAACCTTTCCTGATACTTTATTTGCCTTGACATTATCACCCTCCCCTGGCATATACTATTGATCCTTCATAACTATACGTTACAAATCCTTTGATACGGCTTTCCAGCCTTCTTCTCAAACAGGGTTTCTGCTTTGCCTTTCGGTTGGACTTTACATCACCTGCTCAAAATGGTTTGTCATTCTCTCCCGCCACTTTAAATGGTGTACTAAATCGTTCATTAGAGTTCCCAAGTTGAATATATTCCTACACTCGAGTATCCCGCAGGGAAGGAGTGTAGGTCGTTCTCGGCGCCGCGAGAGATCGGGTCCAACACATACTCGGAGTATACCGATATCCTGGACACAGATTTCGATTCAGATTCACAATCAGAGTCAGGCGAAGATTCATCACACAGGAGTGTTCGTTCGGTATGTCTTGTTTGGTTGAGATGTTTTATGAGACCACCAACTAACCGGACTTTGAAGTTTGGAAGTGCAAGTGTCACCACTGCGTCGACTCCAGACGACGTCAAGACGCCGTGTTCTACTGGCCTAACTGCCTTTCACTTCCATATCGACGAAAATCCTGTTGCTGGCCCAACAGGGCCACACCTGTTCGGCCTCTCGGATGGTATGGAAATCAAGTCGAGCGTTGAGGTTGATTTGATTTACGAAGACACACCTGGTAGTGCTACCACAACTTTGTATCCAGCTGCATCCAAGCTTGGCCCCTACAGGAGAGATACCCCTGTCCCTTCTCGGTCCGAAAAGGTCAATTCTCAGAACTACACTCCAGATGTGATACTCCACAGTGCCCCCACACAACCCGATGAGGGTAATGTCTCGAGCTGGACTCCGCAAGATGTTGTTGAGTGGATGCAAAAGCGAAATGTGGCCCAAGAGATCGTGGAAAAGTTTTTCATCAATGATATCTCAGGATCCATTCTCCTGGAACTGCAGCCAGAAGATTTAAAAGAACTGGACATCTCATCTTTTGGGAAGCGACATACATTAATGAACTCGATCCGCGAGCTGCGCGAGAGGGTTTCTGTCTCATACAAAGAGCTCCCACCCATTCCACCACCGGAGCATATTTCAAGGGAGGCAACTCCACAGTCGGCAATGGCTGATGTCGGTGTCACTTGCACTTCCACCCCAGTGGCGTATGATGAAGAATCTGCGCGCAAGGACAGAGAGTACCTATTTCAACAACAGCAGAAACATCGCCGTCGCCGCGGAGCACGGGTACTTGGACCCGAAGACTCTGTTTCAATCGTCGGCATCGAGCAAGTCTTGCCCAGACTTCACAGATGTTCCAAGGGAGAGGATTGCCGCAAATGGTTAAAGCAGCACGCAAAATTATCTCGCATGGTCAGGGACCTTCCGATTGAATCGTTGGGAAGTTCAATGGTTATTACAGGTGACCCAGGAAATGCGGCCACTGCACGCAATCTCGCAAAGCCATCCAAGCTGGAGCCGAAATCAGATGTGACCCCGTCAATTGTCGCCTCTTCTGATGCTCTTGGTCCCGTCCAACCCAACAATCTTCCTCTTTCCCAGGATAAGCTCCACGATGTGCAACCTAGAGATGCCCAGGAGAATGTCCGTAACTTTTTGAACTTCCAGCGTCTGAGCCGGCTGAGGCCAGTAAACGACCCTTCAACACCCCCGAGAGATACATTTCCTTCTCCTGGATCTGACTCTCCTGGAACTCTGGCTGAGAACCTCCGAAGCCTTCCCAGGCTTCGTATTCCAAGCAGCTATGATACAGTAGGAGGCTCTGCTCTTTCCCCACCCGCCCTTTCCGGACAACGAACCATCACCCCTTCGGTTGTTCACAGGAAACGGCCATTTCAAAGCCACATCCCGGAAGTGTCTACTGTATCACAAGACTCAGTCTTCTCTCCATCCGACTACTATCGCCAGGACCCCCACTATGAACAGTCCACACCGTTCTCTGAGATGGATGTTCCTTTGACGGCCATTCAACTCGGTCCAATTGAGAGAAACATCTCGCAATCAGTCCCACCTGATATGCGATTTGGTCATTACCAATACCCAACCACCGATCCAATCTACCGCCCAAGATCCACCAAGCTTGACAATCACAGAAAGAAGCCATCTTTTGTCTCGAACATTACCCCCGTTCTGACTCGTCTGGATGAAGGCCGGATGATGGAGCCCATTGAAACCCCAGAGGACTTGGATCGCACTCCCCGCGCTGGCCATTGCCGCCCCAATCCTTTCAGTCCCACCGGCGAGCCTAATACCGATATAATCCATGCTGGCTGGATGAAGAAGCGAAAGAATGCTCGCTTCCTACGCCATGAGTGGCAAGACCATCACTTTGCCCTCCGCGGCACCCAGCTCGCCATGTATACGAACGAGGAGGACTCGCAGCAGGTCGCCAAAGCCCTCGAGTACATCGATGTTGACGATTACGCTGTGGCTTGCTCTTCCCTTGCTTCCAGCTCCAAGCTGACAGCCGCATTTAAGAAGACTGTTCTAAAGCGCACAGACGACACTCGCGGAGACACTGCCTTTGCTTTCTCGTTGATTCCATCACCCAGCAGCTCTAACTATGAGCGCAAAACTATCTTCACCAATGGCAGCAAAGCCCATCATTTTGCAGTCAAAACTCGCGATGAGCGAATTGACTGGATGCGCGAGCTGATGCTGGCCAAAGCCCTCCGAAGGGGTCGCGAAAGTGGTGCCTCTCTCAATGTGAATGGCGCCCCCTTCTAGGCACCTGTGATTTTTTTATGATTTAAGATGATTCATTGACACTCTTTGCATATTTCCTTATTATGTTTGTTTGATACCCTTTGCACTCGACTGATTTATGGTCGCACAAGCCACGATTTTACGAATTTCTTTTAACGATTGAAGAAGCATGATTGCTTTGGGTCATGCGGAGTTTTACCTTGCAGCTCTTTGCATTTTTTTTATCATGTCCTGTTCTTTGCCACATATAGATGGGTGTGGATTTTATACGAGACATTGGCTCACGCCGAATTCGTTGGATGTGGTACTTGCGGGTTGATATTTACCCGACTATTTCCAACCGAAAGAAAGAAGAAAGAAAAAAACCAAAAAAAAAAAAAATGGAGCTGGCTCCTATCAATTACATTCTTTGTACATATAAAAAAAGATTATCATTACAAGCGGTCAATGAATGTATTATTATCGAATAAGGAATAACGCGTAGGTAGTCCGTACATTGTATGTGGACATGTCCACGTGTAAGTGTCTCATGGGCGTAATAATCACGAGGCTGGAAGATTGGCATGTTAGCGCAGATGTGATATCTCGTTCCTCTCCAATTCAGGTTTGGACTCTGGGCGCCACATTCTGAAAGAAATGTACTTATCTACAATAATAATACAGGAGTAAGTACCGAGTACTCCATACATACTGTATAGCATACTATGTGGGTGACCGCAACTTCGATGGTTTATGTTTCAACTTCTGTCACGCACATCAAGGCCACATGCTTTTGGGAACTTTGAGTGATCCAGGCTGTGATTGGTTGTCCTCCAACACACCATTCAGCCGAAGGCGCTTACACACTCGCGAGGAATGGTGGAGGTACAGGCTCATGTCCCTCGCCTGACTGCAACTCGCTATCACACTGCATGAGTCCACTTTTGTTTGTCCGGTTTTGGAAGATAATTAAACTCATTTCGAGCTCCTGTTGGGTTGACCTCTATGTATCTCGATATATTCGCACACGTACCCCTTACTATTAGCGCCTTACATATTAACGTTCATTGTATGCGAGGGTTGGTTACGCCCAAACTCGCTTCACTATCGTCATAGGACAAGAGTTCTCATTGGCCGTCCAATGCTACTGGATATAGTCCGGGGTATTATTATGTATACCAAAAATGGCAATAAGGATACTCCGTAGCCGCCCGTGGAAGACCGTTGTAAGCGGTTGGGAGGGGTAGATCTACGCAAAATCGCCCCTGTCAACCATGAACAGGGGTTCGGCTCAGCCTGTTAGCCTTGTCTGACTGATAACTCTCAATTTAATGTTTAATCATTATCCTCCCATCTCGGTTTCTTTTCCACCATCGCCGTTGTATCCCGCCCCCTTTACAAGCTTGTGTGACCAACATCGTGACATCCATCGACTGTCGCATCGATGCCTCTAGTGAACCCCACATAATGGCGAATAATGTATCGGCGGTTCGCGAAATCCTCACCCAGGTCGCCCAATCCACGAGGGTGGCCATGCGCTTTCTGAACACCGGGCGTGATCTGCACGACTCTTCATTGAGGGCTTTGTCTTTGCTCACCGACATACTCGACCTTTTATATCGTATCAAGGATGAAATAAGTTGGACAGAGGAAAAAGGGTTCGTCGCTGTCGGTCGCCTCAGGGCTCTCGCCGAGCTGCTCGGATGGTTTGGATTGAGCATGAAGTCTGTTGAGCTCTATTTCCAACCTGGGGGCGTTAGCGTTTTCTACTTCAGGAAGCACTTATTGGAAAAAACATATATTCCAAGGTTGGAACAATACAAGATTATGTTCCTTTTGTCGATGCAACCTGAGTCAGAGTAAGGTTTCCGAATCCGATGACACCGGGCTTAATTTTGCTGACCTATCACCAAGAGAGCGAATGTTATTAGACAATGAGATAAGGAAGGATCTGAAAAAACACCGGGATGTTGAAACAGGTAAGTCGCGTTGTCTATACCAACTAGGACAAAAGTTGGAATCTTGGATCTAATCATTGCTTCGTTGCAGCCAATGTCCAGATCGATCAACAATTCGAGGAAAATGCGCTGTCATTAACAAGCCGACTATCTTCGGAACACTACATTACACTCGCGGACCTATGTAACAAGCGACAACAAGGAAGTTGCTTATGGGTTTTTGAGAACCAACATTTCAAACAATGGCTGCTCGGTGGTTGCAGGACACTATATTGCATAGGACCTGGTAGGTTATTGGTCAAAGCTCCCATACCCTTATATTTCATGTATTAACGTGTCCATGGTCATTAGCCGGTGCTGGCAAAACGTTCCTATCGTAAGTGGAAATCATGTCACATATTTTTCTTGAAATTAACACTCTATTTAGATCGGCTATCATCGATCATCTTCAGCGAACATTCACCTCCCCAGATGTGGCAACTGTTTTTGTCTTCTGTCAAGAGGGATCTGGAAAGGAACATACACCCATTGACATTTTGAAGAACATACTCGCACAGCTTGTATATCGCAAGCGCAGTTTGTCTTACGCAACTTCCTCTCTGTACTACTCGGAGTCTCTGAGAGAAGACAGCGCATCCCCGAAGGCATATCAAAATGCGATCCGCGCCGAGGTAAACCGGTTTTCAAAGGTATTATTTGTTATTGATGGACTTGACATGTTCTCTGACAAAGAGCGCATATTGGGTCGATTGCAAAAGCTCCCTCAACAGGCTCAACTTCTTGTCACCTTGCGGGACATGACCGGTATCAAACCAGTTGAAAATTCTGGATATATGAGTGTCCTAGCGCCACCTGAAGATATTGGACTTTACACCTTGTCTCGCACACGACGTGACAGTGGCTTTAGAAAGCATATTGGAGTGAAGAACCCGGACCTGAAACTAGAAGATGAGATCATACACGCTGTGGTTGACAGTTCTCATGGAGTGTAAGTGTTGACAGTTAGCGTTTATACCCAGGGTGTTCTGAGACTTACAATTACTGCTACCCAGATTCCTTCTTGCCAAGCTCCACCTCGACTTGTTATCGCAGTACAAAGACCGCCCTGTTCTTGAAAGAGCCCTGGACTATCTACCAGAGAACTTAAGTGAGGCCTATGGAGAGGCAATGAAGCAGGTTGTGAGCCTGAACCCGGCTGCGACCCGCTACATCTATTGGGTTCTCTATGCACTCAGGCCATTAACTGTCGCGGAGCTCCGAAGTGCTGTGGGTGACAGTGACACCATTGAAGCTTCACATCCAATGAGTTTTGAGCATTCTCTTCTTGTCAAAACCGCTGGGCTTTTGGCAGTAGAGGCTACGTCGGGCACAGTCCGCTTTGTCCACGGGACCGCGAAGGAGTACCTTGATGGGTCAGCTGCTAGAGTTTTCTTTCCCAATGCTCAGAAAGATATGGCAGAGGTATGCCTCACAGCCCTCAGCCATGATGATGTGGTGGATGAGTGCTACAGGAATAACAGTAACCCTTCTCGTCCCCCGAGGAAAGGGTTCCTGGATTATGCCGCTACCTACTGGGGACATCATTCACGACAAGTCGACGATGATGAGATGACAATTCAAGTTTTGATAAAAACATTCCTCAACAAACTCCTTTGGAGAAGACCTCCTCTCAACTATTCGGCAGAAAAGGCCAAAGGCATACCCTCGGAAATGGGAATAGGAAAATATCCTACGGACTGGAGCGGGCTTCACGTCCTTGCCTTCTTCGGTATCCCTGGGAAATCACAACGACTCATTGAACAAGGGGCGAACATAAATGCACAGGACAACTCATTAGGGCTGAGTCCCCTACATTGTGCTGCCATTCAAGGGAACGATGAAATGATTGCTTTTTTGCTTGATAGCGGCGCAAAAGAGAATGCAGTCTCAGTCGATGGCAGGACAGCCTTACACCTCGCGACAGAAAGAGGCCACCGAAAGTGCATGAAGCTATTGTTCGCTCATCGTGCCGACTCAAAAATTACGGATCAAAGCGGTGCAACTTGTCTCCACGTGGCTGTGGGAACATCAATGGATGAGTCCACGGTTCCCTTGCTCGTGAAACACAAGGTAGATCTGAACTTTCAGAACACCCAGACTGGAAACACTGCGCTACACCTTGCTGTGGAATGGAAGCGACCACGGATCATTTTATTCCTCCTTGAGAAGGGCGCCAACATTGACATCGGTAATAATGAAGGACTGACCCCTCTTCAATTAGCTGCCAACACCGATAATTGTGAAGCAATTTCTTTGCTTTTGCAACGGTGCGCCCATGTTGAAGCCCGATCCCTTGCTGGACCCACAGCCCTGCAATATGCCGCGTGGAAAGGACACTGGACTGCCTTTGACCTGCTTATCATTGGAGGGGCCGATATCAATGTCTGGAACAAACAAGGGGAAACATTGCTCCATGAACAAGCTCGATACTCTAAGAGTGTTTCAATCGCTTCCAAGCTGCTGGAAGGGGGTGCAAACATCGAGGCTCGGACGTCTCAGGGATACACCCCTCTCCAATGCGCTGCCGTAGGATTAAACAAGACAATGTTCAATTTTCTTCTTAGCAAGGATGCCAAGATTGATGTCGAGACTGCCAAAGGCGAGACACTTCTTCACATCACTCCTCCGGCTAACCAAGACTGTCTTGATATTCTCGGGACTGTACTGAAGGAAGGAATGAGTGTAGCAGCAACATCCAGTCATGGCTGGACTCCTCTTCACCAAACTGTTTATACAGGGACCGGAGCTCCTGACCTTGCGTCTGATAGAACTGCCGAGTATATCCAGCTTCTCCTCAGCCACGGTGCTTCAGTTAACGATTGCTCGACTTCCAAATCAGCCGAGACTCCTCTCCATCTTGCAGTAATGGCACCTCTTCCGCGTCCATCTCTCATTGAACTCCTAATTCAACTGGGAGCAAACATAAACGCTACCACCAACGAAGGAAAGACGGCGCTTCATCTAGCAGCAGAACGAGGACGAGAGCCAATTTTCCGCATTTTGCTTGATGCTGGTGCGGATTTGACCGTTAAAATCCCAACCGAGAACACTAGTCTCATGAGCGGTGAATCAAAAGAAACTCCAATCACAGCTTTCGAGGTAGCAAAGAAAAACCCATTCGGATCTTTGTGGTTTGACGATGATGGGAAGTTACGTCCAAGACGACAGAGAAGTGGAAGAGACAGTGCAACGACCGTGTTTGAGGATATGGGATCTGAAATCTGCGAGTCAGACATAGCTAGGACTAGGTCTGAAATCGCTTGCTCCGACACAGGCGATTCCGTAACTTTAGTGGGCAGTGAGAACACTTATTCATTCTCATGAGCTTTCCGAAGTTTTCTTTTTTTTTTCTTTTCACCTTCCATGCTCTTTCATCTTGCTATACCCATCCCATGAGCTAGAGACTTTTGTTGAAATTTGGATAACGGTGTTAGCATATAGCGATTGTGGCGCTCTTTTGTTTATATGGACTCGATGTTTCTTATGTATTCAATAAAAATCTATAATACTCCCCTGATCATTGATATGCATTGACTAAAAGTTAGAGAAGCAATTTCATGGAATGTATCAAACTGTATACTTTATAACATTTAAGCCACTATAGTAATCTGTGGGTGGAACTCAACCCATCATTCGAACTACTAAATATGCCCACCCATCTCCGTAAGCGGAGCTTCTCACAACTTCCTCGATGGGAGCAGACATGGGTATCACAGCACCGTGTAATACGGGCTTTGCAAGGACAGGGGTTCTCCGACTAGGAAATAGATTTGGTAGCAATGTGTGCAAAACAGTCCCGATCGTTTGAGGCTGGCTGATGGAACCACTTCGCGAGTTCAATATTTGACTTGACTGCATACTCGATGCTGGCATTGAAGGAGGAAGTGGCGATTGTACCACTTTCAGGGAAGAAGACTCGGCATCTAGTGGGAGGGGTAGGAAAATTCGTATCGGAACGTTGCGGAAGGGTTGTGATAGCTGAGGAAGAAGGATATTTGATATGCGCTGAAAAGAAGGAAGATCGACTGTATTTCCTCGGGTTAGAATGGTCTTTATCATTGATACAGTAGATGAATTTCTACACATGATGTTGAACTCACCTTTTTGAACGGCATTCCAAAGTCCTGATGAGTCTTCTTTTGAGAGACTCATGATGCCCTTGGCTGTACCGTTTCGTAGGAAATCCGCCTCCTTCACACTGTTTATGAAGGCGTCGTTCATGACCATTCCATCAGCATCAAGCCGAACAAGGTCATTCGGCCAGTCACTAAAGTGCACTATGAGACGCCATGGGAGCGATGACCCACTATCAGGGGACTCGTTACCTCTGGCGGCGGTCTTCGAGGCGGGGTCTGCTCCTGCATAGAGGTCAAATAACAGCCCGACTGGGTAGTGCCATTTCAGAGGTACACCCTCAAACTCAAACCAACCATCATGAGACTGGGAGTTTGGCTCTATCAAAAAGTTTGAGAAGAAGGCTCGAAGCTTGGGTAGCAACGAGGGAAGATATGAGATGCGCGGATATGCGATCTAGCAACTGAGATCAGCATTTGTAAATACCAAGGGAAGGACAGACATACAAGATATGGATCGGTCTTATCAAAGGTTCGGCTTTCTGATGAAGCTAAAACAATCTCCAGTGGCAAGCGCCCGTCCCAGACGGCCTTTTGGATAGAGCCGAGAGACACTCGGTTCTCCATCGTGCTGAGAGATGAGTCGTTTCTTTCTTCCAATTCTTGTTTTTCTGCTGGTTTTTTATAATATGGTTAGCTCATATAACTGTTGAGAACCTAGAGAAGTACAGTTGATCTTCACACACCTTGCTTCGAAATACTAGACACGCGCTGAGATTCGCATGTCTTCAACTGATAAGACTCGCAGTTTGGAAATGCCCCGCTTTAGATGTGGTCATGATCCGGGAAACGGCGTATCCACAAAATTCCAGAGACAGCCAGGTACTCTTTGGAGATTTCCAGTCAAGCGTTTACGTTCCAAGGAGATACATGCGGTTTATGTTGACATAGCGTGACTCGAAGTGCCAGAGGTTGATGGCACGTGTTTCTGCCTCAGGCAAAATATTCGATATTTCTGCCTCAGGTTTCATATTTTAACTAGTTATGAGCTGGGACGGATATCCTCCAGACTCTTAATATCCAGCACATAATTTCCCACATCCTAAATTAGTTGACCGTCCAGTAATTTTGTGAACTTCTCGGATTACCTAGGATCTCTTCATTTGTGAGACCATACATAAAGTCCTTTTGGGGGTCAAAAAACCTTCACAATCACACCGTGTCAAACGCTATTGTGATGCGTTGTGCACATTTGTCACCAAGCTCTGGCACATGGAGACATTTTGCTTGATCAACATGGCCCCAAGCTTAATTTTGTCGAGAAATCCCCGCTAGAGCTCCCATATTGGAATCCGCCCATCCAAAATTCGTAAGCTGGACAGAAGAACAATTGAGTCGCCTCGCCGAGTGGTTTTCCATCCAACATGCCCTGCAGTTGGCTCAGACATTTGGAGCTTTGTGGCCTTGTTATCACGGTATCACCCAAATTCGAAGGCTTCTGACACGATGTTTCTGTAATGCAGCGACTGCATCAATAGTGCAGTAAGTGCTATCATCACGGAAGCATATATTAATCTGCCAAAAGAGCGGCCAAGCGAACAATACAAGCAGTAAATCCATGCTACACACGCCTCACATTGCTTCCACGCTAGGCTGATAGTGATCTACGATATTGAGCTCAAGCCAAGCCCAGAGTTTCATTGAAAAAAAGATTATCATAAGCCGAAAAGTCTGGAAACTGCCGCCACGGAAGCTGCACAGCTAAACACTATCCCGGGGTACCACTTCTGGGCAACATGTGACTTGCCATACAGGGATGGAGCAGCTCTAGGCTCGGCCTTGCAACCGGCAAGAGGAATGATGCTCTGTTGAAATTTGCGACTCCCACCTCGGAAGCTGCTGCCAACAAGGCAGGTAACATGAGGGAAGTGGAGTGTAGGATTGCTAATATAAGACAATGATTAAATTCCAAGGATCAGTTCCTGTACTATTTCAAGGGGCCTCAGGTATGTAACGGTCCAATTATTGAAGCATCATCCAAAATTAGCATGCACCATACGTCTTCATCCCCCGCACCGCGTACCCCTTGTCGATTCTACGGCGAAAACTGCCCTGTGGATCTTTTGGATCATGGAAGATGGGCACAAGCACACAGCAAAATTCGTCAAGTATCAAATATTTTACCAAAGTCATCAGGAAAGCCATTGAGCGATAATTTGTGAATTTAGGAGCATAGCTTCTTAAGAACGTACTTGGCATATCGCTGATAGGTCGGGACGGCTTAGTGCCAATAAGTCCTTTACTCTGAAATTTGGTATAACTCTATGGGTAAAGGCTGCTCGCATCTGAGTACCAAGGCCGGGCGGCTACGCTACGGCATCCTTCCAAGCCGGAACCGGGCCGAAACGACCTTCTATACTTATTATTAACACATCACTAGCAACCTCAGAATTATATAGAAACCGTGTGACTTTTTCGGATCAGCATATCAGATCATACATCCTTATTTGTTGGTAATTCGGGCCCGATGCCCTCTGCCATATAAACCATGTAAACCCCGGAGTTACGTTTAGCGCTATGCATTATGGCCAGTGATTATCCCGAGCCGGGGGCGTATACGGCCACTTCCGAGGGATACTGTGGGAATCTGGGATTACAGGGATAAGTCATTATGCAACTTGAAGGATTTTTATAAGCACAGTACATTGAAAATTCTACATCTAGCCTCGGTTGTCCCGAAATCGGGATCAATTAGACTTTTACCCCTCCGTTTGCCGGTGTACAGCGTTTGCCTTCCCGAGAACTCGGCAAAATTCCGACTCCACATGGTTAAGGATTCTCCCCTATAGGCAAATGTTTTCGCTCTTTAAAAGATTGGGCAAACAGAACGCGTATTAACTTCATAGGCAACTTTGTGCCAGTCTCTCTACACTGCTACGATTCGCAGTGTAGTTCCTCGCAAACTAGGGAAAAGAATATGTTGGTGATAGGCTCACCGGCGTCTCCATACAATAATGACACACACTCAAACGGCTAAACGCATAAACCTCGTCTCCAGTGTAGAAACAAAAGTACATGTCACAAGTGTACTACTGCCCGCAACAAAACCCTCGGGAATAGGATGGCTCGTCCTGGGTGATTTCATCGAGGAAGCAAGGTTCCGTGTTTGATATATGTACGTTATGGATACTGTGCAAAGCTTACTTGCCGGCTGAATGTTTCCAAGGTTCTTCCGGGGAAAACGCTACCCCGGCCAATGTTCCCACTCACGGACTTCTGCATCTGTAATCATCGCTGTATCATAGCCTCACGCTTGAACCCCATATTATATTGCCCCGGTCTATGGGGTTTAGGCGACGTGTGTTGTGGGGAGCTCAATTGGGGAAATTCCACACCCACAGTCCATTGGGACAGCACGTATTACTTAGGGCCCCGTTCCAGCACCTGTCAAGATTCTTTCTTTCCCCCATCTGCCTTCGAGCAAATTACTTCTAACCTTCCATTCTACCTCCCACGGCTCGAGCTGTCACCTCTTCGGCCATGGGCATTCTCACACTTGCTGAAGATCGGCCAACGCCCAAGTCCGTTTACAACTGGCGTGTATATGCACTCGCCGGCATTGCATCATGTGGTTCCAATATGATCGGTTATACCAGTGCCTTCATCGGTACAACTATCACACTCGCTTCCTTCATGAAGGAGTTTGGTCTCGACGAGATGTCTTCCCCCGAAAAAGCTCTGATTAGCGAGAACATCGTCTCGCTTTTCATCGCCGGTGCCTTTTTCGGCGCCCTGGGAACATACGCCCTCGGTCACTTCATTGGCCGCAAATGGAGTTTGGCTGTTGCCGCCACTGTGTTCTTTCTCGGATCTGGATTGCAACTCGGGGCCAACAGTGCCCGAGGCCTGGGCATTCTGTATGCTGGTCGTGTGCTGTCCGGCTTGGGTACCGGTATAGCTTCAAATATCATCCCTATCTATCTTTCCGAACTGGCACCGCCTGCCATCCGAGGACGGCTCGTTGGTCTGTATGAGCTTGGCTGGCAGATAGGTGGAATGTTAGGTTTTTGGATTAATGTGCGTCTTGTTGCCTCTCTCCAGTCTTTGTTTCCCCCTATGCCATCTTTGCATTCAAGGCTAACCTAGCTATGGTAGTATGGTGTCGAGCAACACATGCCCCAAAGTCATGAGCAATGGATCATCCCATTCGCCATCCAGCTCGTCCCGTCCGGTCTGCTTTTCATCGGTGCCTTGTGGATCAAGGAATCTCCTCGTTGGCTATTCCTTAAGAACCGTCGCCGCGAAGCGATGGAGAATCTTTGCTGGATTCGCCAATTGGAAGCGGACAACATGTATATCACCGAAGAGGTGGCTGCTATCGACCAGGCTCTTGAGAATCAGAAAACTTCCATTGGTATTGGTTTCTGGAAGCCCTTCCAGGCTCTCGCCACCAACAAGCATGTTATGTACCGTCTGATGCTGGGTTGCATGCTCTTCTTCTGGCAGAACGGCTCCGGTATCAATGCCATCAACTACTACTCGCCTACCATTTTCAAATCGGTAAGATTGTGCTTCATCTGTTGCATTTCTAATGATCAATTAATTATACTAACTTGCGTGTCCTAGATTGGTATCGACCCCAACACCGTCAACCTGATGACCGGTATCTTCGGTGTCATTAAGGCCGTTATGACCTTCGTGTGGCTGTTGTTCCTGGTCGATCAGTTCGGAAGACGCAATCTGCTCCTTGTTGGTGCCGTGACTGGTTCCATCTGTATGTGGGTCATCGGTGCATATATCTGTGTTGTCAAGCCCGAAGATAACCCCAGCACATCTCTGGACGGTGGAGGCATTGCGGCCGTATTTTTCTTCTATCTATGGACTGCAGTCTACACCCCTACCTGGAATGGTACCCCTTGGGTTATTAATTCCGTAAGTCATTTTCTTATTACCATCTCTTAATTAGAACTTTCTTACTAACAAGGTATCAGGAATTCTTCGATCCCAATTTCCGTTCCCTAGCTCAGGCCGCCACGACCGCGAGCAACTGGCTCTTTAACTTCCTCATCTCGCGCTTCACCGAACAAATGTTCGACAAGATGCACTACGGCGTGTACTTCTTCTTCGCTGCACTGTCATTCTTGGCATTCTTTTTCGCCTTTTTCCTCATTCCTGAGACCAGCGGTATCCCTCTTGAAAAGGTTGACCGCCTGTTTGATTGCAAGCCCATCTGGAGAGCAAACAAGATGCTCAAGGCCGCCCTTGCGGAAGAGGAGGAGCAGTTCCGCTTCGAGGTTAAAGAGACATCGTACCACGAGGAGAACACTGGTTCAGTTGCACCTGCACCTTACGAAGAGACACAAAAATGAGCGATACAGTTAAAAATGGGGGGTATATAGGGTTGCTTATTGACCTTGTACAGACAACTACGATATATAGACAGCTACATAGATTGACATGCATTTTCATGGACTTATTTTATTACTTATTTTATTTTTCAATTTGTACAAAGAAATACCGCATGCTGATTCATTCTCGAGTATATAGTTAACGATGACTAAGTTATTCGTCCCTCTTCGGGTGATCGCAGCCCGGGTCAGCAAAACGACCGCAGCCCCCAGCCCCCCGGGCGATTTTCCTCCGTCAGCTTCAATACCTCCAAAGCTCCAGATATTACTACTCTAGTTTCTATGAACACATACTATTATCCTTATAAAAACAAAAATCGGATCAATTAACCGTGGAGCGTAGAAATCTGCGTACATCGGGCGGTCCGCAACACCTAGCTACTTGGTTGAACGAGATTATATTATTCTCACACGCTGTAGGGAGGGTATTAACAACACGAATCAAAAAGCAATCTCCATGGTGATATTTTGAGCCACCTCGCCATTCTTACAACATGGCATCATCTCATAACCCCACATCTTCGCCTCGCAGATGTCGGACCGCCTCCTTTCCTACCCGTGCGATTCTCCATCCTTGATAAAAGTTTCCAACTTCTCAATGGCAATCGAACCATGCGCCGCTGTGGTGTATTGGCAGAGAAAATTTGGGTCCAGCATACGCGACATACGCAGATCATTGGGGATGCCCATTACTATGACATGGTGTGGATCGGTGATCCCTGGTTCACTCAGCGAAAGATCTGATGGATAATATGCATTGGAGTGAGTTGGGAAACAAAGCAAGATTTATTCGCATGTTTACATGTGATATCACCTGGCATAAATAATCCGATCGCCCTGTCATGAAATATATTGCCCTTCATTTGATTCCGTGGATGTGGCTGGTGGCTACGTCATGCCACGAGATGTACAGAGTATAGATCAGCATATTGAAGACGAATGAGATTTATCGGCTACAATGGGATTCATGGTTCTCAGGCATTCCAGTGCATTCTCCTCGTGGTACGATGTCTCTTTGTTGCCAAGTCACGCTGACGTGAGGGTATAATGATCTATACATTCTTCTTTATGAACCGTCTTACTTCACCAAGCTGTACCCAGCATAAGGCCAACTCTTGCATAACCAAGTTAATCGCCGCAGGGATTGTCAGCTGGTAAGTCTGATCAAGTTTTTTTTTTTTGTTAGGATCAATGGAATCGAAACAAAGTCAACCTTGGAAGTCTCCTTTCCCCGCGTCACATGGCTGAAATATTTTGTGTTCGCAATGGGAGAAAGTCAAGTTGATTGAAATCTGGAGTCTCAAATATCTGTACCAAAAACATAACCAATCATTTTTACATACCTTGGTGTGGTCTTGACTGCTTCGTTGGGATAGGGTCCAGATCACAATCTCCATCTCTGGGGTGAACTTGATTAAGTTGCAGATGTGAGATCATTTCTATTGGTCAGACAACTGCCAGTCTTACCACGGCCCAATGAGAGACATGAGCTGTCTCAAACGCAATGCCGTTCTAAATTTAGCTAGATTTAGGAAATCAGATCCTTACGGCTAAGAGGGAAATGATCTGCCGATAATCTGGAAGCTCGCGGAAGGACCAAACCAACGCTATATAGTATAAAATTCAAAACTGAAAACTTTCATGGAATGTGCCAACCGTAACCAGGTACAGAGATATTCCAGGGCTATTTAGGTAGATGACCTCTGGGGTCGGCTGTTTGCGGAAATAGTTTGGAACCACGTGCTGACCGGTGGCGGAAGTGTGATTGCATCTGTATTCTCCTTGTGCCTAGAGTGAGAATAAGCCGAAATAAAGATTTTCATGAATCGACATGATCGTCTAGAGTGGGAGGTTGGGGCAGTGTTGAGGGGCTGGGATAAAACCAAGTTAAGGGAACACCGTTGATCACGATTCCAATCGTACAGCATATGGAGTACATCATCCACATAATAAAGGCCAAGTCGAACCCGCTTTTTTCGTCAATGGTTGCCTGAGAGCGGTGTTTCACCGCGCGACCCTGGACGATCTCCTGGATCCACCGAGCGCTTACGTCGTGCTGTGGAGTGGGCATGATATCAGGAAATCAAAGGGAAAAAAAGAAACAAACTCCCATCTTCTCTTTCGACACTTAGATTTGTCGCCATGCAATTGAATAGCTCCCGCTTCGGAGCTTTCATTCTTATCCTCCTTCAGAGTCTTCATCTCGTACAAGCTGAGAATCTCCTCCAAGCCACCGGGCTGACACAATGTTCCGACAGTGCCGAAGTGACTGTGAATAATTTCAATGCGGTTTTCACACCAGGCAATAAGTCCATCAGTATCATTTTTGATGGCTATTCTGAAGTGGCCGGAGAGGTGCTCATTGACGTCGACCTCTTGGTATACGGATACAAAGCACTCACCAAGTCGTTCGATCCGTGCAGTCTTGATTTGACCGTATTTTGTCCTATGAAAGCCATCGAACTCCAAATTCCCACAATCACGGAAACATTAGGCGACAACCTTCTCTCGGAAATCCCATGTTCGTTACCTCCTTCTTTTCAGGGTACCTGAACCAGAAAAAAAAATTGTGTTCTTACTAACAGTTACGTCATAGCGATCTCTTACGGCGTCCCCGACATCGACGCAGTCATTCGCCTGAAGCTCAAATACAAAGATGGAGGTAAACAGATTACCTGCTTGGAGACCCGTATCCGCAATGGAAAATCAGTCTACCAGGCTGGGGTGTCGTGGACACTCGCCATCATAACCGGTCTTGGTCTCATCACCTCCACGGTCATATCGCTTCTCGGCCATTCAAACACGGCAACCCATCTTGCTTTCCGATCGCTTGCCTTCCTCGGATTCATCCAAACACAGGCAATGGCCGGGATGACTTCGGTGAAATTGCCGCCTTTTGTGCAATCGTGGACCCAGAACATGCAATGGAGCTTGGGAATTGTGCGGTCGGATGCTCTGCAAACAGTGGCGACCTGGTTCCAACGCGCCACCGGGGGTACACCCTCGAACGTGCTGAAATCCTCCGGTTCTGTATCTATTGTCCTGCAGAAACGTTCCTCCGAGATCGTCCGCAGAGCCACAGATAAAGGAAGTCAAATTATCCTTCGCGGTATTGAACGAGTTGGAGTTCGTGAATCCATCGAATTGACCAACATCTTTATGACCGGATATCTGTTCTACTACTTTATCGCCGCAGTCATCGTCGCTTGTGTGGGTCTGGTCCTGCTGGTCCGAATCGTTCTAGCCAAGAAACAGACATCGCTTCCAAAATTGGATCACGCCCTCGGCGTCGCCGCAGATTGGAAAACTATTCTCCGCAATACATTCTTCCGGCTGGCGTGCATCGGATACCCACAGATGTGTGTTCTGTGCCTTTGGGAACTGACTCGTCGGGACTCAGCCGCCGAAGTCGTCCTGGCCATCACCATGTGGTTAGTGACGACCGCCGTCTTGGCCTTTGCCGCATTCAAGGTGTTCCAACGCGCGATGCGATCGAAACAGCAGCACAACACACCTGCGTACACGCTCTATTCCGACCCTGCCACTCTGAACCAGTGGGGTTTCCTGTATATCTACTACCGTGCTCCGGTCTACTACTTCCTTGTCCCAACTCTGGTCTACACCATTGTTAAAGGAATGGTTATCGCTTTCGCTCAGCCTTCACCGGTCGCACAGTCGATCGTTCTTCTTATTGTGGAACTTTCCATGATGCTCGCAACCGCCATCATCAAGCCGTTCATGTGCAAGGGGGCAAATATCATTGCAATCACCGCGACTGTACTCAATTCCCTCAATACGATCTTCCTGCTTGTCTTCTCAGACGTTTTTGACCAACCCGACCTCATGACCGGCATCCTGGGCGTGATCTTCTTCATCTTGAATGCGATATTCACTCTTGTGCTCCTGATCTACCTTCTAGTTGGTATGGTGTATGCCATTTTCCTCAAGAAGCCCGACACCAAATACAAACCTCTTGGCGACGACCGTGACTCTTTCCGCTGGTCTCGCACCGGAACGACGACCGAGTTGTCATCCCTTGAGAAGATCGCGAGGGGCGAGGAGGATGCAGAAGCCCATCCACAACCTGCGCGCGTACTCACTGCTCCGCCCAGCGATGAAGATGTGTCAATGGCAGCCAGAAGACCATATAATGATATTGTGGACCCTTCGCTGCCGCTCTTCCCCACCAGTTATGACCATATGCGACGATAGTCGATCCAATTCTTTTTTTTTTCTTTTCTTTTTTCTCCCTCCTTTTGTGTTCGCATTTTCAAAGGTTTTAAAGCGAGATCTAACTACTGCGTTCGGTGCATGGGTGCTTCGGGTGGCTATTGTATTGTACATATTCAAAATTTTGAAGTTTGGCATCGGGCCGAATACTATTGTTCTTAAAAGTTCCTTACTGTAGTTGTTTTGAGACATGAATACCCTTACCACTTAAATATTTCATTATCTGATGTTACCACTGCATTTGGAAGACATGGGAGTCAGGTCAGGCGTACTCCGTAGAAAGTATCGCGCCTCTCGTGTACTATCCACATCGTGTGGCTGAGTTGTCGAGCTAGACCACTTTCTGTTTTCCTCCTATTCTTGGGTCTTCTTCCTCTTTCATCGCCAAATTAAGCCATCATGTTTCCGTTTCTACTTTTACTTGGCTTTGTCAACCAATCACTCGCCCAGTCCAATTCGACAACCCTGGAAGGCTGGCAATTTGATGACAATAGCCGCTCAAGTTGGGACATTTTCTGGACTTGTGTTTCAACAATTCTTGCCTGCACATGGACAGCCCTGCATATTTCTGTTCCAAAACGTGATGAGACACAGACAGTATATTTTTGGGTAAAGGCAGCGGCGTGGATAGGCGCGATACTTGCTCCAGAGTTAATGGCAGGAATTGCAGCCGAAGAATTATGGCAGGCAAGATCAACAGCAGCACGCTGCAATACTGCTTTCCGCACAGTAAACAGCGACCGAGGCGATCCAGATCCCTCACTGCCAGAGGCTTCAAAAACACGAAAGGCAGAAATGTCTGACTGTCGCTGGGGCACTATGCAGGGGTTTTGCCTCAGTATGCATGGTGTGCTTCTGCAGACCAAGGATGACTGGACATATCCAGTACATTGTGGCAATATTGTTGCCCTGATCAAAACACGCGTTATCAAGTCATCTCATTTGAGCTCTAGAGACATCCAAGATCGCGCCAAAGCTGACTCCTTTGCGAAAGGATTTACTCTGCTCCAAGCCTTCTGGGTAACTTGCAATGTCATTGCCAGAAGAGCATCAGGCTTGCCAAGTACAGCTCTCGAAATTGCTACAGTGGCTTATGTCGCTTGTGCCTTCGCTACATACATAACTTGGTGGAATAAACCAAAAGATATGGTAACGCCAATCACGATTTATCTGCCATACGATCGCAATTCCGAGAGTATGTCGCCTCAAGTTAGAGATATCCTAGACGGAGAAGTTGAGAACTGGGTCCACTCGGATGCTTTTGCTAGAGACGTTGGCTCTCCGGTATGGCAAATCATTGTCGCAGGTCTCTATATCCCACTCATTGTGTTATTATTGATTTTCACACCTTGGTTATGGAAGGGGTACTATCAAGAGTTCAAAGAAAATTGGGCAGTGATAATGAAAAATTGGCAGGTTCGAAAACCACCAGCCAGCCATTCTGATGACAGCGATGGTGACCACCAAGATGAGGAAAATCCGCAGGAGACTAGAAAAGCATGTCAAACCAGCAAAGGTGGCTATATAAACGAAGAAGCCTGCCAGGGGCCAGAATTAGAGCCAGTTATCATCAATGGTGACCATCAAGATGAAGAAATCCCCCAGGATATTACAGCAGCATCAGGGTCCCAACAGCCAAGAAACGAGCCAAAGGTTGACGGAAGATTGACCGTAACAGAAACTTCGCAAGGAAAAGAACCATTTATGGGGTCCTCTGAAGCCAGCAAAAACGACCACCAAGACGTGGAAACCCATCAGGAAACTGAGCCAGCATCCGAGTCCCAACATGTGGGATACTCGCCAGAAGACGACGAAAGAATGACGATCATGGAATGGACCAACATCGCTCATTTCTACATGTTTGCTGCGTTGGTCTTCTGTGGAATACATGTTGCTGCGTATGTATTATCATATCCTTTGATATTCTTCTCAATGCTGGATAAAGCTGATAATCGAAACATGTAGGTGGAACTCCACGTTCCCAACAAAGGAGGAGCAGATAGTATGGCGAGTGCTCTCGCTATGTTCACTCTTGATCACCTGCCCTCTGTACTTCAAATTCCTTTGGTTATTCTATCGGTTCCGGCGGACATTAGGTGACAAGGAGAAGCGTGTATCAAGTATTAGCTGGTCAAAAGCACCTGACCTTCTTTTCGTACTGATATGGTTTTGCTGTTATGCAACTGCACGCTGGGGAATTATCATTCTTATGTTTATATCCCTCCGAGCGTTGCCTGCTAGTTCTTATGTCACAGTGAATTGGTTAGCATCGATTCCTCACATTTAGTTTACACTGCATATGTTCAAAATGTGTGACGTGATACATGTTTGTTTGGTTGAGCAATGTGAGGATTAGATTGTCACCTTGATTTCCCTTTACCCTAGCCTCTAAAACAAAAGCAAGGAAAAGAACGAACCAGTATCAGAATCATTTTCACGGTCCTACCGTTTGCATGATGAGTCTAAATGTGCTCGAGGGATGGGGCTGTGCTGTTATCCCTTGATTCATGCAACCAACCTGCCAGCCTAATATCAAAATGTGTTCGCCAAGGCTGAGTAGATTACGATCCTCGTTTATACACCCGATGTCATCCCAAGACAGCCTAAGGCCTAGAATAGACTCGACGAAGACGGATGCAAGTACCGTCCGGTTCCGATAAGGGTCTGTTCATTGCAGCTAGCTCGGATGGGACTGGGGGCTGCAGTTCGGTAAGGTGCTTAGCGGCAAAGGTACAGCCGTTGGAGAAAACATGCTGGCTGCATAGGCCACGTTCACACGCATGCACAAAACGTTACTTTTCGACCCAATTTCTCTCATTTGTTTCGGACTCAACTTGCTGTTTCAATCTTGTGACATAGCTATGTTAGGAGCATGTGTTGCGATGGTAACAAGCTACAGCTGCAGCTGCAGCTACACTTTCGGCACCTATACTCCGTGAGCCCACCGTAGATGAAGTTGAACTATTGAGTTGCGTTTCAGACAGAGGTGTCCCTTCGGTGATTGGCAAGGTGCGCCATATCTCCCAAAAAGGAATCTGTATTGGATGATCATTTCCTCTTCTGTCACGCCCTTGTCGATTTCCCCCTTGAAGAATTCGTTTTTGGACAAGCTACTATTTTAATTTTATGATAGGTAACATCAAGAAGACAATAACCATCCTATTGAGCCTGTGTAAGCTTCAGGGGCTACGTTTCAGGATAAAGTAAGAATAGGTTTTTGACATCAAGTTCTCCGCAGCTGAGATCGTCGCAGCGTTGGAAGCATATCACGAAAACGCCATCGCATGCACCAGGTCAGCTCACCTGAGATGAATGATCGGCCTTAGGGGCTCGGATTTAGCAGGCCAAGTGATCGACACCATAGCGTATGGGGATAAGGTTGCTGAAATTCCAGACATGCCCTTGCATATCCTAACAGGAGACCTCGAACATTTCTTAAGGGAATGAGCAAATTCACGCGGGAAAAGGAATCTTGTTATCTTGAAACACTGGTTTCCATATGGCGATTGTGGCTTAGGCTCAGCCAATTTAAAAAAAAGGCCAATAATGCGCGTATATATCTGCAGATTGTACAAGGTACGGTCCACTACCCTCGGTCCGCAAAGTCTAGCGGCACTCCGTAGTTCTTACCGAAGAGGCTTAGTTACAGCATAGAGATCAGCGCTAGCACAGTAGCCTTTAGCGAGATGTCTAGTCTTGTTGCCATGGCTCGTAAACAAAAAATAAGGATTGGGCCCTTTGATCAGCGGATCGGTCCAGATCTTGATGGCACCCCAAGGCAAAATGCTATTGCTGATGCTTTCCTTCTTGAGATGTTCCAGCCTTTTGACTCGTCATAATTTGCTTTAACAAGGCAATTCATTTACCCCCCTTTTCTTAGACACGTTCTAATTTGGGGGGGGGGGGGGGGAGAGGTGAAAATAAGTTGCTAGCATTCTGGAGATCTTCGGCTTTCGAGTACAGATCCAAGCATTCCTGTATTTGAAATTATGGCTATGCAAAATAGGTCTTAGGGCTTAAGACTAGTATGGACCTGCTACTATCAGTATCTTGTGCCAAGAATGCCGTGCCCTAATCCCGACTCGTCATTGAGAGATCTACAGGGTTGGCATCGAGAAAGGGAAATGAAGGAAACATGCAGCAGGCGCGCGTGGCCCGGGGAATGCAGCATCGTAAGCCTTGTTTTATTTTATTATATCTTTTTGGCCTCTTACAACTCAGCCCCTGGGTCAAAATGACCATGTGATGGACCACGTTGACCCCCGACATTGTTTCACGCTGGAAGTTTGCGTCGTAGTAATCCCACGCGAGAATACCAGCCCTTGCGAAGCGCTTTTACCGCCAAGGATAGCTAGGGGGTTCGTCTCAACGAGTTCTAGACTATCGAAAAATACGTTTCAAGATCATGAAACTTGTCCCTTGTTTGACAACTCCGTCGAAGATCCGTTTACCGAAACTGGATTCGATTTGTATTGCACCCCCTCGCTTCATTCCACGGCACATATGTCGAGGGTCTGGATACAGACCTGAAACATGTGGTTGGCCATGTGCTGAAGAAGAATGTTGTATTTACGCTCAGGATGATCGTAAAAGCGGGTCCTAATCCACGCACCCTATGCGGCTGGTACCTGCCTCCTAGCCCCGGTTACCTGCAGTTTAGCCAATAACGACCGGCTTGTCGCTTGTTCTGCATAGAGCAGCCGAACGGGTATGTGCTTTTGGCTATGGACCCTCGGACTTTCCTACCGAAGCAGTCCTAAAGCCGACATGGTTCATGCAGACTTAGTCTTGGCAAGCGTTGAGCTCGAGGGTCGAGATGCCATCACAAGTGGAGTCAATGAAGTCGACGACGATCTTTTTCTCGTTTCATACGTCGCTTAGCTATTAATGTCCATGTGGGCTATGATGCGAAGCTCAAGCTCGCGTGTCCGGCCGCAAAGGCATGTCGTCCTCATGCATGTCGCCAGACCTGCAGTGTATATATAGGAGCTCCCCTCAGTTGTATCATGGGCATTGTCAACTCAGCAACTCATCATCTTTACAGCTCATTTATAAACATACCGATCAAAGTCAAGCACATACCTCACTCTTGAATACCATACAACCACAATTTTCCTTTCTACTGGGCCTCTTACCTGTACTTGGCTCTTTATCTCTCTGAACCGCCTGTGAGAACTTCACATCTATCACCAACCACCATCCACACACACACACACACACACACACACACACACACACAATGTCTATTCCGGAGCCAAGAACCACAACGTGAGTGTACCTATACCCAGATTCATCTTTTATCAATCAACTCACCAGCTTCTCTCTCAGTGTTTCAAATGGCAACAGTACCAACGCCGTAAGCCAAGGCAACGTCAGCCAAGTGCCGGGAAGCAACCGCAGCAGTGTGGACCGATTTGCACGAGCACCAGCCTCTGAGGGCCCTTACTTTGCCGGTGCGCGGATGCCAGAGAGATCGGCACATCTCACGGGGCTATCAAGTCAACTCAATGCCATGGAGGAGATTCTGAAGACTGGAAGTTAGGATATGAAAGCAAATGAAAAAAAAAATAATCATGCAACACCAATTTCTATGTATAGTGAATCTACCAAATGGAACTGAATGAGAGTCCAATGAACGTGGATATCTCCCAAACCTCCCGCTCGAGAGTATATATATTTCGTGAAACCCCTTGCTCATAGTAGCTCGAAGATGTAAGACGCTACTTCCTCGTACTTGGTACTCGGGAACTCATGTCCTGCTTCGTAGAACTCGAACACAACATTGCCACCCAGGGCAGCTGTGGCATCTGGAACAAGCTCACTTTTGACAATGATTGAATCATCGTTACCACACAGAATGTGAACTTTCTTATCTGCCAGCCTCTTATTTCCGTCGCTTGAGGCGCCGTTCTGTGCAGTTATATACTCGCCAAGACGTGTCCATCTGTTCCATTGGCGCTCTCGTAAGATTGGGCCATAGCGCATGCTAGACATGAACGCGTGGACAAACCCTGTATGATTATTTACCTGCCACGCCACGGTACCCGGGATGTTGATGTGGGGGTAGGTTCGGGACAGAACTTGGGTTGCTGCAGCGCTTTGTGAAGGCAATTCCTCGGTGAGTGCATCCGCGGCATTGAGCTTCTTGTTCTTGGGCTTGGGCGTGGTCAAGGGGCCGGCTCTCAGTCGACGGCTAACCAAGGATGTTAAAATATTCTCGGGCATAAGACCCTTTGAGTAAAGGAGTCGACTCTGGAAACTGATTTGTGAATCGCGGAGCAAACCCGAAGGGGCTAGGAGCACCAATGACGACAGAAGATGAGGAAAGTAGGATGCAAAGGCAGCGGCAATGCCACCTCCCAGAGAGTATCCGGTAAGGCAGAATTTACCGGACTCTGCACCTGTCCAAGAGATAGGCGATGATGTCAATGCGAGGAAGATCTGTGTCGAGAAGAGCCGCTCATCTTGTGGAAGATCAGCAGGGCAGTCGGAATATCCTCTTCCGAACCTATTTTCTTCGGGTTAGCAATAGTTCAAATTGTTGAAGATTGTGTAAAGCCTACAAGTCAAATAGCATCACACGGCACCCGCGGTCCACCAGCGCATGGGCCACCCCGCCGAGTGCAATACAGGGCGTGGTGATACCGTGAACGAACAACACCTTGGGCCCATCTTCCGGACCCCATTCATACACTCGGATCGACCCGTACGGGCTATCAACATCACGAGCACCGGGTAGGACATCAGCTGGGAGAGGCAGCTGGCGATTCTCCGACTCGGTTATGCCCGGCAAGACTGTCGATCGAGGCGAGACGAGAATAGTCTGGAGCGGGTCTTTTCGAGGGAAAACCGATCGAGCCAGTAGACCAAGTGTGAATGAAGCTCCAGTCACTGCTAGCAAGGGGAGTTGGGTCTGGTTGTTCGAGAAAGCATCGGAGAAGAAATCCACAGTTTGGTTGTAAAGCGCCATGGTTGCGATTGCGGGAAGTCACCCCTGGAACAAGTTCGTCAAAGATCGGAGGGGTGTTGCGATGTGATACGAGTTACCCAGTCTGATTCCAGACAATCTAGGGAGAGTAGCGGAAGTCAGGAACTTGGAAGAGACTGTTTTGTTGGGAGGAAGTGCTCTAGGGCCGATCCCGAGGCTGACGGCGCGCTGCCGTCCACGTTCCACCGGGACAATCTTGGTTGACGCCATGTGCCTGATAAGATTAGATAAGATAAGACCGGAATTTCTCTCACATCCCTGTAGTCACATCCCTGGGGCCGGACCTGTTGACATATGTTGTACTGATTATACACAGCAATAAACCCTATATGCTTAGTCGTGCTTTTATTCTGCATGTGAAATTCTCAACCGTGGAATAGCATCATGTTCGGGCAAGTGAGGGTGGTGTAGCGAAACGATGTGAAAATTTCTAGCCATGCATATAACCTTGTGCTAAATAACCCAAAAGAGATAATCATCCCAAAGACAAAACTATTTATTTACTGGAGCAGGAGACTGGGATCGACATCCCTTCGTCTCTTCAAAACACTGAGCGCACTATCAAAGCCCTTCAGATATACTCCCAACTGCCGTGACCTGTCCTTCAATATCTTCACAGTAGATTGATGACCACCATCTGCCGCTACGGAAACTGCAAGGCGATCACCTCGATCAAGAAGCAATTGCACAACATTCTCATGGTCGTAAGCTGTAGCTGCGTGAAGCGGGGCTCCAAGCGATCCCAAGCATTCGTGAACACTGACTCCATGGGCAATAAGTCTCTCGCAAATAGGCTAAAATCCACGTACAGCGGCTGCGTGAAGGGTAGTGCCGTGTCTGCCACCCTTATGCTTGACGTCAGCTCCATTCTCAATCAACAAATTCACGGCTATGGTATGATTGGCCGCGCAGGCTGCCTGAAGAGCCGAACCGTAGTATCCGCCAGCCATATTGACGTCGGCATGTAGATTGAGAAGCATCCGAAGTAATGGTAATCTGCCTCGTCGGGCTGCTGCTTGAAGAGGGAATCCGTAATATTCGGTGGGCTGGTTCCTGTTGATGGTAGCTCCTTGGATCAACAATAGACGGGCCTTAGGCACATCACCCAGGCATGACTACAGAGAACTCATCTACAAAGCGCGAAGTTCCATATTATAGATATTGACTTTTGTATTCAATCTTCTTCGGGTACACATTATAAGACATGGGCTAAAATAAAAGAATTTACAATTTGGGATCTAGTCAATCCGACAAAGGAGGGAAAGGCCGGATAAAACTAAAAAGTAAGAAGTTAGCAACCCGATCAAATGGAACCGGAAGGACGGGAACACATACTGAGCAGGACACTCATACCCAGCAGGGTTATTCTGAAGATAGAGCTGGTGGTATTGCTCCGCATCCCACCACTGGCCTGCCGGCAGGACCTTGGTAGAAAGCGGCGTTTTATACCACTCCTTGCTGACTTTTTCTGTAATCTCCTCCGCGATCTTCTGCTGCTCTTCTCCGTGTGTAAAGATCGCACTGCGGTATTGTGTGCCAACATCCGGACCCTGTTGGTTTTCTGTTGTGGGGTCGTGCATGCGGTAGAAGAATTCAAGGAGCTGGCGGTAGGTCACAATTGAGGGATCAAAGGTTATCTGGAGGGCTTCGGCGTCTATGGAAGCAAAAAAAAAAAAAAATAAGCATTTGAAGATGCGATCGCGATAAGGAATTTCGCGCTATTTTTTTTTGTCTCAGAGTGGATAGCACTTACGGCCAGTTGAACCAGAGCAGACAGCTCGGTATGATGGTGAAGAAGTTGCGCCACCGGAGTAGCCCACCTTGGCGTCAAGAAGGCCTTTGCCATTGCCGAAATTCTTGCGGTACATGTGCTCAACGCCCCAGAAGCAGCCAGCTGCTACGGTCGCGGTCTGTGTGTTTGACATTCTGTGGGATTGTGTTTGTGGGCTCAAAGAAAAAGCTGAGCTGGAGAAGGGACGAAATAAGCGTGAGAAAATGGTCGAAGCAACCGGAGCGGCGAAAGTCATCTGAAATTCTGGTGATGGTGGAGACGTACTGGATAAGTGGGGATGCTTGCGGTTTCGGCAGTGAAAAGAGGTTAGGATGCCGTAATTATGGTAAGGGAGTAGTTTGAGGATATATGTAAGAGCAATAGAATAGAAAACAAAGAGAAAGAGAGAGAAATAGAAGAAATAGAAGCTCGAAAATTGGAGCTCTGCGATCGCGTCATTTCAGAACTTACAAAGCAGCGGGGAAGTTTCGACAGGGATTGGCTGAAGATCAGGGCCCGGCAACCCCATCCCGAAATTGATATTGTACAAATGCCTAAGCTAAAATCCAACAATGCGAAACAAAATTTCATAAGAATTCTGTGTACAAAAAATTAAAGAAATGTGGTATCTGCTACGCCAAACGCCAATTCCAAACAATTAGAGGAAAATAAAAGTTCAGAGTCCACTACCACTGTGAGTTGTGGTCAACAGGGGGCGCGGCCATTGCACTGAGACGGATGGCATCTCTGCTGGATAGGCTAATATTTCGAGGTCGCCCATCTCCACCCAATGTTGTGCGGCGTCCCGTGTGCTTCATGACTGGGAGGGTATGAGGACTCAACACCCGATGCTTAGCATCGTGTTCTCTTTCGCTCTTGACCATGCGCCGCGCTTGTGATGCGGTGAACATGTGGTTGTCTGCTGGCGAGGTGGCGTGGGTATTGGAAGTTGGGCTGCGACGACGGTGAACTCGCAGGGCATTGGAGGATGGAGTACTAAACTGTCCACTAGCAACCCGCCCACTAGACATCCGTCGCATGGCCGAATTGATCTTGATTGCTTCTTCCTTGTCAGACTTCCAGTTGTCCCTGTTTTCAGATACAGGACTGCTCGAGAAGTTCCCGCTGGGACTACGGACTGCAATCCGCGATGGGCGTTCTGCCAAGGTGCGGTTCATAAAGCTGCTCCCTTCAATATCACGGAGGGGGGAGCTCTCTCTCCTTGAAAGAGGAAGACTGGATGATGGTGGTGGTGCCAGTGGTGAGCTACCATTTCTCTTGGTCAAAAACCCTGCCTTGAAGCGACTGTTGTTCTTTTGAACGTTCAAGGTAGGCTCAGCGGGTTCGGCAGGCTCGTCTGGGGTGGGAGAGATAGAGCCCGACGGGCTTATAACTCTCGGGACATTTCGTGGAATGGGAGATCCGGATCGAGGTGGCAACCATGACTCTTCGAGGCTGGCTTCATCGGCAGAGTCGGCCTTCTTGGGGGTCTTTTGGAACTCGGTCAAAGTGCCATCTTGCTCATCGTCCTTCCATCTGACAGATCGTTTGGGAACCTTTACTTGGGCTTTCTTTGGCGTGAAGCTGACACTCTTCCGACCGACAGTGCCTTTGCGGCGACGTGGAGAGCCTTTAGTTGGCGAAACAGGAGCAACAGGTGTGAGTGTGACAGGAGGGTTGGCAGTCGATACTGGCGGCAAGCTCACCAAGCTAAACCGCTTCTTTGTTTTCGTGGGGCTTACAGGCCTGGCAGAGCTGACGTGCGGGACAGAAGGCATGGTGCCATCTGGTTTGACGAGGTTAATTGCTGCGTCTGAACAATCCTCTAACATCTTTGTGAGGATGGACCGCCCCTTTTGAATAGCCTCGTTTGCGTTTAGCTGCATGATATCCTCGATGGAGTTTATCATCTCAAACTGTGCTTGCAACAGAAGCTGCACAGCAGCAGCTTCTCCGGCCTTGTCCTGTTCTAACACAGCTGTCAACGATTCGCGCTCTGCATTAGACCGAAGAAGATCTGCTTCTCGATTCAAATTGGCGTAGTCGCTGTTATCGGTAATATCAAATTCTTGAAGTTGCTTTGCCGCGTTCTCGACCGCCGAATTGACCGCTCGGTCCCAGGTACTTTTTGATAATTTCTGGTTGTAATGATGTCTGCTACCTTCCAGTTCAAGGAGAATTCCCTGTGCAGATTTGCGAACGGCATATAGGTTCGATAATCCCTCCTTGGTTTCATGCGCGGCGCAAGCATTATCAAAGGCGGCAATCCAAGACGACAAAATGCCAATTCTGCGGCCGATTTGCCTTAGTTTCAGCATGTTGTTAGTCTTCTCTTGTCTCTCGGGTAACGTGTGTTCGTAAGCATTGCGAATCCGGGCAACCCCCTCGCGCAAAACAGCGTCTTTCTTCTCGCCCTGCTTGCGGAACTTGGCAAAGGCCACCTTTTCATGGTCCTTTGCTTGTGCTTTCAGCTCATTGATCAAGTTCATTTGCTCATCGATCTTGACCAAGAAGTCCTTGACGTGTCGGTTAACATTGAATACATTGCGTGTGACCTTGGTCTGGATGTTCTTCGCTCGGTTCGCATATCGGAGGGTATTTTGAGTTTCATCGAAGTGCTGGCTTGAGGGGCTGACGCAGACAATCATGACTGTCTTGCAATTGCCACCAAGAGCAAATTTGAGTAATCGAGTGAGCTTGGAGTTTCGGTAGGGAATGTGATTGCGCTTTCGAGGGTCACAAAGTGCGTTGATGCAGCTTCCCAGGGACAACAGAGACTTGTTGATATTGGCGCCCTCGAACAAACGTTCTCCTCTGTTCAGTGTCGCGCTGGCACGCTCACTTCCCGCTAAATCGATGATACTGAAAGTGGCCATGGTGTGAGGCTCATTGACGTCCGCATTTCGGTCTTTTTGCGCGATGTTGATTTGAAGGACGGCATGCGATCGAGATGAAGTAGCATTTGCTGCGGTGGGAGACATGGTGCGGCGCTCATTGCCTTGCATTATCATGTCCATTACCTCCCCAACATTTTGCGGGTGGTAACTTGATAGGCCCGCGACTGAGACTGACTGGTTGGAATCCTCCCGTAGCATCAATCCACCCTTTCCACTGCTACCACTAGGGACGAGCAAGTCACGAATGGTTTCGTTATAAATCTCGAGGTAGGAAAGTGAAACTTCGGTCGACTTTTCGCCTGCTCGTTCGTCAATCCGTTCAAACAGCTCCTGCATGGTGAGAAAGATGATGCCAGGCTGTTGGGCGGTTCCGGTAATTGTATGGGTCTTTCCACATCCGGTAGCTCCATACGCAAACACCGTCGCATTGTATCCATCAAGTACGTTGTCGAGCAGGCTTCGGGTTGTGGATTCGTATACCTCTCCCTGTGAGGCGTTTTGGTCGAAAACGCGGTCGAAGGCGAAGGTCTGGTCTTTGACGCGTTTACCGTTGGGCACCACGCTCCTGGAGAACTTTTGGACAGGATTGTCCTCGGGAGGGTCAAACACCCTAGTCCAGTCAGGATGCTGGACCCAATATTCAAAAAGCATAAAATACTCACAAGCATCGGTCATCAATTACTTTAACGATAGATCGTATACCCTTCTGGTTAAGCTTCGGTGTCGGCGCACCCGCGAGGGAACCGTCGCCGAGGAACAGGGGACCCTCGTCACATCGTGTGATCTGGGCTGCCTCCCTGATAGTAAAAGGACGAACTCTGACTGCAACGCTGATCGAGGAAGCGCCGTCGGAGGCAGCCATGCTGGAAGGTCAGGTCGGATCAACCCCAAGTCACGAAGCTGTTTTGCGGGGTCGGTACGTCAGGCAGTTGGCGACACCCTGCAATGGCAAGGCCAAGGGGGAAGCTTGGCTATTTGTCGAAGATAAGGAATGTAAAAGAGTCGAAGAATGGATCTAAAGTTGTATGGGGTAGGTGGTGCAGTATTCTCCGAGGGGGGCTCCTTGAAGCGATTTCATTTGTTGATGCGTGTGCATGTTGTCATCTAGTGGTTGCTCCGAGCAACGGTTTTGTGGTGGTGTTTAATCGATGTAGAGTGGCAATACCGCTCTTCCACTACTTGGAGTTACCAGTCAGACGATATGCTGAGTGTTTTAAGTACTGAACACGCCCTTCCTACTCTATTCACACCCACTATTTTCCCATGTCCAAGATCGTAAGCTACTATTAGGCTTTTCATAGTATTACCCTCAGGATGCTTAAAGAAAAGCCACGGGAGGCGATCACGACATTATTATGACATCTACTATCACTGTAACAATTCCCCAAGACTACTTACACCAAGTATAAACGCCAGTAATTTGTATCAAAAAATCGTGTAACTATATTTATTCTAAAGATATGAGCAAGCTATGAATGTGAAACATCACATTTGGTGTTGATGTTATCCTAATACCTTTTTTTCACCTGAACAAACGC